AGAGCTGTTCAGGGAAGGGTGAGTTAGTCTCTCGGGTCAATGGCACGTAGTCGTTGGGGGGATGTGTATTACGTGCGTGGTGGCTCCGCTGTTTATTGCCGGCAGGGATTATAGCCTGGTGAGCAGTTTGTTGATTGTGAAAGCATCGAGAGGTAACGCGCCAGCGGCCTTGCTCTGGGTTATAGTTCCGGGGTTATTGGTCGACGCCGAAAAAAAAATTTTCGGTTAGATTGATTTTTCGGATGTCTCTTGTTTTTTTTTTTCATAGAGACACACCTCGGCTGCCTGTTATTTTTTGTTACTTTACGTTCCGTTTTTAACGATCCGACTTATGGAATGGTACACGACCGTAACGAAAAATAGCATCACAAGCAATTAAACTGATAAACTTGTATCTATCGCGTAATTCTTCATTACTTATATTATTTACAATATGAACTATCTCTCTTTCATACTCGTGAAATTCAATTCCACTTACGATTCCGAAGGTCCGAGCGAGTCTCTGACGACGGGGACACAAGTGACATAGCCATATGTCCAGTGGACAGCAATATACCCGCAGCAGATTGACGAAGCACCGCGCGCCCATATCCAAGCGAAGACGCGCGGCGAGGATGCGCGAGCTCATAATCGAAGCGTCCCCCGCGAATGGATGCACTTGGGCCGTATCAATCGTGCGCCGAGCTGCGCGCACGGTTAACGCCCTTTGTGATCGCGATATCGCGCACCGGTTCGCGTGTCTGAACGCACGCCGAGCTGCGCTACTGACGCGCGACCAAACCTTCTTCCTCGATGCCGTTCGCGAAACTCGAGCTTCGAAGCCGGCAAGGCACACGATCGTTGAGTTTACTCATTCGACTCGCTCACGAGCTGCTGTCTCCGCGATCGCCGGGCATTTTCCTTTGCCAGGTGATACTTTTATGGGAATCGGACGATGCACGTCGATGTTTGAGTAGAGATAAAAGTAATCGCGTAGCTGCCTACCTTTACGACGATCGCGTAAATAACGGTTAATAACGCGAGCATTTAGAGGGAGAGAGATAATAGTAAAACACCCAGTCGCAAAAGTGAATACTGTCAAATGGTGGCAACAATTGTTCTCCCGCGGGGTCCAGCGGGACGCGCCGAAGAGAGTTGGCTAGTGCGCGGAAGGAAAGGTTGAACGGGAACCGCGGGCGCGATAAGTGGAGGCCACCTCTTGATTCCGAGCGTCAGCAAGCTTTCTAATTTTCAGACGACGCGATTAAGTATTCAGTGCTGTCCGTTGTCTGACAATTTATATAGCTCGCTCGCTCGCGACGATAATCCAGCGCAGTCCCGGCTCGCCGTAATCAAATATTTGTCGCTTGCAGCTTATCTCTCTCTCGCTCTCTCTCTCTCTGCTTGCAAGCTCGCGACAGTGAGCAAGCTTTATCACACAGGCACTCGCTCTACCTCGTTTCTCCTGGAAATTTAGCGAGTTCGTTAGCGAACGATCGTGTTTTCGAGGCTGAGGATATAATTCGTCGTCGAGCTAAATTTTCTTTTCTTTTTTCTTTTGCCTTCTCCTGAACTTCTGCTGGATTTTGAGAAAAAGTTACGCCGAATTGGAGTAGAACTGGAAATACTTTATGCTGCTGGTATATCGCCTGGAGGTCGACGACCGCCTCTCGCTACAAATGGTTATGCACTAATAGAACTGCGTTCAGTTGACAAACTGATCTAGCTTTTTCAAGCAACGACCATATCGGATTTATTATTAGGCGCAAACGATATTGATCGTGGGTACAAAAATTGAGCGCCATCTGAGCGTCGTCCGGAGCATGGCAGGAACGAGGTTCGAGTCGGATGCCTCCGCTCAACTCGATCGACGCAAAAAAAGAGCACTCGAGAGAGGGGCGGCGTAAAACACAAAGGGCTAGACTAAAATCATTAATGACAATGCAGAGCTCGATGAATAATCGAGTAGCAATTGCATATCGCGCGCAGAGCCTGGGGCTGGCGGACTTTCAATCGACAAAAATCATTTTGAGCGAAAGACTCTCCGCACTCGAGTGAGTAAGAGAGAGAGAGAGAGAGAGAGAGAGAGAGAGGGAATCAAGTGGTGGGCGCGTTAAATAACTCCGCCTCGGGGATCACTCGCTCCCCTTCGCCTCGAGGGCCGCTCGTCCCTCCTCGCGATATCATTCCCGGTCACGTGCGTTGCGCCGGCATACGCACGGTCGAGATCTCTCGCGAGAAATCGCGCGGACACAATCAAAGCCGAGGCAGCGCGAGCGCCGATGGACCGAGAGCTGCGATAAAGCGCTCGAGCTCGCCGATGCGCCATTGTCGGCGAATTGCCTCGGCGGACAAGTGGAAGTCGCGCTGGACGTGAAGTCTCACTCGGCGCCCGAGAGCCCGCGCCCGGCTCGGCCCTCGGCCCACGCGGCTATCAATCATGCTCGGCGTTCACCTGCCACGCCGCGCTCCCTCGCCCCGGCCCCTTGGCCCGCTTCCGCGAGGCTTGGCGCGGGACGCGCGCCCGGCCGTCGCCCGCGTTCGACGAGCTGCGCCGAGCAACTTGTTCTCATCGCGGGAGCGGCGCTGCGTGCTTTGCCGGATTCGCGCGCGCGCGTGCAATTTCGCACGAAAAGGAAAGCAAACGCTACTCTCCACGAACGCGACGAGCAATGCTGCAACGTCGAACCAAAGAAAACGTCACGATGGAGCGTGCGGCATCGAATCGTCGAGAATCACTGCAAGTTCTCTTGCTCTCTCTCTCTCTCTCTCTCTCTCTCTCTCTCTCTCTCTCTCTCTCTCTCTCTCTCTCTCTCTCTCTCTCTCGACTGCTGCCGATGCCATGGAAACTCTGCCGCGAAGGGACAGCAGATATAACGGATCGATGAGACGTGTGTTGTTGGCAAAAGTTTACAGCGCGACGTTATATTACGCCACTGCGGCGCAGCTCTCTAACGACGCCTCTCTAACTTCATTTTCTCTTTCTCCTCTTTTTTTCCCGAGTGCGCGTTTCAGGAAACGAGTCGCATTGAAATGCATGAGCTCGAAGTACTCTGACTCTTTGACGGGCTCGAGAGCGAAGAAGAGAGAGAGAGAGAGAGAGAGAGACAGACAGACAGAGTTTATCCTCTTTTTTTTTATTGCGAGATTGTAAACTTTTACGCGTGACTACGCTCCACACCGATGAATAAAGTTATACATACTCGTTAGCCATATGCACTGCGAGGGTGTTTTTACAGATTATAACAGCCTTTTTTCCGATTGAATACGTCAAGCTTGTCTTCCCTTCTTTTCATGGCTTGATGCGAAAATTATTTCATTCTCACTTTAGAGCTTATACACGTTTGTGAGCGTTACGATGAATTTGCCACATTTTAGAATTCTAGCTTTTTAATTTAAATTCTATAAAAGTGAAAGGTGAGAAATTGAATTTACGAATTCTCGAAATGAAATTTGCGAGCGTCATTCTCGAAATACGCATTTTGAAAAAAAGAAATTGACTTTTGATTATATTTCAATTATGAATTGAAAAGCGAACAGCGAAAGCCTTTTTTCACGCTATTACTTGTTGGCTTTCAATTGTTTCACAAAGGCAACGTTGAAACGATGTGTTTACGTTATTATGCAGTCATTTGTATTAATATGAAATGCAATCATTCATTTCAAATTCGAAATTTGTCTAGACATCAAATACTTCGGTAAGTACTCGGAACTTACGTTCGTTAAAAACGTCGTAAGCTTAAATATGTACCATTTCATTAACGCTCGCCAGCCTCAAAAGGAGAAGACTACGCTGCCTCTGCTCACTTAAACCTTAGTAGGTGTAATACTCGAGCGCCAAGTCGAAGAAAAAAGATGAAACGCGCGAGCGTCAAGGCAGCAGTCGTCGTTGATTTCTTTCCCATGACGCGTCCTTGCGCTACTGAACCTTCTCTGATTCACCCGGTGGGCTCGTCACCTACGCGCACGCTGAATCACTCGCTAATACCTGTCGAGGCGCGTTCCGCAAAAAAGAAAAATATTGATGAAACGAGGAATGCTAGTGGCGTGTAACCGTGACCTATTAGGAGGAAAAAGACTTGCATTCTTGCGGGCGATGTGGCACGAAATTTGACTAAAAATGCGGGGGTCGTCATTGAGACTACGACCGCTGAGATGTTTGTTTGATAGTTATCGCGCTGCTTTTACAAAGATACCCGAGATACCGTTTTTCCTTTCCTTGGACGCAGTATTCCTGAAATATCTGATTGAATTCAAAATGTTAGAGTTAATTTAAATTTCACGATTACGCAACATTGTGAGGAAAAATTATAACGTACCAGAAAGTATTAATGCTAATAATTTAAAATCAATTGAATACAAAATAAATACGTTATGCGCCAACACGTCCCATTTCTTAAAAATGAATTGAAATGAAATGCACGATTGTGAAGCAATCAAGCAAATAACAAGTTTCGGTAAAAAGACAAAAAAAAATATACAAGAAGCTTACGTTCTCTTGGTAAAGAAAAAGTATCCTTGTGAAGAAAATAAGGGTAGGAAAAGAAATCAGCATCGATAATATCTGAAAAGCTTGAAAATCTACGGCAAAATGAAAAATCTCGTCAGATATTTTTATGCACGTATCTACTCGAAAAATATTTGCTGTGAATTCACCGTAAAATATTCACGCTTGAAGTGTTCACGTTGCTCGAAATAGAACAACAAGCGCGGCGAAGCAAGAGGGAGAGAAGGGTATTGTAACTGAAGAAATAAAACCAAGGTGAATAGTATTTTCACGACAAGAATGAAAGAAAAATTTTTCGAATCAGGTAGGTATACACACACGCATACACGTATATGGTTTGGTGCGTCACCAGGGAAATCAGAATGCATCGTAACTCAAGCGTGGCTTACACACGATGTGTGATTTTTCAGAACAATACGCGTTACTATTGTTTGCCGCACCTGCGTCTCTTCAAATGAACATTACTGCTGCTATTGAATTAATTTTTAATCAACTCTGAATTGATGAAGCAAATTCAGGATCATATTCACAGGCTTTATTTAAGCGATTATTCGTAACAAAACTTGATAGTCATACACGATATAGCTTGCATTCTTCTCTCTTCGTAACTTAATCATTACGTACAGTACTATGACCTTCATAAATAAGAGTAATAATTATAATATAACAATGTTATTTACATCAAGTTGTCGAAGAAATTCATTTGTATCTAAATTATATCTCTTTTTAAAGGATTTCTAAATCACAATGACGTATATCTGGATATTTTTTCTGTAACAATCAAAGTAATTTATTAGCCATATGCGAAAATTGCATAATTTATCCACGCGGACTTCATTACCTTGAGTTTCAATTCTATTCGATCGATTTCCCCGCCAAGCATATCGACAATATTCTCGCCGTGCTTTAATAGAAATGCTTCAAGTTCGTCAATATTTTGCATGGCTTTGACATCCTAATTTGTGCAAATAAATAAAAAACTCGTTGATATCGATTCAAACTTATTCATGGAAGAAAATTAAAGTAAATCTTACTTCAAGCATCGTATTAAGATCATGCTTGTCCAAATAAGACCTTGTAAGCTCTCGTCCGTCAAAGTCCAGTTCTGCTTTATATCTCACTAGACTGTTGCCCATATCAATACCTTTGACGTCATGGATCGCTCTTACCTAAATAATCGAATAGTAATCATATTTTGCGTAGTTCCAATAATTTATGCGTATTACTATGCGTATTACTAATTACTCTTACCATAATATCAGACTCTAATTCGGCATTAATTTTGTCAAGGTATTCTTGCGGTATGCTCTGACCAACCAAAGCAGCTACATTTGTGTAAATGATGAACGATGCTACACCACCAAGAAGACCCCCGACGAGCAGGGAACCTACAGCGTCAAATATTGGACTACCCAAATAAGAAGTCAATCCCATGCAACCTGCTGCGGCCATAACTCCTAATACCTATATGTAAAAATTAATTAATTACCCAATAAAGTATCGTTTAAATAAATGTTATTTCAATGTTAAATTAAATTAAAACATACAGCGGCAAAATCTTCCATCAAAACAACGTTGACAGATGGATCATGGCCAGTCATGACATACTCTTTAAAAGTTTTTTTTTTCTCCATTGCCCCCTTCTTGATTGAATTGATTGCAACTAACAGTGTCGCACCTTCAGATACCAAAGAGCCACCAAGTATAAAGTAAGCCCAGTAAAAAGATTCTACTGGCTCTGGAAATAAAATCCCATGGATTCCATGGTAAACAGACAAACCTGTTCCCACACAGAAAATACCGACGCCCGATATTAGTGAAGAAACATATTTCATGTTTGTATAACCGTAAGGGTGATCGGGGTCTGGAGTCTACGAAAATATTTAGTTGTTAATCATATTTTTTTAAAGGAACAAGCAGTATATTGGCAAGCAGTATACCTGAACAGATTTGTGTATTCCATATGCTAAAATCAATTGATTAAAAGTATCTGCAGCTGAGTGAATACATTCTGAGAACATACTGTGTGATCCTGTGTGAATCCAGGCAAAAAGTTTGAAAAGAAAATTACTTCCGTTTCTGCAAATGAAAAACTTTTTCAATAAAACATAGTTAAATTATGAATATATTTTTCTGATGCATAAACTTACATCACAACAGCTGTCAAAACCACTTTACCTGATCTACCAAAGAGCCCTTCTTTCTCAACAGATTGTGCTTGACTACCAACTTCTCTTCTGTAATCACGTAATCGTTTTTTGACAGTAAATACATCTGAAATGCAAAATAAAAAAAATACATTGCAAAATGATACTTAAAAATTTATTACAAGTATAATTGAACTCACTTTGTTGATAAGTTTTACGTTCAAGTTCCTTTTTTATCAATTCTTTTAGCATTAATTCTCGTGATCCCCAAACTTCCAAAGCTCTGAAAGCAGCATATCCTCATTTCATTCAATCATACCCTGCAAAAAACAAAGTTTTATATCTATTATAAAAAACCCTTACTTTGCTTCTACATCTCTCCTCCAATATACTGTGATTGGTGGCTCAAATTCATAAGGAGACCTTCTCTTCGTTTTTGGCAAATTATCCAAATCAGATTGTTTCAGTAAAAAATCAGACATCGCTCTGATTGGAGTAATAAAATTTCGTTCCAGTGATGATGCTGTTAAGTCTACTCGCATTTTTTTCTTTGGAGCTGAGTAAATAAAATTTACATTAATTTCCAATAGAATAGCATTGATTCTTGAAAATAAAAAAATTATTAACGTTTTTTCACCACTGCTTCTTCAATTGGTGCTTTCTTTTCTTCTTTTTTTGACTTTTCCTTTGTAATGATTTTGACATCTTGTTTTACATCATCAGTTCTAGTAGCAGGAGCTGCAGCTTCAACATTTAGTACACGCTCTTTCAATTTTCCTAAATTTTCCACTTTTAATTCAACTACTCTTTGTGTAACATCAGCATCTTGTTTCTGTTCTGTTTTATTTAAAACTGCTTTGTCTTCTTTTTGAGACTTGGTTTTGGTATTGTTAAAGACCAATCTTGAGCTTGTATAGATCCACCTTGTATCAACATGTTTATTGTGGCAAACTTTTGAAGTACTTGATATCAAATGAATAAATTTTTGTCTTATAAAAGTACTTTTATGCCTTTTAGCAAATCCTACTTGTAAAATGTAAAATTTTCCAGTATGACAGCTACTTACACTCCGTTGAATAAAACTCAAAAGACTGTAAGAGCGATGAAGCATTTTCAACAACTTACTTTTCTCTGAAAGCGTAAAAATATTTTATAAGTAATATAGTCTAGAACGGATGCAAATTCGAAGTGTTAAATAGATGTCATCATTAAAATTTATTATACTTTACATAACCTAGAAACATATTTTAAGATTGCAAGGATAGAACGTATGTTTTTATTTTAAATGAAAATACATACTATCTGTAAATTATTACACAAAGCCTTTTTACGTAAATATAATATGGACTTTCCAGTATTTATTTAAAAAGTTAAAGTTAATGCAAATCGGCGTATCTACTGAACTTTACCTCATTTAATTTCTTCGTGGAGCATTATTAATTAAAGAATAGATTATCTATTTTTTGTCAAATTATCACTGTAAATAATACTAGTAAACCTAGAACAAATATAAAATTTCGCTTTATTAACCAGAAATCATGTTAAATACAATTATTCGTATTGTCAATAAAACAGACTTTGACCTTCGAACTACCAGCTGATTGTAAACTATGTATTTTCTCATAGATGTCTCTGCAATGTTGCGAAAGTGTTAAAATTATGTAAATTAAAAAAAATTAAAAACAATTGTTATTAAACTTTCTTTTAATTATTTATTATATTGAAATCGTAAAAAATTTTATAACGAGACAAATGGTTTTTTCAAAAAACAGTCAATTAAATTTCATTTTTATTTCATATTTTCTTGGCAGTTACATAATAATAAATTTTGTTATATATAATAATATAAATATATTTGTGCTTGAAATATATTTGATGTAATAAGATAGTGTGAGCAATCGTTTTTAAATAATCTTGGAACTCTCGAAGACAGTAACTTGTACAAAATAAACAAAAACAATATTTTAATTCGTGTTTATCAAACCGCATTGGAAAACTAGATTTTATTATACGCAATAATGATGTACAAATTTAACATTTATATTTTTTCTTCAGAAAATAGCATGAACTTCTACGTATTAAAAATCGTATAAATATAATTGGCGTGTTCTATAAACACTTTCTTGATTTCGAATTCATTTTAAATATCACTTAAACGTCATATTTACAAGTTGGATTTTTTATACATAGATAATTTTAAAGCTTAGTAGTTGGTTAATGCATTATAATTTCAACTCGATATAAAAAAATAAGTCTATTGACTCTGCCTATTTCATATCGAATCCCTTCTTTTCGATCAACACTGTCATGAGATTTCGTAGTTGTTTCAATTCGTTTACAATGACATTATTCCGAGCCTCATCGTGTTTACGCTGAATTTCAAATTGTTTCTCCATCCACATGTGATGTTTCTCTTGCAGGAATTCATCGTTTTTCATCATTGTTTGTACAGCATCCCTACAAAATGACCGTCAAAAGGAATATCTAAGAAAATAATGTAAAGAAAAAATACTCACTTGATAGTATCAGAAATTTTCAACTCTATATTCCTACTTAGTTTCTTTGAAACGCCAGTCTCACTATCAAATTGATGCATATCATAATCATCTTTCGACAAAACTTTCTCGGTTATCATCTTCAAGATATCAGTTCGGTCGATTGGTGGTGAGCTCATACCAGAACTTACAGAGTTGGCGGTATTAACGTTGAGTGGTTCTATATGAGCAGTAATATGATTAACTTGATTCTTGTTTGGCTCATTAGCGACAATCAGCCGTACAAACTTTGTGTTAATAACATTTCGGGACGATGGATCCATGGAATCGACAGGTTTCAAAAGAAACTTATTTTTACCCGGGATTCTTTCATCTTCAACAATCCTCGGCTTTTTAAGCAATGGTTGCACTTCTTCATCTAGCGATGAAGCACGCCTTTAAAAGAAGAATTATTAAAAAAAATTCTCTCAAATATTTAATTTTCTAATTAAATATGAAAGGTAAATTAAGTATACTTGGTTGTCGCAACAGAAGACGACCGACTATCAGCATCTTCAGGTTCAATAGAGTGGTGGTACCTGTAAAGCTTTGAATAATCTGGCTCCTTGTTGACAGCTGTCACTTCTTGATCTAAGGCAATGTCATCAATGATTGGCGGTATCTTATCCTCTAACGACGTATTCTTCGATTCCGAAAAAATAGTATCTGGTATCACAGGATTTATTTCAATTTTCGTATCGCTACTGTTAGGAAGGGTCGCGAGAAATGTATCTTCAATTACTTGTTCTTGTTCCTTGTTAGAAACTCCACTCAGGCTGAAGTTCAAAGTTGACGATGCACTGATGCCACAATCATTATCATCTAAAACAATATCAGTCTTGAAAATCATTAAACTTGCAAATTATATAATAACAATTTGTTGAAACTTACCAATAATACTTTCAACAGGAAACCAATTGTCAAGGCATTTGTTATTTGGAATGACAGTAACTTTGTCATTTAATTGGCTTTCGCCAGAAGAGTTTGCGAACTTGGTATTGGTATAACTATGGTCGGAGAATTTTGATTCATACAAATCGAGATTCTCTGTTAGTAAATTTTGTATAAACTCGTACCTTTCGTCGGATACAGAAGTGTGGAAAATATCATGCAATTCATTATAAAATGGACACTCAAAAATATCTTTCTCCGAACTATCATCTAAATTGCACTTCATGTATGAATTTTTTAGCAAAGCCAACTTATGTTTGATCTGTTCAATAGTCTTTCTATACCCAGATTCCTTTAGGACGCTTCTTAATCTTTGCAGTTTTTCATATTCTAGACTATTGTTCAACTTGGACTTGGATGTCATTTCTCTAACAGTCCTCAAAAGAAGTTTCACTTCAACTTTAGTCCAATAAACAGCTGAAAATGACGATTTGATCAATTTTTTATAAAAATAACAAGCAAAATAAAAGATTGCATGAAACAAACCTTTGCTTTCTTCTAGAGTTGAATCATTTATACTATCACCAAAGCTAAGATAATCTTGAGTATTTGTTTGAGAATTTAGAATTGGATCCAAATCTTCAGCAAATTGGTGCTCAAAAAGTTTTTTATAAACGGTATAAAAATGAAATTGTTCAATAGCATCTCCATCTGCATAATGTCTATGCACATTGAGAAAATTGGTTTTCAGTTCTTTTAATTTTTCCATAATTTGCTGAGTAGTCCTGGAGTACCCATTTTCTACCAAACTATTTCTCAATTTGTCAGCAGCTTTAATGGTATTCTTGTAAGCTTCTTCAGCAATGTTAAGATCCTTTATCAAAGTCAAAAGGACAATGGTCTCTTCTACAGACCAAATATTATCAGTCTTTTGGGAAGACCGTTTTAATCGGCACTTCCTATATTCCTTGTTCCAAAATAATTCCAAACTGGGAAGAAACATGCAGTCTCGAGGATTCTCATTCCTATCACACGCAACTTTATAATTTACGTACATCGTCCTTAAATTAATCAGTGCATTTTTAACTTGTTCAGCATTTCTCTTATGGCCAGAACTCTGCATGGACTCAGCGATCATTTTGATGGCCATAGGAGAGAAAAAAGTAAGAGTTAATTCAGTTTTCAGTTTCATAGCTTTAATAGCATTGAGCATCTTTTGGACTTCATTCTTCTGCCAGCCTATATTATCATTAGGGAACTTTATTAAGTAATCATCAGAGCTATCTGTTTCATAAATGTCATCCTCAACATCATTGGCAGTATTATTAATCTTGCTGTAAATATCATGAAGTTCTTTGTAAAAAGGGCACTCCTTGGTGTGGCCATATGGATTAGATATCTTCTGCTGCTGATAATTCAAATAATTTTTTCTTAATGTCATGAGTTTTTGGGTTATTTGTCTATCAGTTCGATGATAGCCTTTCTTGAGCATTAATTCACTTAGAATATTGGACATTCTAGTCATTGAGTACCTGTTAACTAAATTATTCTCTTTGATCAACTGGAGCATGTACAATGTCTCATCTTGATCCCAACGTTGCTTTTTCTTACTGTCTTCTTTAAGATCATAATCCACAGTCATGTTACCAATATCAGTTGGTTCCAGCATCCCAAAATCATTCATGCCAATTAGTGGTATGTTTACCATTTGTACTATTCCTAAAAAAAGTTAATAATGAAATAATAAATTACCTTGGTACAGGTTGTCATCGCGAAAATGTATCGTAAATGAAGGAACAATTGTGATTTAAGCCAGTTTCACTTGTGGACGCACAACTACACATGCAAACGCACGACATAAGGGAAAAAAACAAATAGGTAGCGCGGCCGCATGCTTTCCTCGACATGTCACGCATAACATTATAAACAATCGGGTGTTGCTTTTTTGCAAGCAACAATTAATTATTGCTTAATACTTACTGGTCAGCGGTTTTTGACCGCTTTTCCGTCTAGGACGTTAACGTTAATTATAATGACACTCCCGTAATGAAAAAGTGGCGTCTGACGCTGCGGATATGCGGACGATGTTTCGCGCATGGAAACAACGACTGACGGACCCGCTACACTTGCACGATATTCTATCAGCGTGAGCAGCGCGAGGCGTGTAAATCGAGAATTTTTGGCGCGCGAGAGACGAGGAAAGAGAGAGGAGAAAAAGAGAGCACCTCCGTTATGCTTGTACACTGCATTGAATTGAATGGTGTTTTTATTGGCTTCATAGATTTATACATCGCCATGATACATTTGTACACTGCACTTACCAAGACCTTGCTGGCTCCACCTCTCGCCGAAATCATATTGTTGCGCAAATGTTAGGGCATCGTTTCGAAATTACGCCGCGAAAAGCATTTTTTCTTTTACATGCGCTTCTTGGGAAAACGTTGCGTAGACATTACAATTTTGAATTCGTAAGTATAAAATTAGATATCTTTTCATCACTTTTCGTGCCTGACATACTAAGTTTGTACGAATATCGCGTTAAAAGTGAAAATTGAAGCAGTTGAATCGTTTTGCCGAGAAATTTATCAGGATGACAATTGCAGGTACAATTTTTCAAATTCTTGATCTTCAACTTTTTTTATTGCCGAAATAATTAATACAGATCTGAATGCAGACCCTAATGTGAATCTGCATATTTCACACAAAAGACTATCGCTAACGGCCGTGACACGAGTGTGAACAGTCAAATTCCCACTCCAAACAGAACGGGCGATTGCACATACACGCACGTAAAAGTAAATGTAAACAAATCGTTGAAGGAGAATCGAAAGAGAGTTCGGTTGGGGGCATTTATGCTAACTTGATTTTCTTATTCATGTAATAATTTTAGCATGCTCATGAAAGGGAAAGAAAACATGTTTTTTTTTCAAAATTTCGACGGTTCGTCAAGATCAAATGCAACGGTCGCGTGTTCCACGAATTCGCTGTAAGTTGATTCCTTGCTTTTCAAATGTATGTAAGTGCATTGGTCGAATAAATCGAGTGTATTTAAAAAAGATAATTGCTTTTAAACGGTCGAGTCCAATGTTAAAAGATGATGGTTGAGTTGATTTCAGGTCGAAACCAAATTTGAATATTGACGATACTGTCGTAAAAAGTGTAGATAAGTCTAATCTAAATACTGACTGCACTTCTATTGAAAGTAAATCTGATAATAAAACATCTATATTTGTTTTTGGGAAAAAGAATGAGAAAAATAACTCTGATTTAAATACTTCTGAAGGCTTCAATTTCGTTTTTTGCAGTAATTGCGTTGGTCCAAGTATTAATTATAATTTATAACAATAATAATATTTCTTATGAACTACTAATTGACACATGTAATTAAAAAAAATTTTTTTTTTATTTGAGGTTCTTGCAATTCTAACACAGACTCAAACATTGGTGAATCATCAAGAGTCAAGTATAATTTCTCCAATTTGTTTGATAATAAAAAAAAAATGGAACCAAAGTTAGAAAATGAAATTAAAGCACAATTAGATTTGGACAATAATGAGACTTCCATTGACAACCCAAAAGAAAATTTTATAAAAGATAAGGAATCAAATAATCAGGATCAAAGTATAGATGAAAATTCTTCGAACAGAGAAGTTGTGAAAATTATAGTGAAAGAATTCAAGAATGTGATTAGTAGTTTTATAAATGAAAGAATTGAGGGTGAGAAAAAATTTGCACAGGTAGAAGCTAGAATAACAATTCTTGAAGAACAAGTACAAAATTTGAGGACTACAGTTCCAAAAGAAAGGTTTATAAAGAAAATATTTAAAATGAATATAAATTTTATGTGGAAAAGGTTTATTACTTGTTATTGTTTTACAGTTCATCAATCAGCTTAGCTAATAATAATGACACAGCAAAGTCAATTACAAATTCAGCATCTCAGCAGCCTTTGTGTCAATCACCAGTACTTTTTTCGCATCAAACACTTTTACCTTTAGTACCATCACCAGCTGAATCTTCTACACTTCAAAATAGTGCTTTTGGATCTACAAGTTCATTATTTGGTTCAAGTAGTACTCCTTTTATTAATGGTACTTCAACTGGTACTTCAACTAATACATTCAGCTCTGCAGCAAGCTCTGTTCTTGATAATAGCAATACTACTTCATCTAATTTGGTTGTTGGATCATCAGCTTTCGATCCTACTATGGCTACTAAAATTCCAGGAGGTAGTCAATTATTTGGCATTTCTACTCAAACTGCAAAGCAGACTGGGAAGAGTATGGCCTGTGAACGTAAGAAAGTTCACAAACTTTTTTCCCATGAAGCAGTGACTGACTTTTTAAATGGTAATTAGTTTTTGTCAGTCATAATGTGTTACTTTATACTAATTATTTTTTAACCAATGGTAAAATGAATACAATAAATTATATTTAATATTATTTCAGCTCAAAAAGAATCTAGTATGAACGATTTTTCAACAAGAGCCAATAATGAAAAAACGTAAGATTAAGCTTTTAGTAGTCTGAAATTAATATCTTAAATATACAAAATGTATGTGAAAAACTTTATTTTAGTTTTAAAAAAGTAGCCAATGAACAGAATAATTTAGAACTAAAACAAGATGTGCCAAACAAAGAAGCATTTGAATTACACCTTCAAAGAACCATTCAAATGAGTGTTAAGAAAGCTATGGAAGAATATTGGGAACATTTGAAATCTAATACTTCTGAAAGTAATATTAAGAAATTTAATTCTGGAAACATGTTTTAATACCCTTACACATTTTTGAAGTTTGAAATAGTTTTCCTAAAATCAATAGAAAAATAAAATGAAAATGACTTGACATTTGAACAAAAATATTTTAAACTTTCAAACTTTCTACTTTTTAAATTAATTACAGTATTATTATATATTAGTTGAAAACAGTTTCATTACCGTCATTATTTTATATTGTCATGTATAGATCTAATAATAATTTATTCATACTATAATTTATTTTAAGATAATTACTTGATTTGCATTTTTCTACGTTTTGTATCCATTTTTAAAGTATTAAAAATTTCAATCTGAAATGTATATTTAATTTTAATAAATTTTCTAGACAAATTTATTGTATATTTTTATTATATTATCAATGTTATAAATTTCAAAACGAAAACTTGCATTTTGCTCAAAGTTTAAATTATATTGAAAAGGGTGGGGATTCCGCGTATATATATAGCGCTTGTTTAACCTCAAAATGTACAAAACACAACGTAAAAATATTCTTAAAAATGGCTGTAAGTAATAGTGTAAAACAATCATTAAAATATTTAATGGGGAAATGTGTGCCTTCACTAAAAACAAATGCGGCAAAAATAGGAATTCCTAGATATGAGTATGATGAAAATTTACACATGGTATGATGTGTTTCAATAAACTATTTATAATTTATTTAAAAGGTGACACGACTGATATTGTACATTAATTATTTTATTTAATTTTCAGTATTTTAAAAAACATGATTTTGTATATGCTCATGACCCACAAAAAATTTGCAAAACTGGAGATATGGTTTTGATACAAAGTTTACCAGAAAAAATGACACGACTCATTCAACACAAGGTAGGAGCAGCTTCCATTTTGACATAATTATTATACTTTAATATTTCTTGAATTCTCCAATTTCAAAATTTTAGTTCATTAAAAACTGAATGATTAATATAAGTTGAAATATAATATTCATTAGGCATGTTATAAAGTTCATTATCAATGACATTCATGTAAAAACAAAAACAAATATAATTGTTATACTTTTTTAAAATTAATTGTTTAAATTAATTAACAGGTCATTGAAGTTATATTCCCACTTGGAGATATAACTGATCCAATAACAGGTAAAAAGGTTGTTGCTGGACAATATCGAGAAAAAATCAAAGAGGTTAATGAAATGTTTGGAAAATCAGAAAAAGGTTTTGATTATGATAAGGCACCATCCAGAGGTTCTTTGGAAGACACACGAGATTTCACTCATAGACCTATGTTCCAAAAGTATCACGATGACCCAAATGACCCTCAACCATATCATGTTTAAATAAATATATTGTAGATAAATTTTATTATAAAATGTTTTATTGTTAATAGGTAAAATATCAAATTTCATTTTTATACACACTTTTAGTGTAGTAAACTTCAATAAATAAGTGTTTAGTCAAATGTTTTGTGAATATTTGACAACGTGACCTCAATTCAAGTGTGAATCCAAAATATTTTGTTTATATCTTTAAATATATTTCATTTTTGTATTTGCGTCACAAATGAACTATAAAGAAGCTATTTATCTGTTTTATTATATTTATTAAAATAAGCTAAATTATTAATTTTTTCTCTTTGCAATAATGAAACTTAAGACTAAATAAATATTTTAATCGTTGTTTTTGTACATTTTTGACAGATAAATAACATTCTTGGGAAATGTAATAATCTTTAATGTTCGTATCATTTAATGAATAATCTTACACTTGAATAATAAATACCAATGTATAGTATTTACAATGATCTTAATAACTTCAAGCTAACTACAATTTTTACTCAAAGGGAAAAAAATTACAAAATTATGTCACTATTGAAACTTATGCTCTTTGAAACAATGATAATCATTAAGAAACATTATTTTTCTTTACACATAACTGAAGTTCGGATAACTTAAATAATCAGAAATTTTACAAATAACTAAATAAAAAACCTATAGTTGTTCACAGTTTGAAAAAGAAAACGTTTTAACAGACCTCATATAAAAAAGTAAAGTTTTATAGTTCTCCCGTTACACTCAAAGTCTACCACAACACTGTTTACTCCGACATAAATTCCCTTTCGAGAGCAGCGCCCATAGCATTCCATTCACGCTCATCTTCCATATCTTCAGCTTCAAGATTTTCAACCGAATCTTGCGAGTTATCACCTAGATCAAGATCATCGGGTAAACCCTCGCCCCGACGAAATCGAGTCACTGGATCGTCTTCATCCTCATCTTCTGCGAAACAGCGCTGTCTTTTCCTCTCATTTTCCCCTGAACTACTGCTTTCTTCGTCACTGTCGCTCTTCCGTTTTTTGGATTTCAGAGACTCATCATAAATTTCATCATCTAAAATATACATACATTTAAAGCATTAAAATTTTACAAGTTCATATTTAAATATATTCTGAATATTATCCTTTCTTACAGCCGTAAACATCATTGGAATCCGAGTCAATTTCTCTTTTATGACTCATTTCTTCATGATTATCATCATCATCATCATCATCATCATCATCATCATCATCATCATCATCATCGTCATCATCATCGTCGTCGTCGTCGCCATCACCATAAATATCATCGAGATCGAGATCAGACATATCTTCTTCTACTTCTTTATCCATCTTATCAATTTCTTCTTGTGTGAAGGTCATTAGTGGATTTATACTATTAGCGAAATTATCTTCTATCTTTAGAGCATCTTCTTCTATGTGCTCGGGGGTGCTGCAGTGTGCTGGCGGCTTCCTGAATTCGCGAGCCTACGGTTACTCAATTATGGTTTGTGTGCATTAAACGAAAATAAACAAAAGGAACCAAAAACTTTCAGTAGATTATTTATTCATGAATGAAAACAGAAAATAACTTGAATAAATGATTCGATAACAAGGAAAATAAAAATTAGATGAATAGTATGTACAATAATTCTCAGACTTACCTTGTGCATAGGTACTTCTTTCAGTGGGTACAAGCGTTCGTCAACGTGTTCCCATCTTTCTGCACAAGTCCAAAGCCAATCAGGATTAACTATACAAATGTTTCCCTTCTTTTTTGCCTCTCTTACTTTGACTGTTCCAGGTTGAATGGCAACTAAATGTGTTGTTTTGTCCGTAAGATCCTAATATACCATTGAACGTAAACTCTGTTCATTGCAACTCTTTATTTATTGTAAGTCAGAATAATAGACAGTACCTGCGACACTTTTGCTCCGAATGCTCTGGCTACTTTATAAGCGCGACTTTGATGAATTTTTAGATTGTTTGGTATAAGACCACTAAAAGTCAAAGTTAATTCTTTCAAAACTTTCGACTTCACTCTTGGTATTATTTCTCTAAGAGTTTTCGCCCTTGCATCTGCCTCTGATGAATTGTAAAATTCTAAGTGTATCCTTTTTAAGATATCTTCTAAATATAATAAATAATCATCATGATCTTCTTTATGGAAAAGCTGTGACTCCTCCTGTTCAGTTTCTTTCTTTATGCTTTTTCCATCAACTACTTCATTTTTAATTTCACAACTACTAGAATTTTCTGAGCTATAATTAGGTTGATTATTCTGTTTACTAGTCTCTGGATTAGACTCATCATTACTTTCATTTTTGCTTATCGATGTTTTGTCAATTGTTTCATTGAACTTTTTTACATCCACTTCTTTTTCAGTACTTTTATCTCTATCAATAGCTTTTTCTTTATATTTATCACTGATATTTTCAGAGACTTCATCTGATCTATTTAATGCATCAGATTCTTCTTTCAAAGTTTGTGGAACAGGATCATCATGTTTTCCCAAACCCGGAGGTGAATGTATGTCTCCAGTATGCAAGAAAAAATGATAAGGTTTTACTTGAACTAAGTTTGCACAGCCTTGCCATACATCATCTCGGTCATCAATAATGCAAACCATATCAACTCCACAAGGAAACAACGCTCTGTAAACAGAAATTATATTAAAAATAAATTATAAATAATGACTTATTGGTACATACTTCAAATTAGCAGTTTTTGATTGAGGATCAAAACATTCATCTCTGGATAATATCCGATGTGAGAACAGTTTTCCATCTTCATCAAGAAGTGAAGCTACTTTATGAGCATACTGCCTTGCACCAAAAGTACAAATGTGCAATTCATATAACTTGCTTATTTCTGCCAAAAAATTTTTTGTATGAGGCCTCAATCTTGTATGATACCAAGGTGAATGTGGCCCATAAAGTTGATAGTGATAGACATCCTAAAAATACATTTCTATTATAGAAATATTCTCTTAGGATTCAATCACAATTTTTTGAAAGTTATTAAAAATATTTATAATAACCTCAATATTAGCTGGTATGTTATCATTTGTAGTATGAACAATAGTTTGATCAAGATCTACCAACAATACTAGCTGTTTGTCCTTCAACAACCTTTCTTTATCTTCTCGACCAATCTTTTCTGCTAATTCAGCTGTAACTTTGAGTTCTGGAACACTGTGAACCATAGGCACAGTGGCCTGTGATACCGATGACATATTTGGATTTGTTGCAAATTCTTCTCTCAAATCAGCTCCACACTCAGCACACAGATCTTTCATTACTGTTGGATGAGTACACCCTTTCATAATGGCAACTGGTTGACTGAAGAACAAATTTTTATGAGATAAATACAAGGAATTTTAACAGTACATAAAGACACTAATATTTACTTATGGTTAATGAAATGAATTACATTTTGTTCAATGTTAAGCTTCTATAAATGTAGTTAAATTTCATAACGTTAGTGTATAACTGTTTATAAGTATGTTTTAATTGAATACAAAGGAAAATTAGACATTGAATAGCAATTAATTACTATCACTGTTTAAAATGAGCAGAACAGAAGTTTTCATTTGACCAATACAATAAGTCTCAATCAATAATCTACCTCGCGCTTTTAAAGCAAAAATTACTGACATAAATAAAGAAGCCCCGCTAAAAAAGGGGAAAGCAAAACAAACAATGGAGCAAATCTTCATGTGAGGTTAGAACGGCATTAATTCCAATTTTTTAACTCACCCGGGATAAACGACCTCATTATCTTTGACAAGAAGTTTAACTAAGCGTCCAAATTGTGGTGCCTTGAGCTTTTTCTCGACGTCACCTGTATCGACATCCTGGTAGAGCATTAAAATCCTACCGGCAGTAACTGTTGTTCCTGCGGATACTTTCCACTTTTTCACTCTTAATGGCTCATCTTCATAAGGAAAAGTCACCTCGATGTTCGCCATTGTGACGATTACAATGTACTCCCGGTAATTTGGTGAAATAAGCCAGAGTTGTTGAACTGTATTTTTTTCTTTTGCGCGGGAGAGCCCAAATGTAAACACGCACACGCGCTCTGCAGGCTCTGAGCCTCTGGTTCTGCTCTGCCTGGCGCGGCTAACGGTTCGATGATTCGATCCTAAAGTATTGAGTAATAATAAGTACAGCGACGCGCGCAATTGCTATTTCGTTAATGGATGAGCGCAAGAATAATAGGAGTTAGAACCGCTAAAATGGTTCTCAGATTTTTAGAAAAATTGTTGTACGTTGTCTAATGGTCTCATATCACTGCAAATTTTTTTCTTGATTTGTCAAGAAGAAATGTGCAACATTTTTTTTCTTCTGAATTAAAAAAATGTCTGTTTACTGAATTATTCATTGGATAAATTTTCATTATCAAAACCAAAGATTCTAATTTACCTCATTATCCACCTTGCTATCATTTGTAATTACTCATTTTCTTATTTTATATAAATTTAATAATTAGGATGCCTGGAGTGGCGGGAAAGTGGAGAACCAGTAGATAATTTAGACCACCGCTCCCAACTTTAGATACCGACTGATTCCAGTTTAAAAAATGAGGCTCTGGTTGGCTCTCTCCACTTCAGATAAGATCTAAGGGCCGGAAAACCATACGGTATTTTCTTACAGTCCTCTGTTTCGCTCTGTTCAAATTCTGTACTTGTGACAGCAAAAACAATCTGGCAACAGTGTTGTGATATATGACATGTAAACACAGTTATATATATATATATATAGATAAATTATTGTTTAGTTTAATTATATATTTAATATTAGTAAAAATATTGTCCATCAATAAATATACCATGCGATATATCTGCTTCAAACATTTTGATAATTACAATATTTACATTGTTTAAAAATAAATGCAATTAAAAATATTAAATATATTATTAATATTATTAATAATTTATATACGATATAAATTCAACTATGTTTACATATCTCATAGGCCCTCGTCATGTAGCGCATACGCGCGCGTACGAGGGCGTACAAACACGTATGTACATACATACAAATCGCTAAAAATTTTGATAGTGCCAACAATAGAAAGTTACTACTATTTCTCGCATGCCCCAAACGAACACACTTACTCCCGGAACAAACGTATCATAACGCTATATTATTGAAGGTTATGATACGTTTGTTCCGGGAGTAAGTGTGTTCGTTTGGGGCATGCGAGAAATAGTAGTAACTTTCTATTGTTGGCACTATCAAAATTTTTAGCGATTTGTACGCGTTTGCACACCCTCGTACGCGCGCATATGTGGCGAGGGTCATATAAACACTGTTGCCAGATTATTTTTAATCACTGCAAATACAGAATTGGAAATTGGAACAGTGCTAAACTGAAGGAGTGTGGACAAAATACAGCCCGGTTTTCTGACCTGTGGAACTTATCTTCATACATATATAAATACATAGTGTTTATCACTGAGTGTATATAGTGAAACACTAAGTGTATAAATAATTATAAATAATTGTATTTCATGCACATCAAATTAATGATTGTTAAGAATATTTTGGATCGAGATTAACACATTATTATGGATGTAAACTTCAAACATAACCTGTTGATATTTTTGATATTTTTATTTGTACATTTTGAAATGAGCTTATTTTTAAAAAGTTATGCAGCTCACAAACATTTGCTTCAATTTTTCAATAAATATTAGAAATAGGTTAGTGTTTAATGTCAAGAGACAGTTTTCAAGAGATGCTAAACAATTAGACTTCCAAGAAATAACAACAATGAAAGTGCTGCATGTTGCTGAAAAAAATGATGCTGCCAAAAACATCTCAGCACATTTGTCCAGAAACACTTCTCGAAGAGTAAATAGCATTCAAGAATAACCTCTGTTTATCAATTTCAACGGTTATTGTAATTATTTCACTTTGATTCCAGAGAGAGGGCATCTCAAAGTTCAACAAGATTTATGAATGGGAAGCTCTGTTATTTAATCAGAATTGCAAGATGATTATGACCTCTGTTTCTGGTCACTTATTAACGTATGAATTTACTGGTGCTTATCGCAAATGGTACGGATGTCCTCCACTTAGTTTGTTTGATGCTCCAGTTGTAAAGCAATGTATTGAAGAATCTTCAGAGAAAATCAAGAGAACTTTGGAAAGAGAAGTGAAAACTTGTGGTGCTTTGATTATCTGGACTGATTGTGACAGAGAAGGTGAAAATATAGGCTTTGAAATTATCAAAGTTTGTCAAGCTGTTAAACCTAGCATTAATATCTACAGGTAACATTTCAAAACTTGTAATCAGAGCCTAAATTTTAAGTTATGTTTTGATACTCCACTTTTTTTTCAGGGCAAAATTCTCTGAAATTACGCAAATTTCAGTTGACAGAGCACTTCGCAATTTAGAACAACCAGATCAAAGACAGAGTGATGCTGTTGATGTAAGAAGTGAACTAGATTTAAGGATAGGTAAGTACATTTAATTTTTATTTTATTATTTGTGTATTTATAAAGTAGTTCTTTTATTTAAAAATAGGTGCAGCATTTACAAGGTTTCAAACATTGAGACTGCGGAAAAAATTTCCCCAGAATTTAGCAGATATGTTAATAAGTTATGGACCATGCCAATTCCCAACACTAGGTTTTGTAGTAGAAAGGTTTTTAGCTATTGAAAGATTTCAACCAGAGCCTTACTGGAAGCTTAAAGTAATTCATGAACAAAATGATCTTGCTGTTGAATTCAGGTATGTCATAATTTAAATTAAATGCTCATTAGGAAAAGAAATAGTTTAATGTATAAAACTGTTTTTCCATATAGATGGGCACGAAATAGGCTTTTTGAAAAGCTGCCTTGTGAAGTATTTTTGGATATTTGTCAAGAAAATCCACAAGCAACAGTAGAGAAAGTATCCAATAAACCAAAGAGCAAATGGAGACCATTGCCTTTAGATACCATAGTAAATTTCAATTTATATCATTAGCTTATGTCTATTTAATTATATAATAAAAAATAATTTCTAGGAATTGGAAAAACAAGGCTCACGCAAGTTGCGGTTAAGTGCTAAACAAACGATGCAGATTGCCGAAAAACTCTATACCCAAGGCTTTATCAGTTATCCACGTACTGAAACGAATATATTTCCTAAAGAAATGAATTTAACAACATTGGTCACCCAGCAATCAAATTGTAATGCTCCTTGGAGCATTTTCGCTCAACGAATTCTCGAGGAGGGTATCAGTCCGAGGCAAGGCAAGAAAAGTGATCAAGCTCACCCGCCTATTCATCCCACCAAGTATGCTGATTCGTTGCAGGGTAACTTATTTATATTTAAATAAATATTTACTTAGTACCTAAAGTATCATGTATGTTTGTCAATAATGTTTGTTAATTGTATAGGTGACGAAGCGCGTGTTTACGAATTTGTAGTACGACATTTTTTGGCCTGCATTTCAAAGAACGCTGAGGGTTTTGAAACCCTTGTAGAAATTGACATAGCCGGTGAGAAGTTTGCGACAACTGGTCTCCAGATCATTGCAAAGAATTACCTCGAAGTATACATCTATGAGAAATGGAATGCCAAAGAAATTCACATTTACGAAATGGGTCAAACTTTCATTCCTACTTCTATTGAAATGGTCGAAGAGACAACATCTGCACCGAATCTTCTTACCGAAGCTGATCTCATAGCTTTAATGGACAAACATGGCATTGGTACCGATGCTACCCATGCCGAACATATTGAGACTATAAAATCGAGACATTATGTTGGACTGAGGGATAATAAGTATCTGATTCCTGGGAAGCTTGGTATTGGTCTTGTTATGGGCTACGACAGGATGGGTTTCCATATGTCGAAACCTAATTTAAGAGCCGAGCTTGAAAGTGACTTGAAACTGTAAGTGTTATTGTATTCAATGTATTGAATGATTATTGTTATTTATTTAATTTTTATTTATTACTATTTCTTATTATTTATTTTATTGTATCCGTCGATTCTCATAATGAGGATCTTCCAATAACCAATTTGCATTTAATAATCAGAATCTGTGAAGGACAAAAACAGCCAGACGAAGTTCGCCAGCGGACAATCAACAAGTATCGCGAAGTTTTCCGCGAGGCTCTCGTCCGAGCGAATATGATCGACGAGGCATTAGCTGAGTATCTTAATGAACGTCCAGTCGAAGTTGCGGAAGAGGAAATATCAGTCCCAGATGAAAATGAGCCTATTCTGAAGTGCCCAAAATGCAACTCAAATATGGTTATCAAGACTAAAAGGCAAAACAATGGGAAATACATTGGCTGCATGGGATATCCTACGTGTAACAATGTTATTTGGCTACCAGAAACCGTCGAAAAAATTGAAGTTCTGGATGAGCGATGTTCTACAGTGAGTGAAATGTACTTATTTATGCAATTTCAATGCTTATGAAAATTTTCTTCATGAAAATTTTTCTTCCTAGTGCCCTGAAAATGTGTTAAAAAAAATTCGAGTAAAGCTAACGCGCAATGCTTTTTCGGTACTGGGTACATCATATGAGGCGTGTATAGGTGGCTGTGATGCAATGTTTAACGATTGCATGAATATTAGAAGAAATTCAGTACGACGACCAAACGCGGGTGATGACGGTTATGATAGCAATTCATCATCGAGTTCTAGTCGATCACAACAACGAAACCAGTCAACTAACCGAAATCAAACTTCATCAAACGGAAATAATGCAGGAAACCAATCGAATCAGAACTTTGGAGGTAATCGAAATAACGATGCATCATGGAACAACAATAGGAACCAATCGAACCGAAATAATGATACATCGTGGAATAGTAGTGGATACCATAGTAACAATCAAAGCCGATCGAATAATACGTGGAATCAAAGCTCAACCTCGACCTCTAATACTATTGTCACTGACGGAGCCAATAATTACAACTGGGCCAATGACAACAGCGGTGAGATTGTGTGCAATTGCCATGAACCAGCTAAGATACTGACCGTACGAAAAGAAGGACCCAATCAAGGTAAAATTGCGAATAAATTTCCTCGTTATTTATAGATTAAATTGACGTTAAATTGTTACAGGACGAACGTTCTATAAATGTGCCAAACCATCAAATCAAAGCTGCAACTTTTTCCTTTGGGGTACTGAGTCGGATGCAGCAGGTTCCAGTTCAGCAATACTAAGACCTGCCGCCAGTAACTGGAATCAGAATCAGAATAATAGGCAAAATTTTACTAACAATAGGCAGAATAATCAGAGCTCGACCAATATTTCTGGAAACTGGGACGACGACGCCGACGGCTGGCACAACGAGAACGAGGTCACATGTAATTGTGGACAGTCGGCGAAAAAGTAAGTTTATTTTTATATTTTATTCTACGATGTATAAAGAAGCTATTAAAAACAATATTGCTAGGAATAGTTCTTTTCGTATAAGTTCGCGAATAACGAATTGATTGTTAGTAGAAAACTATGAATCAATATAATTTTTCCTTTTTGTTATTCTCTGAATATGTCGCATTAAATTTATAAATAACTTTTAGGTTAACAGTTCACAAAGAAGGACCAAACAAGGGTCGACAGTTCTACAGTTGTCCTCAAGGCCCAAATTCCCCTTGTAACTTCTTTCAGTGGGCTGATGGAAACACTGGCGGTGGTGGTGGGCGTGGAAGGGGTGGTAGTAGTAGTTGGAATAACGGACAAGGAGGTGGAGATGCTGGAGGTGGTTACAGTAGAGGAGATAACAGCAACTGGGGTGGACCACCAGCTCGTGGTCGTGGAAGAGGACGAGGCGGTAGTGCAGGCACTGCTCCGAAGCGACCGAAAGCTTCAGCTGGAGGTGGAACTTCTAAACGCAAATGTGGAATTTGTGGTGTTGAAGGTAAATATACTTGATAATGCATTGGACGAATTTGAAAGTTAACGTAAATTATCTCTGTTGCAGGTCACACTAAACGAACGTGTCCTCAGAATAACTAAAGATGAACTATTCATTTGTTATTTCTCAATTGCAAATGAAAGAACCATCAGATTATTTATATTGTGATTAGACTACAAGTGCCTAATTAAAATAAGAGAAGCTTTTGTACTTTTATAAAAAAATAATTTATTTGTTTAGCATGTAAATACAATTAGAATCAAAACTCGTAGAAGTTTTCATTTCATTCAGATATTGAAGATCATTGTGATATAAAGAAAAGAGAACTAATTCTAAAATTAAATTTTTTTGATATGAACAATCATCATAGAATTATCGACTCTGGTATATATTTTTTAATTAAAACCGGTTGTCACTCGTTTGCCCGTATACAGTTTACTCCGTAACTTTTCCAATTCCTCTCTGTTCAGATTCGCCTCTGCCGTTGCTTGTGTCAACTAGAAGAATAAATACTTATTATATTCTGTAAGCTAGTGTATTAGTTTTTTTGTTCAACATTGATTCGTACATTTCGTAAGTATATTTGTAAAATTATTTATTAATTACCATATCTAATACAACTTCAAATTTTATTTTCAAGAGATGATTCTCTTCTTCTAGCCTTTTCACTTCCTTTTTTAGTTTCTCATTTTCCTTGTATGTGCCACCGGCTTTACCCGACTCTAAATATTATATATTTTTTAAATTATCTAAGGTATCTAAGGTAATAAAAAACAAAGAAAGAAAAAATGTTTTACCAGGAACCCATAATCCTCCATCAAATACAGCTTGTTGATCTCCAAGGCAAATTCGAATTTCTCCAATATTAGGACCAAGCTCTTTTTCAATCCTTTTTGGGCTTAAGTCTTTACTAGCTAGTGATATTGTTGCCTTTCTTGTTGGTGTTTTTTTTGGAGAAAATGTCGGCTTATTTAGCCAATTTGGCATCTTAATCATTTTTCTGAATTAGTTTGCTTGTAATCTGAGAAACGAAAAACTGAAATAAATATTTACTACTTCTTACATTTTTTAAATTACAAAAAAGTAAATGTTATAGTTTGTATTAAATATGTAACATTGTTATGGCTATTGCATTTTAAGTAATATTACTAGATTAACTAAACAAATAAGTTGGTAATTCGTTTTTCTAAACTTAAACTTTCACTGTTCTAACAAAACTGTAAAGTATTTCTAGTTGTATCATGAAAAACAATGCGCATGTTATTTAATTAATTTAACTTATCAACACCAAAAAAAATCTAAAATTAATTTGAAATGCTTGAAAAATTCTAAGTAGAATTGTGCATTTACTTTTTAGCTCAAATACGATAACTATCACTATTTCACTGTACCAATAGCCGTATAAACAAACGTCAACAGCGGAGAAATTAACAAGCCCCAACAAAACGGAGCAGAAGCGTCGACTGCTTTGTTTACGATATTGGAGTTGTTAAGTAACCTCATGGTGACAGTTTTCTTTGCTTATCGCGTTTAACTCGTAGCGCTAGCATCGCTGTTCGCAGAGATATGTTTTTTCTCGTATAGGTATACATAGTTTTAGTAAGGCAGCTCGCAGCAGTAGAGCAGCACTGGCAGCAGCAGTTGGCGATTGCAGTTTATGTGGACAGTCGTATCCCGCAAGCAACGTTTTCTCTCCCATTGTCGTGTTTCTTACATTCGGGAGTATATCCGAATCCACGCATCATTATTGTGGTTGTGTAAATTCGCGCGTAGAATAGTGCGTGGAAGAAAGTTGCCTTTGTGTTGCGTGGACTCGTGCTGGGGAGAAATTTGTTTAGATTATTTTTAAAATAACGACCAACGACGAGCTGGCAGTTCCCGTTTGTGCTGTCTTCTCTGGGAACATGATTGTTTCTTAGCTGCATCAGCGTGTTCTCTTCGTTTAGTATCTACATTTGTCTCGAGATAAATTTCCAATCTCGTGCTGCTCTGACTGTGCATGTGCTTAATTGTCTCATTATTGACAGACTTTCTAGTGCTTAAAGAATGATCATTGCTGGAATGCTTGCTTAAAACTTGAAAAAGGTAATTTTTTTATTGTTCATTCTTTGCCATTGTTGCTCATACAGTGGTGCTTAAAACTTGCTTTGCTGTTTCATAGCATTTTGAATATTCAAAACAATAATTTGAATAACAGCTGTGATGAGCTTTTTGTAATTGATGCATTACGTACTGTATTTCTTTCTGTAACTTCATAAAAACAGTCAATGTTCTTTTTTCAAAAGTAGATTTATCATTGAACAAGCTCAATTTATCGATTGTATGAGTTAATACTGATAAATAAAACACATTCAAATAAACATATAATAAACCATTTTCAAAATAAAAATTGCTCCAATTACTAATTACGGAATTTGATATACTGAAAATGATGTTTTCTATACATTTTTTTCAAATCTAGTGGCCCTCATACCTTAATATGATTAAAATTAATACTTTGTACCTTTTATCAGTCCTATAGACATACATATGTAGCATGACCTATCAAATCTTAGAAATAATAAGCAATGAGTATGAAAGAATTGTTATGAAAGAATAGTAATGAATCTGATATGCCTTTATGCATCAATTAGATAAATACCAAGTATTAATTAAATCAGATATTTAACTTGAAATGAAATAAAATTTTTTTCTGTAATCCGTTTTTATAGCTTCATTCATGAATATTACTAACGCTATATATAGAAGTAAATACTTGTAGTGTATTTAGAATATTTATATTTGCTCATTAGGTGCACTGGATTAGTAGATAGACGCAGCTTCTTTTTTGCTGTGCAAACATTTCTATAATGTTTTCGTCAGGTCTTGGCTGTAACTTGTCGTTTCCTAGCTGCCTTGGTTATACTCAAGAGAGTGAAGAGTTACTTCCCAGAATGGCACGTGAACCTATCACACTCAATGTTTATGATATGGTAAAAATACTCAATTTTATTACATATATTTATAATTTATTATGATACATTCATAATTTATTATGATAAATTCATAATTTGTTATTAAAAATTTCTTTTAGTAAGTTCTAATCTTATTTCAGTATTGGATCAATGAGTATACAACTCCAATGGGATTAGGAGTTTTCCACTCTGGTGTTGAAATTTATGGAACTGGTATGTTTATTTGATATTATCTTAATTTTACTAATCAACTACTTTTTGCAGTGGGACACAAATCAATTTAATTTAAAACAGTTTTTTCTTATTGGAGGGTTAGAAGATTTACTATGTATGAGTCATAGCTGACTACATTGAAATTGATGAATCATTCATGTTCTCACGAATTCTTATTGTTTTAATTGTATTCTGAAAATAAAGTAAAATTAACAGTAAAGTAATTGAATTCTTGTATTTGACAATTGTGTGATTACAAATTTTGATAAAACATCAGTAACTTTAAGTGTAGTCATTAATAATTGTAATTATAGAATATGCATATGGGGGCCATGCACTTCCAATGACTGGGATATTTGAGATACTTCCAAGAACTGCTGAAGAATTAGGAGAACAATTTAGATTTAGGTAAGTAAGAATTACAGGTGAGTATGTGAGAAACCGAATTTTTTGAGTTTATTCTTAATGGTTTTGTTTTTCTGATGGTTTGCAGACAATCAATTCACATTGGCTACACGGACTTTACCGAGGAAGACGTGGCTCGAATAATCAACGAGTTGGGCAAAGATTTCAGAGGCGATCGTTACCACTTAATGAACAAGAACTGCAATCACTTTAGCGGCCAATTTATCAATGTATATTTACCGCAGATCTTTAACACGTGAGAAAAAAGAAAATTTATGTACTAAAGTAATATCACTTTACAGATTCTATGCAACCAAGAAATTCCAGCTTGGGTAAATCGCCTTGCCTACTTCAGCTCGTGCGTACCGTTCCTACAGCGTTGTCTGCCAAAAGCATGGCTAACACCAGTAGCCTTGCAGCATTCATTGAGTACAGTAAGCAATCACGAGAGTACATCGCCATCAAATACGTCATTATAATATCAGGAGCAGCGTCATCGACGCTACCAAGGTGGCGATGATGACGACGCGACGGCTCAAGCTTCTGCCAGCAGGGATCAGAGCTTTTGAGTGAATGTATGTAAAGTGGCTATACAAGTGGCAGTAAGTTACTACCTATCACCGGTTAGATTGCGTTGTTTATAAAATATACGCGTTTATTACGGTGTACGAATTAATTTTACCCATTTGTTGTCAGGCTCAAATTTTATATGTGCATTTAAATGTAAAAATATTTGATTAATTTGTCTCTCGTTGTTTGTATGTGTATGGCTTAATTGATAATTTAGTCGCTAGTGCAGTGTTTATGTAGTTTTTTATTAAAGCCAGTGTCGCGTATTATTGATTGAGGTCCTTGAATGTTTAACAAACAGTTAAAGAGGGAAATCGAATAATACAACAAAAAAATAAGTAACTTACTGCCATTTGATTTTTTTTACGTATATAAATAAAAGAAAAACGCCAACAGTTCGAGAAGGCATTAGAGATCTTAAATTACGAGTGAGTGATTTATGAGTAAAATTTAGAGAAATTTGCCTTCCTTGTAACGTTACTCTTATACATTTAGACAATGAAGCGAGTAAAGGATATAAATATATACATATATGAATTTATAAATATTGCAATCAATTCGTTGGAAATATGCAATTTCACAGTTATAACAGTTAATGAGTAGCGATTTATGAAAAATAAAAAGTGTTGCCTAAAAAATCAAATTTTTATAAAGAGACTGATTAAAAAAAACAAAAAAAAACCAGTTTACTTACCAGACAACATGAACGTGCAATTGCCAATACGATACTGTCGAGTCCTAATTCACAAATAGGTATAAATAATTCAGATTTGTAAGATAACGTTACCAATCTACTTATTTGTTTATACTTCCGTAATTTTTTACTTATAAATACGTATAAATACGTACAAATATTTATGAATCCTAATTCTTTATTCGACTTTGAATGTAAATAAATGAATTTCAGTGTTGACCATGGTTTTCTATAAATTGAAAAAATTGCAGTACGTGTAAAAAAATCAATATTCTCAACTTAATTTCCTACAGCAGAATTATTTTTGGTAAACAAAAGTACTGTAGAAAAAATTCTGTGATGAAACCTTCAATAATTGCTTGGCAAAATTACTGTAACACCATCATATATGAGATTCAATGTTTCTATGTACGTTAACTATAATTGCCCATCCTGTCGTATCGATCGATTTGAAAAATTAATTACAAAGTGCATGTCTCAGTGTCGCGATAGCTGCCACTACATTGATTATCAATTTACCACAGCACTAACGCTACTCCTGTTGCATGATGACTCGCATTTAGAATATTATTTTAGAATAATTACTATCGAGAAATGTGTAGGTAAATGGACATTTTTTTACTTATCGTTCTACATAGTTCATATAACCAAAGTTATGCGAGGCGAAATTATAATAAAAAAGAAGTAATATGTCGTTGGTGATGCTATAATTGTTATGAGAGAGGGAGGGGGAAAAGCTTAGTAATGTATATTAAGTACAATCATGTCACCGAGTAGTCGACTCAAGTTCAGCATTTTCTAAGTACTTATATTTATATATTTCTTCAACGCTTGTTATTTACCGCTCGAGAAAAGATATATACTTAGGAAATGCCAAAGTCGATTTCTTTTTCTTGCTCCGAATTCGTTTATGCTAATCGAGGCAACTGCAATTTTATATGAAATTGCTTTAGAAAGACTCAAGTCACGAAGTGTTATTTTATATATATATACATCCATCTCTTTTATTGACCAATTTAATTTGTAATTTTATATAGAAAACAAACAGAAAAGCCAACGATGAATGAATTATACGCTTACTTTGCTTTTAACTCTAGAGCACAGATATGAGATGCCGATAATGTCATTGTTGACTTGTCGAGCGAAGTACAATTTATTGCACTTACACACAGCTATGTACGTACTGTTCGTTGTTCTCGAACGTTGGAAAATATATTAATAGAACACAGAATTAGACTCGTCGAAGGGATGAATTTTTATACTCTAATTTCTTACTTTCTTCACATAAATATGTAGTATTTTTCGTCGCTTCTTTAGAATCTCAATCCTGAGATACATAAATATGTAAGTGAATTTACGTTGAAACTTTTAAGTAAACATAAATTAAATAAATAGAAAAATTGTTAAAATCATAGTTAAAGCAATTAATGTTCAATATAAAAGTTAGTTATCTGCCTTCATAATGTTGCAACTTATGCTCAGTATTAACAAACAAAATGAACAAAATTCAATTAGTGATGTAACAAATTTTGATTCAGTATGAACGTTTCGGTTTCAGTTTCTCACTATACGCACGCACAGGAAAGAAAAATCAGATTTTAGCGACTAACTGAGTACTATATGATATATATTTATCTGAACTTTTGTTTTCTTACTGCATTGTATAAATGCATATATTTGCATTCGACGAGTGATGATGAAATAAAGTATAAGGCATGAGTTTTTTATTAAATTTAAAGTATACTTTTATTATATTGACCGTTCCTACCAATTGATCCATGATTTTTAGATGATCGGATGTGGAAAAAGTATGTAGGTAATGAAATGAAATCACAGTCGAATTTAAGAGAAATCAACTCTGTTTTTTATTATTCCAGCTAATTTTCTTTATAATCAGTTCAGATACATTGTTACAGTTCTTGCAAATGCGATTACAAGACATTATAAATGAAGCTCTATGTAGATTTTTTTTCTGTCGTACTGCGACATTTCGAAAGCGTATCATCGGTCTACGGTAAAATTAAATAATATATATTATTGAAAACATTACACGCGCTCATTGTCGATTCAATTTTTCAGTTGTAATAAATGCAAAATTGACCTGATTGACTATAACGTTTCTCTTACGTGTCTTTTTCCTTTTGCTGTTCGCTTACTTTGGAAATAAGTCCTTTGAAATTCTTTTAATAAATATACACGCCAACAATGCACGGGTTATCATAAATAAAACTTTTTTTATATCTCGTATTCTATTGTTGTTTTATTGCATTAATCAATAAGGTAAGTCTATAGGATAATAAAACTACTAGAAATTTATACAAAAAAAAACGGAGGGATGTAAAATAATATATAATAAAAGCACAAGTTTCTGAGTATAGTATTGTAAGGTAAACAAATGATTTTCGAAGCGCAAGAGAAAATCATCGAAATGACACTCGTGTATGTGCAGCTTGATTGTGAAACGTAAGGGGAGATAAGAAATTATTACAATAATATATTATGTGTACTAGTTTTTACAGTGAATCATAAATAATTATTATCATATAAGTATTCTGCAACATCGTATCTTCGGAGGGGGAAAGAGAATCTAATAAAATGAAGTAATGTAACTTGTTCGCCTATCTACCTTCTCCTGAGACACAGACAAGGACGATATCCCGAAGGTCATTAAACGATAATACGTCTAAAACGCACTTATGTATAAAAAGTATACAAAGTTTCTAAAAGTTATTACAAGGTACTAAAATTTGTACAAAAAGTGATTTGTTTATTCCCTTTTTATTCTTTTTCCTTTAGTTTATAAATCACCAGAAGGATAAACGTTTTTTTTTGTTTTTTCCGTGTAAACCGCATGTTTATATGTTTCCGTTAGTTAAGCAATATATTGACTTTTCAGTATATTGACGCGATACACTGCGATAACAATTTTTTTCTATGACACGTGTTAATATGCTTTTTTTGATTTTTAGAACCCTTTCATGTAGTAACAATTATTATGGAAGATAGATCGGCTAGTACTCGAGGGCGAGTACTCGATAAAGTGACATTCTTATTTCGAGTTTGCTAATATATCATATACGCATATAACCAATAATAATTTGTGAATAGTTACTTTTAAACCTTTGTTTCTTTATTTATTATGCTTAATTAATGCCGATGGCTAATACAGTATACTACTTCTTTCTTCGTTTCCCAGTTTACATCAAAATTTTTTCTTTACATTATTCATAATTTTCTACGTCGTATGTAGCTTATTGAAAAGAAAAACATTTTTTAGAAATAGTACATATAAAAAATAAGGCAACAAATATGTACACGATAAAACATCCTTCTGTTTATTATACCAAACGTACATGTTTTGGTAAGGTTTTTGTGTATAAAAAACTAGACAAAAAGCCGGTATAAATAACTTAAAAGTACTTTAGAACACAGGCAGAATGTTGGTAATTAAATTACCAATAAATTTTCATAATTTTCTTGTCGCATTAGTCATTTTTTTCTTTTTAAAATCTATAGTCTATAAGAAGCTTATCCTAAATGATCACACAATAATTAAAGTGCCTGTGTTTGATAACCGCTTGTTTCTGAACATACATGGATTTTAAATTTCCTTGGTTACAAAAATCGTAGACAATTTAAAAAATGATTATGCAATCTTATCACTTGTGTATTTCTTTCATTGCGCGGAAAGAAGAGAAACAATGAAAATAGCATAATTTCTATATGATGAAATCTCTTATGTCATGTATATCCCGCATGAATTTTCATAGTAAACATTGCACAATGTGTAAACTAAAAATATATTTGTATAATACATACGACGTATGCGAGATTATTATTCTTAATAAATTTGGACCAGCGTTACGACCAAAAAGTTGGTTATTTATACTTATTTTGTATCTATAAAAACAGAAAAGTTTGTCAATCATGCACATCATGAACAATACTCGTCATCGAAACTTCGTCGACGTCGATTAAAATACATTATCGGCCGTCTTGGACTAATTTATTCTTTCATATCTTGCTGAATAGATTAAGTAATTTTTTTTTGTTTATTGCTAAGTAATTTGACAGAGATTTTCCCTACATTTTCACCCTCGTTTCATTTCATAAATATATCAGATTCTCAATGATTAATAAGTCCTCGTTCTTACATAGAGCACACGCAAGTAAAGTAAAAATAAATTATTTGAAAAAACGAGGAGGAGGTAATGACAATTAATATTAATACAATATTTGCATCTATTAATATTCCGCAATCCCTTAATAAATATAAGCTTATATACAATTCATTCTCGAGACAGACAATAAATCTTTAAAATTTACTCTCTTATACGTATAATTAAAAACTTTACATTCGAGCGCCAAAGAAGAGAATAAGAAATAAAAAAATTATAGAATTGATCATTGCAACCATTGTCATTATCTAAAGCTCGGAGAAAAACTATTTATAAGGTAAATAATACTATCTGCATTAAACATGAAAAATCTTCATGATTTTCCATCGGTACGTCTGGTATATATATAATCTATTTCTATATAATGCACTAAAAGTAGAAAAAAATAATCTTTAAGGTGATAGACAGCGCAATGTATTTTTATACTATGCATACCTTAGTTGCTTTTTTTCTTTCTTTACACTCTTGCCATCTTCATCCATGATGAACGCAATAATTAATTAGCGAGCAGAAATGAAACAATAAAATTTACAAAAAGAAAATGCCGCTATGTTTGCGGGTGAGCGAAGCCAGTCTCACGATACTTTTTTAAATTTTTATAATAATTATAATATTCACTTGTCAAAAGATTATAGAAAAAATGTTACGCTGCTACAAGTGTATGTATATATAATATTTGTATAATCCTCGCGTTGTTGCCCCTACGAATTTGAGAAAAAAGCCGTGTAACTGCTTGGGTACCGTGTATATATATGTGTGTATATATATATATATATATATATATATATATACACATACACACATAGGCAATATAATAAAAATCTCGGTCGCACGCGCGTATATGTAGCTACTACAACATTACATCTCTTTCTCTTCTTCTGTAATCGTGTTCTCTAATTAAAAATCTGTATCAAGACTGTACATATAAGTTCAAAAAATTCTTATGGTAACTTCGTCGGGTAAAACGGTTCTTGTGTATATAACGCATATAATCCTCGAGGAAAATGTTACCAACGGCTACAAACATTGAGTTCACTTGATTTCCTTTTTTCTCTCTATGTACGCATGCATACATAAAATGTTTCTTTCATGGAGGGCAGGGTCTCATGCTATATAGTGTTTTTTTAGGAATCGTAAGATGATGATCCATGGTCATGCGCAGGGCTGGGTGGCGTCGATGGATTTGAGCTGTTGTTGGAGGCTATCGAGTGTCGCGGACTGCCTCCCGATACGTGCTCCTATTGTTTGAAATATCGATCGATCAGAAGGTTTTAATTTTGCGTACGCGTATGTGTGTATGTGTGTGCGTGAGTAGGATGTGGATTATTCAAAAATATAGTTGGTAACAGATACTTTGACAAGGTGAAATTAGAAACTTCTACGCGTTTATACGTCGTTAAATAAAGTTAATCAAGACTAGAATTACATATGATTTCTTACCTTATCTTGTAACGAAGCAATGCTGCCTAGAGAATGGGGCGTATGCGAGCGCATGTGTATAGAGGACGACTCTGAGTCAACTTGATCCACGGGAGTACGTGGCAACGACGGCGGTGTAGCAGTTGGTCGTGGTGGGGCTGGTCCTCTTCTTGAAGACGATGTTGAACCTGATAAACGGTAAACGGCGTTGATACATTGGAGCGTATTTACTTTGGAAATTATAAATTAAGTTATAAATATACCGTTGTGAGGCGAGAAACCAGAATTTCTAGGCATATGTGAACTCAGTCGTCGGGTATCAGAAGGCGGATGCCTGGGCGGCAGTGGTGCTGGCTTGTTTGGAGGCTGTACTGGTACACTGTAAAGCTGCAATAATTCATTCTTATAACACAATATTAGATTTTCTATGAAAAATGGTTAATCAGAAATTACGTACTCGTTGTGTGTTGCTGTAAATATGTTGGCTAGAATGTGATCCTAAGTATTGTTGATCGGCTGTTTCCAGAGTCGTTGGCAAGTCTAATAATCTTTGAACCTATGATTGAAAAAGAATATTAAGTATGGAACCCATGCAATATAAGGTTTTACATATAGATGAATTTATGATTATAATACTTACTTGAATACCATTTCCAGGGCCCATATGGGTAATGTGATTAAAATTAGTCGGAGCAGATATCATTTTAGAACGACGATCAGTTGGGCGAATAGCACGATTATTCTCGCGCAGCGAGAATCTTCTTCGAGGTCTTGACATTGATCTGCCACTTTGATCTAATGATCCCAGATTCAATACTTCCCCTGAAATCGGAAAAAAATTTATGATACTCATTTTCATACATTTATATTTAGGAAAGAAAAATATTTACGTTGTTGCATTTTGCTCAAATAAATAACATGTGGCATATCGTTAATGATACATGTTGTAAGCGATCCCGTCGTATTTAGTGGTTTGGCTTTCTTCACGTTAAGTGTTTGGAACCATTCACCATTCTCGCAGTCAAATACATCAATGTGCGTATCGGTGTACACCAATAAATAGCCTTCACAGTAACCTGTGAAGAGGATTCATTAAGTTTCTGATTTTATTGTAAAAATAATTTGGTAGCTATAAATAAAAATGATTATACTTACTGACTGCATTAGGATACGCGGTGTACATGATTTCTCTATCACGACTTTTTCTGCCCTGACTATCTACGTATACAGCTAAAGAATAAAATGCTAGCAGATATTCTCCGGACTTTTTCAATTCAATACACCTGAACGCATCGAGAGCATTGAAAGTTAGCAAGTTCAAGAGTGCATTTTCTGGATGAACCAAAGCTGTGATAGTTAAAGAAAAAATCAATAAATTATATAATTTATATATAAGTATTTGCAATAATCATTATTAAGTTACGGACATATTGGATGGTGGTCTCCTAAAATACTGTATATTGAGAATCCTGATGGATACCCAACGCAAAGGCGCCCTTCTCCTAAGACTTGCAACGTTTGTGCATGGCAGGGCAACATTAGTTCACGTATGCGTTTGTGCCGAGCTTTTGTCCGCGTTATTTCGTATATTATAACTTGCGAAGCATTCTAAAACGAAAAAGAATCACATAATATTAAATTAAAGTAATTCTAAATTGATGGTTCATTATTAAATAATGCCTAACCTGTTTCTTAATAGCCACACATAGGCAATAAATATTAGGATCTTTGCGCATTTTTCCTGTAGTAAGCGTGATGCATCCCTTGGTCTCTGCGACTTTAATCCACTCAACCTCGTCGCCATCCAAGGCTCGAACCGGCACAAGACGTACGTGCCGTTGCTTACCACTAAGTACGACTATCAACTGCTCTTCCGTTACGTATTCCAGCTGATATATCTTCTTACCCTCGCCAACTCTTGCGATTTCTACGAGTCAATTGAACAAGCCATTCGATCAGAACAAAACAAGCAATGAGAAAAAATATAGCTTTCGAGAAAATACTTACCACTACGATCTAAATCTAAACAAAACAGGCCTTCTTCGGTGCCAATGACTAGACGATCTGGATCAATGATAGATCCTGACAATACGTTTTTAACGACAATAAGGGACAGTGTGTTGTCCAGCAACTCTTTCGCGCGGAATACCTTCGTTAATAAGAGAAACAAGATTCATGTTATTGATTTAATAGATTAATGGTATTCGGTTATTCAATATTAAACATGGTATTAAAAACAAATAAGATAATTACAGTATTACTAGGGAGATTATTCCTTTTCAATATTCGATGTAGTTCGCTCAAGGCCACTACCCATTTAGCTTTTTCACTCTCGGTATCGGCAAGCATTAACGTGTGATTCCGCAAACCAGGTGGTTCCAACAAAGATGTTGTTATCTAGTATACAAATCATTTTATAAGAGCGATTACTTTCAAAGGTAAACTACACTATGTTTTTTAATCGAAATTGTAAAATTTTCGTAAAATAAGATTTCAAAATACTGCAATAGAATCTTTGATGAACTCGAAAAAAACGTTTATTAATATAATGAAAATTGAACATTTTGTGTAGTGTACCCTTAAGCGTTAATTTTTACAAAATTAATCGGACGTTATTTAATTTTTAGATATTTAATTAAACAAGATAACTTAATTATCATCACTCGTAGCGTTATTTGGCTGTTTTATTTTTATTATTTTGTTGTTGCTCTGTTACGAATTAATAAACAAACTCATCAGTATAATTATATTATCAATACAAGAAGATACCGTACTGTCTTAATAATTAAAATTGATAAGTTGATAATATTAGTAAAGCAAGAAACATTCATTTACGGTATCTTCTTAAAGATCTATCAATTTGTATCATTAAAAAAAGCACACACTAACATATTGGCACACTCACCCTAAATATACAAGGAATATCCTTTTTGGTGGCATGAATGACATCGGAGTCGCGTACAGAACTGACGCTAAACTCTTCGTCGCGCATGTCGAGTACCTGGGACACGTAGACCGATGGCATGGAGTTCCGGTCGGATAGGTCGTAGAGGAACAACTTGAAGTCGCACACTACCACGAATTGGCGCACCCAACCCTTTTTCACACCACCCATCTTAGGTACTTTGACGTAACCTTCATATGCCGTACCGATTCCGCGTGTTGGATCAATTCCTAGCGGTCGTTTCGCTGAAACGAGGTTAAAAGCAAATGAATATAAAGTTACACGTGCAGTAAGAAAAAAGCTGATATGCGAGCTACTCACTTTGATCATGAGGAACAGGACAGACGGAGGGCACTTTCTCACAGCACTGTACGTGGCAAGCAAAGCCGCAGACCTCACAGACGACACCCTGCCTGATCACACCAACCATGAGGGAAGTGCAGTGATTGCATTTGGTCGGCTGAGAGAAGGTGCGTACGAGGAACTGATGGGCCTTTGGCTTTGGTTGAAGATTCGCCGTCACGTGGCTCTGCGATATTGCTGACGACTTGTTCAGCAGCTCATGGGACAGTGGAGAAGTTGGATCCTGCAAATGTTCGGGACATTTTAGCATCTTTGCTTTGAAGGTAACGAATCTTGATTGTTAGAAATAAAATGATACTTACGATGCTAAGTTCGGATAGGTTGCTCTTGCTGCTGGTGATGCTCGGTGCTCGGTTGTCCTCAATATCACCCTCGACGCTGTCGACGCTGCCGTGTCGGGCGTTACTCGCGGTCTCTTTGAGAAAGTGCTCGAGATACGACATTTGCGAGGTTGGTCGTTCCAGAACTGAAAAATTCACAAATCACTCACATTAATAAATACGACCACGTTGACTTGTCTTTTGTAGCGCGCATCTCACAAAGTCGCTGTTAGGCAGAAAGAAACAAATAAAAAAGTCCTTATTGTGGACTGTAAGAGAAAAAAAAAAAGAGGCAGTCAAAGAAGAGAGAGTTATACATGATATAGGCACATGGGTCATCACTCTGCTCAAAAGTAAAAAAAATATATCCTTCGATTGTCGTCGCAACTATGGCGCTAACGCAAACATCACACTCTCACTCGGAGAAAGAGAGAGTATTCTGGTTCTGTCATGTGGGAAGCACAGCATCCTACATTGTCTAACGAAGAACAACACTGCACCCAACGCATTTTCCCGTAATCTGTGGGTCTTATCAGTGCCGGTGTATTTGTATACGCACGTCGCAACTGTGCTTTGCAAGTAATAACAAGAGAGCGAGCTCGAGAGTCAATGGAGTCAATCAATTATCTTCGACAGAGCTATGTTTCAGTAATTACGCGCGAGTGCTTTGGTACATCGCGATGATTAGTGGTCAAGCGAAAATTTCCACACGCAGTCGCAAACTTGCATGCAGCACACACACACGAGCGCAAGTCATCGCAAACAACTCTCCCCAAGAAAATCCACGCAACTTTAAGGATGCTTCACATGTCGTGTGTTTATATTGGCAAGGCAAATTTATAGTACGGTATTTTTATTCATTAAGGTCGTTATACGAATTGTATCGCACGAGATGCGAGAGCGGCTCGTGTTCATTTGGGGTTCGGTGTACTGAAAACATAGCGCTGCACCAAAAAATGCTTTTTTTCTTCTTTCATTTTTTTTTTCATTCTCTACTATAACTGAGATGTATGTCTCTGCTCTCGTCAACCTGTGATTTTTTATAATTCGAACAAAATATTATTAGTTTTTCTCGGACTCGCGTAAATGAGAAAAATAAAAACTTCGAGAAATACAAACAAAATTAAAACTGTCACGCAATTTTTGCAATATCTAAAATCTGTCGAGTTGTTCGAACAACGCGACAAAAGTAAGAGGGAACGCGTACGAACAGAACAAAAAATGAAAATAAAACTCTTTGTTATTCACAGGCTGACACTGGATCACCCGAAATGCGAAAGTGAGCGAAACAGAGACACATAGGAGATATCACCACAGCCGGGGATGATACCATCACGATCAATTACCGGGGCATCGGCCCATATGAGTGGTAGCTTTGGCGACGGTTGCGGCAGCGGCGGCGGCATCATCAACAAGAGCAAGCCTAGCTAATGGATGTGTGTGACGCATTACAGTTGCGACTCGGCCTTGGACGACGAGGACGCGTCTTGGTCGCTGCTCCCGACGATGCTGCTGCTGCTGACGTTGCTGTACTGATGATGATGATGATGATGATGATGATGCTGGTGGTTGTAGCTGTTTGCCGATGATGGCGGCGACTGTCACAAATACAGTTTGATGATGAGCAACAAGAGGCCCCAGACGCAGCCGGTTACGCCGATAAATAGAGGCACTTTGCAGTCTAGAAACATCAGAATGGCACAACGCAAATACCGCTTTATCGTTCTTTGCTTTTCAGAGTCGGTCGGCAGCAGGCTTCTTTCGCTCTTTCTCTCTCAGCTTCCATTTTTCCCCTACGCGTACATCACACTCTCTTTCATGGGCATTTTTTTATTCATTTCGTTGGTTTTTGCTTTTTTCGGGGGGATACTCTCGCATGGCGATGATGGTGATGGTGACGAGTATTCGTTTCAGCAGCACGCGATTACTGTCCATCGAGTATACGTCTGTTTTCATTGTACTTTTTTAGTGGATGCGTCATTGTACTTTTTTAGTGGAATTATTATTTAGCATTAATCAACGAAGGATGAAGTTGATTAACCGTAAATAGGCAAGCTGGTTAAATTGAAATATACCCTGCACGATTTACGAAACTTCTAGAAATTACAACACGCTTCAAATTACTCTTTTATAGCCAATTAGTCAAGCGACAAAAGTCTGAGCAATTTTCCTTTTTAAAGATTATATTACAAAATAAATTTTGACGATTGCAACCTCACATACTTTGCTCTGTTGCTCCATGAATACAACGATATACAACGCTAATTATTCGGATTCGGAATGGAATGTGCATGTCGGGCGTCCATCTCTTAAATGTACATGCTTGACCCTATAAATCAACGTTCACTTGTTGTTTTCTTTTTTCCTTTACAAATTCTTTTTTTTAGTGAGTGAGATGATGACGTATGATTCGTTAAGGTGATGATACTCAACTGATACTCAACGGCATATGCCTACCAAAGAGTCTTCGTAAAATAGCTAGAAAAGTTCTTAAAGATGAAGTTGTGGTTGTTTTTATAAAAGAAATTTTATTAATTCAGTCTTATCACAGATAGATATATAGAAGCAGTAAAAAGATGTACACATGCGCGATTTTTACGTTACGAAAGTAAAAAAATAAAAAGAAAAGTTAAAGAGTTATCATTTTAAGGGAAGTCAAAAGTTACATTTTTGAATAATACTTGGTTTAATAATTTATAAAAAAAATAGCAGCCAATTGAGCAATCAATTTGCGAAACTTCCGCCTTCCCTTAAACGCATACAATAACGATAAGACGGTGAGCGGAAGAACAAGTGTATTCTCCGTGTAATATAAAGTGCAAGATTACTACACAATACAGTGATGGAAAACTGGTTCATTAAGGTAAAATTCGTATAGGTATTTGCCAAGCACAGTTGGTGATCGACAACCATCTGTGAAAAATATTAGAATAGAAGAAAGACCGGAAAGAAGGATGTAAGAGAAAATTAAAAAATATAAAAAAAGTGCAAAGTAAGAAAGAGTGTCTACAATAAGTTTCTAAACAACCCATGGCACAGATTATAGTTTTTACATACTACAAAAACAGCGTGAATAATTGCAACCTGTACAACTACTATGGACATGATTTTTCCGTAAGATTGGGCTTGAACTATGATGGAAGGAGTTTCATCGCCGCTACTACTTGCAATTGCTTGGTACTTACAGCCGTCGCCGGAATCTAGCCGGCTTTGCAGATCTTTTATTTGAATCTCCTTGCGCTTCATCTCGTGCGACATCGAGTCCAATCGTTGACGGAAATCACGTAGTTCCCTAAATGACATGCATTTGCGTCATTAGCTATTATCCAAACTAATATGTGAGTTTTTATAACTCTGCGCTTACTTTTGTGCCGCAATAAGATCCGAACGCGTCTTCGTCAGTTCTTCCGAAATCGCTTGCTTCGCTTGGATTTCACTTTGCAATGAACTCTGTAAATTAAGCAGCTCCATCTTGTCAAGTTTCTGCGACCGTCTGTTACGCCAGTTTTTGTCTGTGATAGTCGAGCCACCTCCAACACCACCAGGACCTCCCGTGTGTTTCAAGAATTCGAGCTCCTCAGTCATTTTTGTCGCCAGAGCCTTGAAAAATAATAATTATCTTAGCCTTTTTTTTTATTATTAATCGAGGAATATAATTCTGTATAATGGAAAACAAGTTTCACCTGTAAATAGCCTCTTGCATCTTTTTCATCGGATACCCACTGAATAATCTCGGTGATCTGAGCCTCCCACTGCGCAATAGCCTCCTTCTTATTTCTAAGTTCTTCGTATTCATCTTCGAGTTGACGCCTCTCGCTTTGTATCCTGTTAACACTATCCGTAACAGAGTTCAGTTCAAGCATGAGTTTCTTATTTTCTTCGATGATCATCATTTTTTCGCGCTCATGTCTACGATTCAATTCGTTGATCGTCTCTTCGCTATCCGTGAGATTTTCCAACCTCGCGTTCTCAAGCTTTTCCTTCGTCAACTGCACTTCGCGTTCAAGTAACTCACGTCTCGTCTCAGCCTCGAGTAGCTGTTCTTGCAGCCCACGAATCTCTAAGTTGAAACGACTCTGTTGTTGATTAAGATTCTCGTTATATTGCACCTCGAGATTTTCTACTTCCGACTTTAGACGATTGATTTCTTGGGTAGCAAGTGCGTGATTCGTGCTTGTATCATTGCTGCTTTGCCGTTGCCTAATTTTTTCTGTTTCCTCTTGCATTTGTTTACAGTACTCTTCGCTTCTCTCGCGCAATTTACGTTCTTTGCTCGTTTCGGCCATGGCTTCTTCGATGCGACCCTCCAGTTCTCGACGGAGCTTCTCGGCTTTGCGAATGTCATGGCGCAAACTATCTACCTTCTGCATGACCACTTCAAGTTCTTCTTCCTTGTCACGTACTTGACGAGAAAGCTTTTGTTTTTGTTGGCGTAGCTCTGATAGTTTGTCCGTAACTTCCGTATATTCTTCCATAGCCAATTTTCTTTGCGTTAAAGCATCTTTTAGCTCTTTTTCCTGTAGCTTCAACCTTTCCAGAGCGTCAAGCTTGTCCTTTATTGCTTCATCTTTTTCGAGACGTAAAGTACGCACCAACTTTTCAAGTTCGCGTATTTTTGCCATGTCGCCGCTATCGATCGGGCGCAATTCCCTAGGCACCTCCAAAGATTTCAACTGAGATTCTAATTCTATTAAAGAATAATTGTATTAGTATATTGATATTTTAAAGTTCATGTATATTTTTAGAAGTTAATTATAGTGTTTCAAAATAAACATTTGAATTCTTATCGAAATAGTTACCGAGTTATATATAGCAAATTAGAATATCTGGTTATAAATAAAAGAACTGAGAATGCAATGCTACGTACCACAATTTCTTTTTGTAAGCGTATTGATTTCATCTTGGAGTTTTCTCGTTGCATTGTTCGAATCTGGTGATACAGTAGTCGGCGACGTATGACTAGCGGTCAACTGATTTTTTAGCTCAGCAATTGTTTGTGCCAACTGTGCATTCTCTTCTTCAAGCATCTTCAGGTTTTTGTCTTTTTGAGATTGCGATGAGAATGTGCTCAAGTCGGAAATGTAACTAAAGAACAAATAAGTGTGCATATCAATTTGCAATTGAAACATTGTTCACGTAGATAAAGAAACATTAATCAAGTGAACTAACCTTCCTTGCGTAAAACTAAAACCAACGAATGGAAGATGTAAGGCTGAAAATGCAGAATTAGCTGCCGGAGGCACCGCATCGGAACTTCGAACGTCATTATCGTCTACGTCGAAGTTGGACGTATCTGTTGGCGAGGAAACTTCGGGAATGTAAGGTGCTGTACTATCCCTTATAATGTCCCAACTGACTCCTTCGAACCAGGGATGTTTCTTCAAATATTAAACATAACATTAAAAATAATTAAGAATGTTATACTCAAACTATGTAACATACCTTAAAATCATCAATTCCATTTTGTCCTAATCTAAAATCAGAACTGCAAATAAGCTTTCGCATGAGGTCTTTAGCCTCTTCGGAAACTTCATAACAATCGTCCGTGGGGAAGTCAAAGCAATTCTATCAAGCGATAAAAAAACAAAACGTCAATTATTCAAACATTCAATGAGAATATATTAAGTAACAAACGCTTAACTTATAGATGAGCTCATACCTTATGATTCATAATTTTGCTATATGTTTCGACTAGAGATTCGGCATAGAATGGAGTCTCGCCGTAAAGCATTTCATACATACACACTCCTAAGGACCACCAATCGCACTCGGGACCGTATCTTCCTTGTCCATCTTCCATCGCCTAAAATAAAAGGACAAAAACTCCAGTTTATTTTCTTTCACAGAATTGATAGGAGAATAATTAACGCGTCGCTTACTCTAAGAATTTCGGGAGAAATATAATCGGGTGTGCCAACGGCAACGTTGCTCTGCACGGTACCGTCTTCAAAGAGTTTAAGGCAAGAGCCAAAGTCGGCGAGTCGAATATGGCCATTGGCGTCGAGTAGCACGTTGTCAGGCTTGATATCCCTGTGAACGTAGCGCAAGTCGTGAATTGAGCCAATAGCAAGCACCATCTCAGCAATGTAGAAGCGTGCCATATCCTCGGGCAGCCTATCTTCGAACTTGCTGAGTAAAGTTAACAAGTCACCACCGCAGTAGTAATCCATCACCAGGTACTTTAGAAAACAAAAACAGAAATAAACCATGAATTACGAGCCATACTTTATATGACCGTAACTTTCCATATTTTCAATGATATGCTCATGACAATGTAACTTTTCTTCCTTTACTAGCGACTGTGATTGAATTATCAATTTAGAGCATTTTGATTTTTTTGAATACGAAATGAACCTATTATTTTACACATTAATTTAAGTATCAATTAATCACGTCACGCACGGAGAAAGTGATAAGTCTCGCATCTGTTTTAATGGACATTATTTTGGAAAAAGAAATAACTCACCAGATTATTGTCATCCTGAAAGGCATAGTGAAGGTTGGTGATCCACCTACGATCGCCGTAGACGAGTACATCTCTCTCTTCACGGAAGCACGCCGTCTCCGCTCTCTTCAGCATTTCCCATTTGTTAAGTATTTTCATCGCAAATACTTTCTCGGAGCCGCGCATCCTTACGACGCACACTTCACCGAAAGCTCCTCGACCGATTACTTTCACTATCTCAAAATCTTCTCGTGCCAGCTGTAGACTCTTTATGCATGTTGCCACGGGTTTCACTGAAAATAGAAAAAACAATGTTATTTCTGTAAGTTATTATTTGCTGTTTTATTTTCGTTTGTCGATGCGTTTGCGTACTGTTTGCATCGCGAGTTGCTTGCGTTTTACATTGTGCAACTTTAGTAACGCTCTTGATTTCAGTTAACCGTGCACGAATTATTGCCAATTGAACGGTTTTCTAGGAGACAAAGCTAACGTATATCTGTATTGTTTATCCAGAAATACATTATGACTGACTGAGTGTTCTGATATTTTTTCGAACTTCGATTACGCATTTTTTTCCTTTATTTTATATATACATATATACATGCGTACAAATATAAATACACACAGACACACACACACACGCGCGCGCGCGCGGACACACACATAACGAAAGTTATATTCATAACTTGGTTATTCGAAAATATTGATTATTTTTGGATAACCAAAATTGTTAAACTATTCGAAAATTAAGAAGAGTTTGTTATCGAATTATTTTAAGAATTTGCCAGGAAAATTTCTGGAAATTTCAAAATTTTATAGTCTTCGTTCAAAATTACAACTATTTATAGTCATTACTTATTTTGCATGCTCATTCACTATACGTTCCACTTGCCTTACACTCGAGTACGCAAATTTATGTAAATAACGGTAACGAAGCTTCCGTAATTTTTCTGAAATCAACGTTATAAATCGTATCAACGTCTCTTCTTAAGAAAAAAGATCAGTTCTTTTATCTACATCAAAGTTAATTAATTAACACGATTAAAATTAATACTACGTTGAATAAAATCTGTTAGCAATTAAGAGCAAAAAATATCGATTTTGAAGTTTTTTCGGCAACCATTCTTTTAATAATTCGTTTTATCCACTGGATACTTTTTAACATCAACCTATTTATATAAAAGTCTCAAACTTTCGATATACAACAACATGTTTACTACAGCCGGAAAGACGTTAAAAGAAGTCAAACTAATTGGCGTAACATTAACAAAACTCACCGAACTCGATGAAATCCGAAACAGTCTTTTCGCGTCGTAGAGATGAGTTGCAGCATTCGTCGTACAAAACTAATAAAATGTCAATGAGCGTCTCAATAGAAAATGTGTGGCCCATCCTTCCACCCTGAACTGGCCCACCTACAAACAGGGCTTCTAACTGCCGCAGCCTTGACACCACACCTATTTGCAATAAAATAAATTATGAAATTCAGTGACTCTGAGGTTATTATTAAAAAAAATTTTGATAATCAGTGAGTTATTTCTGTAGAATTTGACATACCACATTAACATAAATAATTTTATCATGCATGGATAATACAAATTAATCCAAATTCAATTAATAATTACCATTGATTGCTAGTCCCTTAGGCATGATGTCAGGTGGTGGATTATTGTAGTGATGAATAGTACCTGCCATGATTATTGGTGGGTTGGATATACCCTCAACACGCTCCTTCAATGATACTTCTGTCATCTTTGTATATGATTCTAGAATACGGCTTCATCACTGACTTATAAAAATTCTAAAACACAACAGAAAAAACACCAACCTTTATTTATCTTTTTAATAAATATTCAATCACAAATAATATTTTGTTGCTCGCACAATAGACCTCACACGGGATTCTAAAAAATAGAAAAAGTAAACTTCAAATTTTTTGTTTAAAATAACAAATCCAAATTACAGACTTGATGTACTTCCAAATATCTGAAAATACCCAAGTCAAGACAGAGCTGTCTATTTTGAATTATTGAAAGGTATGTACGAAATCTTAGTGAATGGCCATCTAAAAATAACTGCTAGTCATCAAAAACTATAACGTATATCTGATTCTTTGTCATGAGTACGAAGGAAGCTAGATGAAAAGCAAAATGTCTCTAGTTTTATTTAATTTTAGCAGAATATGAAAATAGAATGGTTCACTGGCAGAACAAGATACAGGCAAGAACAAGAAAAAGTGTCTTTTGATCATTCTTTCTAAGAAACCCAGATACTTCATTTACAAAATTAACTTTCAACAAGTTCCTATACTAATTTCACAATCATAAATCTAAATGTGATGGTGGTGTTGAAGCACTGAAAGCAAAGCACACACACACACGCACGTAGATACACACACACACACACAGACTCTTGCGCATATCACGATATCACTTTTTCAATTTTTCTAACCGATGACTAACGACGAGTCCATAGATTTTTTCCTTCCTTTCTCTCTTTCACACTCGTGTGGCACACTATCACTTGACTATTTTTTCGAAACACATTCCTTATGCGATTAATTCCAATATTTATAAAGCACGGTATTCCCTATGGCAAATTGTAATCCCGTAAATTTCTCTCCGGTCTCTCTTGAGAGAGTCGAGAGAGCATTGTCTAGCCTGACCCCCCTGGCGAAGTGCCTTACATAAATAAGCATCCGCAGTACCGTGAGCTGCCAAGGCCAAAACCAATACTGCCTAGCTTATCTCTCTGGGCTGTCCAGTCTAAGGCCTGCTTACGTAACCTCACGTACGAAAGGCTGGGCACCAGCAGCAGCTCTGTGTGCCGCTCACAAATAAATATGTGCAGACTGCAAGCAGGGAGACAGAGACGCGCTAGTAAATAAAAAGTACAGAGAGCAGTAACACGCCAGCACGACGAAAATAGAGTACACACTCTCTCTCTCTCGCTCTTTCTCGCACAGACATACATACACACACGCGCGTACACTCGCACACAAGCTCACTGGTGCACACACACACACACATACATACCCACGGTCGAAACGCGCGAGGGGGCGTCGATCCTTGGGGTATGCCTATGTAATCGAGTGTATGCCTGTGTGTTTGCAAGCTATATGTGTGTAACGATACCTCCGGCGGTGGGCAATCAGCAGTACGTCGTCGAAGAAGTGCGCAAGCATTTGACAATTGGGAAGCTGGTGATGTTGCGGCTGCATCGCCGTCGGCGATGATCTTCCTGTGCGAGCTCTCCGCGCTGTTCGAGAACACACACTCACTCGCACACGAAAACGTTGCCGCTGAACGCTCCTACTACACCTCGTCGCTGCTCCTCGCTCTCGCTACTTCTGACTGATCCCCAGCCCACCCGACTGGCGCTGCGCTCTCGCTCGTTCGCGGACGAACTCTCGCTCCGCTCTCTGTGTGGGAGAAAATAAATATGGCATAGAGAGCCCGACGTTGTCCGCACACATGGGCCGAATCACCAATCGCTTTACTCCTCGCTCTTTCTCTCTATCTCGCTTCAGCTAGTGGCAATCTGTATATGCACTGCATCGCTTCGTCTTCCTCCCATCGTGGAGAGTTTAGTGTGTCGACTATGACGACGTGCGCTACTGCTTGCTTTGTTGCTTTTTTACATCAAGTGCATGACCGTCACACTACGCCACAGACTCATTGCGCCTTTCTCTCACTCTCTCTCTCTCTCTCTCTCTCTCTCTCTCTCTCTCTCACACTTTAGAAAAAAAATGAATTTTTTTTTGAGTGGCTGAAACAGAGATATTATGCCTTATGATAAGGAGTGTAAATTTTGATTTTAAAAAAGAAGCAATGAGCGTTCTAATTATACGATAAGACTGTTGACAATTGCAATTTCTGTGTGTTCGTTACCGATACTCTGCACACGAGACGCTGATACAAATGGTAACTCGCCAATTGCAATGTTTCGCGGTTTTTTGTATGCACATTTTACGAGAGTCTGTGAAAAGCACATGTGCTATTATTTTAGTTCATTATCAAATATTCTACACTGACTCCAAAGTAATTTCATTAGGAAAATATATGTTGAAGTATACTAATGAAAACTAACAGTAAAAAGTTAGTTGAGATCATAAAAGAATAAGCAGCTCATAAATGATTCCAGATTCAATAGTCACAATTCGGAGCTATAACGCAATGATGAATAATTCAAAAGAAAAAAACTTTTCCATCTCTATATAGATGTACGATATTGAGTCAAGGTCCAGTTTCTCTCTCGACTCGACAAAATCGATTGTCATTAGACGTACACCCGGAGCGAGACGAGATGTGTCGGTGAGTACAGGTAAGAAGGCGGCGCGGCGCGGACGAATCGCGCGCGCCGTAAATTATTCAAACGCGCGCCTTCCCTTTTCGTGCAGAAGGCGCCTCCGTTATCCTTGGAATTTCAATGTGAGACGTTTGTTACGAATTGCTCATACAGCTCTGCCCGCTGATATAAATTAGTTAATTGCGCTTGGTCGTCGTGCCATTTTTGGCTCTGATTCGACTAATTGAGCTGCGAGCTAGGAATTCGCCATTACACCTCGATCAATCCCTAGGTTTTGCGTCATTCCCGCAACTATTTTCGTTGAGTAATGTTATGTCAATGACTTTTAGTGCGCGCCAAGCGCTTCCTAGTTGCTTACCTCTGCATCGGTCAAGTAATCTATTGGATGGCGATAAATTGAAGACTTTTTTTAGCTTTCATCTTTGAACTTGCTTCTTGTATTTGTTTTGCGTACTTTAAAAATAAAGTAGCATTTTCCTGTAAATTTGTAATTCATAGGGTAGAGAATGTATGAAAATAAACGAATTTGCTGAATTTTTATGATCCTTTAGAACGTAAGAAAACAAATAAAAACGTCAAGAATACAGTCATCAATCTCTATTGCTGAATTCGTTGCGATTAACAAAGCAGCAAAATTAGCTACCAAATATCCTAATCAAAATGCAATTATTTTGACCGATTTTTTGAGTGCACTGCTATACCTAAAAACATTTGTCTTGATATTAAAACGAATTCTTTTATTCTTGAAATTAAACACGACATTCACTGCTTCCAGAATCTTGCTTCGAATAACAGGAGCACTCTACTCGTCTGGATTCCAGCGTACTCCGGCATTCCCCGAAATGACATAGCTGATAGCCTAACGAAATCTGCGACCGCTCTTACTGCTGATAGTAAGATACAAATACCTTTTACTGGTCTCAAAATGATTTTGCAAAGTGATGCTCGTAATAACACTTTCGATTTTCTTTGTGTGGATGAAACATTTCAAGGCAAACTCTACTTCAAACACTTTCATAATAATATCGCCAAAATGTGGTTCACGAAATCTAAACTCCTAAACAATGTTATTACTACTATCAGTTGCTGTAGGTCTGGCCATTACAATTTGAAGTCCTCTTTTTTCAAGATCGGTGAATGTAAAAAGTAACCATTTTTAATTGTAATTACGAGGTACAAGATTCTGTGGCAGTGCCTCAAGTTTTATAAGTAAATATCTAAATTTATTCTAAGTCTCAAATTCCTTAACATGTTTCTTCCACCTTCCAGTATACATTATTACTAAGTAATCTAAACGCCAAAATTGCTCGGATTTTATGTAAGTTTCTCGATGATTGTAATCTAGATATCTAGTTCAGACTAGTGTAATTTACTTGTATTTTCACTCATATTTTTCTCAGCAAAATAACCCTTCTTCTGGGTCGAAATTGATTAAATAAAACAAAATATAGGTTTGAATGGAAACGAGAAATTTCCTTTAGCATTAATATTCCACGCGTTTTTCCCAATAAAAAATTTAATTAGGTTTTTATAATTACATAGTATATCAATCTATCTGAATATGAGATAAGATAAGAGAAACATTACAATGGTAAATCTTTATTTTATAGTGAGATATAAAGAATGAAAAAGAATGGCGTTATGATGCATGATTACATTTATTGCGCATTCTGAAGTTTTTTTACAAGATTAACCAACAGTTTTTTACCGTAAGACACAATAAAACCAAGAAGACAAACGCCGTCGCAGAAGCGTAAATTCAAAAACTCGCGCCACAAGTCAAGCCTCTCGCGTGACCATCTGGCGATTGGTTAATAACCCACAGGTGTAGCAACTCCCTCTGTACTGAGAGCACATTGGCTGTTACTCCAACAACACAGGTGTAACAATCGCCTCTGTTTTTCTATATACACATTAGGGCGAGGGAGAGAGGTGTCAACTCTCTCCTCCGTTAGCGTGGGCGAAGTCGAAAGAGTACGCGCACTCGCGCGTGTGTGTATGTGTATGTGTGTGAGGGAGAGAGAGAGAGAGAGAAAGAGGAGGCAAGCGCGGAACGGTAATAGCTTGAGGCAACGAACGTGACGAAGAAGAGTATCTGCATGCAGCACCACAGCGGCACAAGATGGTCGCCGTAGCGGCAGTCTAAGGTTAGTGCGGACGTGGCCGCCCGCGGCAGTTGTTGCGTTCGCTGGTTCTGCTCTCGCCTCTTCTTTCTCTTTACCACCTTTCCGTCTACTTCTCTGCTTCTCTTTTTCTCGAAAATTGTCCGAACTGCTGTCTCCGACCCTCCGCCCGCGCACGCGCCTCAATCTGGCAACAAGTGGCTTCTTTCAGTTTAATCTTCTATTTTTGTTGTTGTTTGTGCTTTATTTCTACTCTCACATCGAAATATCATCTGTGCCTATGTGGTGAATGTGCTATTCTCAGAGTGCTTCGGAAAGAAAAAAAACCTGTTACCTGTAGGGTTTATTTTTTCGTAACCTCTAGCTGTAGCACTCTTGCCGTGGCAAACGTTAACTTTGTTAGAACCCATTGCAGGTGCGACTCGCGATTCTTAGGAGCAGACGCAGAAGACGTGGAGAAAAAATAAGATAGCAGCAGTAACATGGACAAACGTAAAGAGCAGGGACTCGCTCCGTTTTCCTCCGGTGAGTACACACATTCCATTATACATACAAAGAAAGCTATCGCGCAGCGATATATATTGTTTATAACGGATGTTCACCGCGCTCCTAAACATTGCCATGGCAATTGTACCGCGCGTCGCTGCTTTCTTTTTACGCGATGCCAGACGCTAGCGTGCTTATCAAATCAATTCGAACTCTACGCGATACGATAACGTGATATTTACAAACAGCTCGTTCAGCCGAACAATTAAAACCCATAAGTCCCGCTGATAAACTTCCGTGTGTGCGAAGGAGCAAAAAATGTATATAACAAACCAGTAGCGTTATCTGGCTATCGGCAGGCAATCGATGAGCCGCGGTCGGCTTTTTTTGTATTTGTCTCGGCTAATCGTTATCTCATTTAACCGGTGCAAATATATATATAGAAGCGGGCTTTTTTTCGGGGCTTCCCGGCTTTTATTTCGAGATCACGATAGCGACCCTATTGTGAGCACAACGATAATGCCTAACAATTAGGAGCGGGTTGGGGATGCTTATCGGTTTTATTCGCGCGTTGTTGAGGGACGACATATTTCTTCGTGGTTGACGAGGATCCAAACATCTTTTCGCGTGGTTTAGTGAATGGACGTGATTGTAATCGAGATGTGCATTGAATGATTTAAAATCCACTTATGAGAAAAAACAGTTTTGATTGTCAGCCGTGACGATACCTGTTTTAGTGCGAGGGTAAAAAATAGACGACGATTTTGAAGCTGCACGACTGGGCATCGTGAGCAAGATGACGCAATGTTTTCATTTTGAATTTAATTATTCATGCGAGCAACCGTGGAAAAGGGAAGAAAGAAGATTTTTTATTTTCGACGTCATGTCGTACGCATCCTTCGGCACAATCATTGCTGCGATTCGTTGAAACCGAGAACTACCTCGACAAAACTATTTTGTTAAAAAATTGATTATTCATAACGATGACACGAGCTTCGTAAACATTTATAGCTTGATTTTTTCATGCTCTTCGAATGGTCGTGAAATGAGCGGACAACGTGAAAAAAAAAAAACATTAACAACTTTTGCGCGCATGAAAAATTTATTACCGTCAGCAACACGTACGCGTGAAAACTTTTTTTATTTTTGCAACGTTGGCTAAAAACTTTTTAACTCGACGATTGCACGTAGATTAAAACTTTGCTGGATAGATAATTTTCCATTCAACACTGCACGTCGATTTTCTTTTTTAATAGAGTCGTTGAAGTTTACGCCGTTTTTTTTGTCGGGATTAGAGCCAAGTTGTCCCATCAAAATTCGCGCGACAATTTATTTAGGTCGCGTTTTAGGGCAACGCGAAAAGCGAAGGCAAAAGAGAACCTTTCTCTCGCGTCGGTAGTTGCATTATGTACGAAGGTAAAAACAGAAATAGTGGCGGCTGCATTGAATTACTGACAAAGCGGAGCTACGGAAAAGGATTGCTTTGTTTCGCGTTTTCGCCTGCCCCTTTCTTTCTTTTTTTTCTCTTTTTTTTTCCTTCAAATTGCTTATATTTTCGCTCGCTCGTGTTGCTCTCTCGAGCGCGGTTAATTACGCTGGGTTTATTGATTAAATGTTTAACGTTGAAAGAGCGTTTGCAACTTGGCGATTGAAGTCTCAAGCGCGTGCAATTTCATTTTACGGATTTCTAGCGTAGCGTTTACGCTTCGGCGAACCGGGCGGTTTGACCTTTCGGAAAAAATCTTGACATCCTTTGTTTGCGCAGACGGGCCATTACGCAGTGACAATTTGCATCTCGAGCAATAGGAAAACGCAGGCAGCTTCTCGAGGGGAAAAAGCTTCTTTTTTCTTTTTTTCTCTCTTTCTTTCGAGCCATTGTCTGGCCTACATAGCAGCGCGCACGCGTTGCTGCAAAGATGCGTGCGGCCGCGAAAAATTAAAGCGCGCGAGAAGATCGAAAGAGCATGACGGTCCACATTGCATGTGTGCCGCGAGTCGACCTGCGCTTGGTATACTCGCTCTATAAAATTCTCGCTACGAGAGTGCCAAGATTTTCGGAATGGTTGGCACAGGTGTCGGCGTTCTTGCTTATCTTTATTGCTGTTAAGTATAGCGTTGGTGAGATTGCGTAAGCGCACTGAAAATCGCTCTACATTCTCGCCGCCGATGATTATCTCTCTCGGCGACTTTTTTCATGTTTGAAGAAGGTCGCTTTTGTAGACTTGAAACCAATCGAAAACCGTGTCACGTCCCCGGGGATCGCTGCAAAAGGTGTAGGGCTGTATTATCTCGGCAAACGTTAATCGCGCGGGCGAGAACAAAGGCAGACGGAACTTGCGGCGGAGTTCGCGATCGGCGTTACACGACGACAGAGTTCGGCGCGATCGATTGTTATTCCGCGAGAGCGAGCTGCTTCCGGAGAATGCCCCGCGGAGGATCGCGTACGTCGCAAGGAGGAACCGTTGACTCTTCGGTGCACGGGACGATCAGTCAGCTGAAGGAGAGCGCAAGCCCCTCGCTCTTCTGCCGACAGAAAGATTGGCCAGATCCAGAGAATCCGGCTGTCGATAGGCTGCGCTTATTAATACATCTGCGCGCACGCACGGGAAGAAGCCTCCTCGGTCCGTGGTCACGCCGCGAGGCTCGCGTGCGCGCGCACGTGCGTGCGCTCGGCCGTGGCAGGCTCGCGCGTGTGGGAGAGAGAGAGAGAGAGAGAGAGAAAGGGAGCGCGCGCGCGCAGGCAAGCGGCGCGAGCAACAGTGTGCCAGAGCTTGCAGCAGTGGACGGTGAAGCTGCGATGGGGGTAGTTGCGTCGGCGGCTTGAACGTACCGCTGCGTGTTGTGCCAGAGTGCGCGCGTGCTCGTTTATGGACCTGCTCTGCGCTGTGCTCGTCGCATCCGGCTGCCGAGGAGGGCCAGCAGGTCGGTCACGCCACGAGCGCACGCGAGGCGCCCCAGCCGCCTCTGCCGTGCATCCCCGACTATTGATTCTCGCGCGGGCGCGCGATGTAAATAATAGAGACTCGCTGCGTGTACGTGTATCGCTGTCCGGGCAACTCCCTCCCTCCCATTCCCCCTCTTCGTTTGTCTTTTCCTTTCTTCGAACTTCGGCACAACCTGCACACCTTGGCGTTCGCCCCCGGCCCTCCCGACGCCCTCGTTCTTTATTGCTCGCTCGCACGAACGTTTCACGCCAAACGCGCCGCTTGAATAACGAGCTTCGCTCGTCCCTTCGTCGACACGTGCTACCACTTCTGCGCCCGCATCGCCGTTAGTTTTTCTCCCTCGCGATTCGGTCATGGCAATCGCTCAAACATCGATCTGGCTTGCGAGTCCGCGAGAGACAGTTAATGATCGGTCCAATTTTCGCGACGCAAGGTTCTCGCGCGATGGGGTGGGGGATGGAGGGCGGCGGGTTGGCGGTAAAAAAAGGCCGCGTGTCACGGACATCACCTTGGCACGCAGCGCGCGGCGGATAGATCGAAGGGATGCTGCCGCGAGCCGGATAAAGTCGGACCGACGTGCACCGAGCGCGACGAGCACGCCGACGATCGAGTTGTTGCTCGTCCTCGCGACTCCCGGCGGCTGATTGTCGCACGACGGGGCGGAGCGCTTTTTCGCGCGGGTGCACGGTCCGTCGCATCAGTGCGCTACGCAGACAGAAGAGTTGCGCGCTCGTCGCGGGTCCACGCCTCGAGAATCGTCTCCGGCAAAAGCAAAACGAACACTATCGATCAACGCGCGAGAAAGAGTACGCCCGCTTGTTCGACGTTCTGCCCCCCCCCCCCCCCCCCCCCCCCCCCCCCCCTCTGCCCCTCCCGCATCTGCTCTGCCGTTAAAGCTTCTCGCACGTGTATCTTGCACCCGATCAGGTAGTCTCTCCACGATAAATCCTGGGGCGCGCACGAAAACACAAGCGCGGGCGCTGCAGCCTATTTCGGTCGAGATTTTTTCGGCGCGCGTCAGTTCGCGTAAAGTCGACCTTGGCTGTGCTTGAACGTGTGACGCGCGCATGTCATAGTGGTCGTAGTAGCGGAGGAGGATGCGGCATTTTTAGGAAATTGATTTTCTTTTTTTTTTTTTTTTCTTTTTTTCCCTTTGCCTCCCACGCGCGCAATTTAGTCGGCTCGATGTGGGTCAAGCTCAAGTGTATGAACGCGCGAGCTCCGGCTGCCGAGCTTTCATCTCGGCTGAGTGTCGATTAGGTATTTGTTGTGCTCTCGTTTCTTTAGTGGGTAAGAGGGAAACACGGCCTTATTCTCCCATATGTGTATGTACACGCGCACGTGTGCGTGCTCTTGCTTGCTACTTGTTCTTCCTTCTTTCCCTTTTGTTAGAAGAGACCAGACTAAAGATGAGCCTGTTATTGTTCTTTCTTCTACGTTTATCGAGCAAGCTCGTGGTTTTTTACGAGCCGTTTTGGTTAATTAATTAATAAAAAGGAAAAAATGCTGGAAAAAAAGGTTATTAATAATTTTTCCATTCGCGTGTTTACAAAAAAAATAATAAAAAAATTTTTCGCCGATTAGTGAACGAAGCTTTTTTTTCAGGGGAAATGATCAGCTGAAGCAATGTTATGCGTCCGCTCTTGTTTTGTGTAGAATCGTATTTTTAGAATTGGTAAAAGAGCCGAGTGAATCATTCGCGCGTCTGAGTTCAACAACATTTAAATCTCCATTGACATGCCTCGAATAATTATATCTCCCCGTCGATACATCATCGGGCGCAGCTCTTTCTCGGAATAAAGTTTCGTTGGGAAATCGAAATGGACTTCCATCCGCAAAGTAAGACAGGGAGAGACGTCAGCGCAGCGTGACGGCACTGATAATGCGTCGTCTTTCACGCTGACGGCGCGTTAAGAAAAGGCGAATAGCCCCACCGAAGGAAAGCCGTATGCACGGCCGGAAGCATCCGCACCGGAAACGGCGCTTGCGCATATTTATATATACTTCTACCCCCCTCTCTCTCCCTATCTTGTGTATGTCCTTTACCTCGCAGTTCATCTCGGATTGTTTTCTCAAGAGAGCTAACGTAGGTGTAGTCTAATCATATGCAATCAGGTCGACATTGTATTGAGAACTTTTGGAGTCTTAATATTGCAACCAAGAGTTATATTTCACAGAAGAAAAAATCGCTTATATCGTATCAATAACCCAATATCTGAAATTTACTGCGCTTCGTCAATATGTATGTAGGTCAGGTGTAAAATTGCTCTACTAATTGCGTTTGCACTCCAGCGAACCCAATATATGCATGCTTTCTCTCTCTCTCTTTCTCTATAATATCAATTGGGTTGGTTTATTAAAAAAATAAAAATAAAAAAAAAAAGTAAACAGATTTTTTTCTTCTAGCTGCTTGAGAGAAAATGAATGTTTGATTGCTGCTTGAAGCGAGAGACAAAAGCAGGGCAAGCCATGCATACCGGATCATAGTTTTCGCACCGAGGGAAAAGGTGATGGATCTGACCTAGTTCTCTCTCTCCTCTCTCTCTCTCTCTCTCTCTCTCTCCTCTCTCCTCTCTCTCTCTCTCCTCTCTCTCCTCTCTCTCTCTCTCTCTCTCTCTCTCTCTCTCTCTCCTCTCTCTCTCCTCTCTCTCTCCTCTCTCTCTCTCTCTCCTCTCTCTCTCTCTCTCTCTCTCTCTCTCTCTCGCTGTCCCTCTCGATCACTCGGCTTTCGAGAGAGCGCGCAATCACGTAGAGGCCAATGTAGTTGCGACAAGCTCCAAAGGGTGTTGAAGGCGGACTACACGCAGAGTAACGCGAGTTTCGTAACTGCGTTGGGCACATTTACGCATGTACGTGTAAAGCGGGAAGAGAGGAGGAAATCGATTCGGGAATCGCTATCTCGCGAACGTCGCGTTTCAGAATCGACGAAGGCATCGCGCGGAAAAGCTCCCTTGGCGCACGACAATCGTCTTAAAAAAATAAAAGCGCGCGATAGAGAAGGGAATGGGAGTCCCTTGAGGCGTGGAGCTTGCCGCGACGAAAAAATCAATGAGAGGCTAAAAATAATGCGATGGCTTCGCGAAATCTGCTGCTTCCAGACGAGTGTCCAAACAGCGGCGAGGACAGCGATGAGGATGTAATAACGGACTACCTGGGCTGCTCCTCCGCGCAACCGGAGTGCGCCGCTATCGGCGTCGCTGGCGACGATACCAAAGACTCGCAGCACCAACAGCAGACGAACGACAAACCGATGGACAACAGCGCCGGCGGCGCGACGGCAACGATGGCCGATCAGGCACCGCCGCAACAGCAGCAAGTGCCAGCTGCCAATCCTCTCGTGCCCATCATCAGCGTGACGCCGCACTCGCCCGGCGTAGCGCGGCATTATCCCGTACTTGGTGAGTCGGCAAACTTTGCTTGTCCCTTGTTGGCCAAAGAGTTTACTCCGTATCTCTCTCTATCTATCAACCTCTTATTTAACCAACGCCGTTTTCCCGGCGCATCCTTCGAGCACGCCTCTTGGACGAGGTGGGCGCATCGCGTCGCAAAGGTACTTCGACGACGTGCCTTTGCGACGCGAGACTGTCTCGGCTCCGCGGCATTTCCGATGCGATGGACGCGACTTGTCTGCGCCGAACGAAAGGCGGCGTAAAAGTAACGCTTTGTTTATGAATAAATAGTAAGCACCGAACGAATCTGCGTCGCTTCAAAATAAATTTTAGCATCGATCGCCGACAGTTGACGAGAAAATTGCACGGAAGCGCTGGAAAAATGTATTCCCATTTCACAGAGGACCCGCTGCGTCATCTGCACGAGATCCACGACAAGATCAATCAGATGCGCGATCTGACGTTGGTTCTTGGGAACCGTGGAGATCACCTGCAACGTTTCAGCACTTCATGCCCGTCGCTGTGCCCGCTTATCTCGATTGACGGCGTCATACAGACTGGCGCGAGCGCTGCTGCTCAGCATCCTCATCCGCATCAGCATCAGCATCATCATCATGGCGAGCAAGACGGCTCGGATCCCGATCTGCTCACCAACTGCTCGACCAACAGCTCGCCCACGCACTATCATCCCACGCCAGGACACCAACAAGTCAGCCAGATTTTACAAGGAATCGACAGGCGAAAAAGCTGGACTGGCCTTGAAGACTCCAGGCAGCAAAGACGTGGTAGTGATCAGAATCACCTGCAGGCGCAGAATATTGTGAGTCGATACTCTCAGCTAAGAATAATTCTTTTAAAAGCGCGTTCGAAATACCTCCGACGAAAATCTCCCGCCGGAATTCCAATCAAGCTCCGTTAATTGGAGTTGAAAAGAGACAAAAAAATTAGCACATCACATTTCAGCCCTCCGTGCAGTCTATAAATAAAAAATCACGAAAGAAATAGGTTAATACACGGTGAGAGAGAGAGTGTGTGTGTGTATGTGTGTGTGTGTGCATGTGTGCGCGTGTCTAAAAATTGAAACTATCCTTTTTAGAAAAAGGCTGTTTCCATTTGCAAACCAGTTCATTTCTGAGGTAATTAAAAGACTACGGCGTGGGAATAAAAGTCTGCAGCTCACAATATAAATTACAGTGGAATTAAGATTTTTATTTCACTCACGTTAAGTCATTTTTTTCTTTTTTTTAACAAACGACGTATTCTATTGCAAAATACAGCTTGCAATCTGTAAGATTGTTTATTCATAAACAATTTTAATTATTTTATCAACTAAACTTTTTTTTTAAATAATTGGATGCAAAGTAGCACACATATTGATTTCCAATAAAATTTTGCAGCGACAAAGGAGTATAAGTCTGAGCAGCCTCGACAGCGACATGGACCTCGAGCTTGATGGTAAAACTCGTACGAGAGACCAAAGTGGTAAACCTAGGACATCAGTTTCACAATCAAGCACGCATTCCCTCAACGAAGCTGACTTTGTTCAAGTATGTATCATTCGCATTTTGATTTCTAAGTCACGCGACTTTCCAATTAATTTTCAACCGTAAATGGATGTTTTCGTTCTTTTTTCAGGGTGAATTCAAAAAGGTTGCGGTGAAACGTGGTGGTCAAAGGTTGGGTGAAAACGTGGGCCTGATGCCAGGAGTGACGGGTTCTCGTTTACCATTTCAAAAGTCAGTGTCAACACCGTCGATAGTTATTCCACCACCTGGTCAAAATCTCACGGATACAGGCTCATGTGGTGCCCCGTCGTTATCTGCGTGAGTGGGTTTTATGTCAAACTAAATTGCTTGTTTGTATAGGTTGCTTGTTGATTTGCAAAGGACTACGACAGCAATTTCTTGAGCGCTTTGCAGATCAACTCTTGCAAAGTTTAGATAACGAGCACACGAATACACCAAACATTAAGTATACACGTACTGATTTGACTTCTGAGAATCGATATTGTCACAGTTTTCTATTTAGACTGAGTGAGTTCTATATCTTTTGTACACCGCGCGCATACGTCACGGAGTTGATCCATGTTGCACTTGACGTTTTGACATTGATGGACGAGTTTATTCGCTTCTCAATCGGAAATAATTATATGTTTCATGCATCGATAAGTCATATATGTTGATCGAAGAAAGAAGGATCAACCCGTGTCGCCGTGCACGCGACAATGCACGAAGCAGTAAAAATTAAAAAATAATTAGCAGCACTAGCACACACGTTAAGAAATTCAGTTTTGCACTTTTATTTTTCATATATCTTAGCAAATAGCGCAAACGTAGTCTCTATTATGGCATGGCATTTTTTATTAAAAATTAGATTAAGGATAGCGTAATATTTTCTTTCATCAATTAATAATCAAAAACAGACTATTTTTCTTATAACAATGTAACATCAAGATGATAAAGGCAAGTTTTAGAGAGATTTTCCTTCTTTTATATATTTCTTGCACTCTTTTATTAACTGCTCGAAAAACACACACATACACGCACACACACACGCACACACAACAAACGGAAAAAATCTAAGTTGATATGCACGAAATAAACGAAAAAAAAAATACACGTACACACAACAGCAGTCGGCATGAAAAGGGTAGTGGAAGTGAGACCGAGACGGACGATCTCCACATGCAGCACGGAAACGAGTTTCACGAAGACTTGATGAGAGAGGGCACGCCGAGCACTCAGGCATCCCTCGACGAGCTCTTAACCGAGTGAGTACTCGATGTGTGGTGATTGTGTGTCAGTCAGTCTGAACCTCTCTAACAACAAGTCTGATATATATACAACACGTGCGCATGTATACATGTGTTCTATTACTCGACGCCCCCTCCCCACCAACCAACCATATCATCATTTACCACTACCATCATTTCTCCCGGCCGCCGACAGAGGTGTATAAACTTCGTACAGGGCTTTCGTTTGACTCTTATCTTCTTTAACAGCATGTTCCTCGTTGCTCCGATAATGCACACACTATACCAATAATTGCTCGTGGCTAACGCATAATATAATACCAATATTGGAACGGTTAGTATAAAAAATAAAACTTTCTGTTATCGTAGCTATCTAATTTCAATAATTGACTTTTTTTCTGTCTCATTCTAATTTTCTACTCGTTTTTGGCACCTTTTTCTTCTTTCTCTTTCGTACACGTTTTGTCGTTTTGTTGTATACGGCTTTCGCAGCTGAACACGCACGCGCATTATAGTTTACTGAATATGTGTATGTGTAGGAATGTCATTTTAAGTAGTAAATTGAATTACTTGCCTGCGCGGTGCGAAAACCTCTGTAGTTCTCAATGCTCTTTTCTGATTTTCAGCACGGCGTACGAGGATCGTCACTCGGAGAAGACCAAGCGAAAACGTGGCTCGCTGTTTTCACGCAAAAAAAAGGTTTGTCGGAGCATTCGTAAAGATAAGGCGCCGTGAGCGCGCGCATTCGGATTCGAGGAGCCACCGCGAGCGAACGAACGTTCGGTGGTCTTGCGACTCACGTTGTACGTGTTTGCAGGACAAGAGCGGCAAGAAGCCAGCTCAGCCGCACACCTGGGCGCAGATCAACGTCTCGTCGCAAGGCAACAACACCTGCGACTTTTGCATGAAATCTTTCGCCAACAAGCCGGCGCTGCATTGTGAGAGTACGTAGCCAAATTCGAGTGTGGTGCGCGAACGTGATTTCACGCGCGAAAGGTACATATATTAAAATGTGAATTGTTTATCGGTGCGCAGATTGCGGAGCAATAATCCACCAGAGCCAAGCGTGTAAAGATCACTACCAACAGGAATGCAAGCAGTCGAAACCACCGAGCAAGTCGTCCTTCAAGTCGCTGTCCAGTGTCTCGATATCGTCGAGCAGCAGCATCGTCAAGCGCGGCTCGACTGTTTCACTACCTCTGCCCGCGTCGATGAGTGGAAGGTAAGCTTTACTTTCTTATCTCGCGGTCTCTCTCTCTCTTTCTCTCTCTCTCTATCTCTCTATCTCTTGCTCTTTCTCTCTCTTTTTCTCTCGTCCCAATCTCCTGTTACGCATTATGGCCTCTTCGTCTTATTACTTTTTTTATCACTACGATGTGAGCATGGACAGACATTCCAATCAATTTCTTATATTGGTGCAAATGAAGTGTCTGACATGCGATCACGAATTTTTAAGATCAAATTATTTCCAGATTATATATAAGAGACGAATATTTCTATGTTTCATACGCAGTTTTTTTTCGCTTAGGCTGGCTCGGAAGCTTATTTGTTTAAAATGATTTGGCTACTTTAGCAAGGATAAACTTAGAGCGTCCAATTTTTTTGTCATATATACTGTTATCGTTCTTTCTTTTTTCATTACTTGTTATGTTTGGTTTTCTTTCTTTCCTTTATAACGGATGTTATGATCAATGGTGCTTATACATATGAGTTGAAGTTAATATTATCGGAACGACATGCACATCAATTATAGTTTTGTTTTTGATTTTTTGTTTTATTTAATTTATCTAATTGAAAATACTGCATAAGAGGGGCTTGAATTTTTTTGTTTCTGATAAGTGTCTGCTCAATTCAGTTGATATTCACATGACTTTTATACTGATATATTATTATCAAATTACGTAGCGATTATTTTTAGTCAAAAAATCGTGATCTGCTTTGCCAGTATAGATTAGTTTATATCTTACTCCAGTGATTTACTGCTGATAAACGACAGATAATAACCACAAAATTTATGACAATCAGGAAAATTGGACTTAGCAGCTTTTGCTACTCGAATAACGCTCCAATTTTACTGAGCTGCAGAACATTAATGACGAAACAGGCGAGCAAGACTGCGATTAAAAATAACAACAATGTCTTTATAATTCGCAATCTTGCCCAAATAACAATCAGCAATACAGACTGAAATATTCTTTCAAAAATACGTAGATTATTATATTAGCACGATATACACAAAGAAACTGCTAACAATGATATCACGACTCAAGTGAACAAAAGTCGAGAAACATTAATTCTGATATACCTGTTCTTGGCACCAATGAAGTTTACAAGTTTCTTCATCAAATATGACCGTGACGTAACTACTGTTACGCTTTGACCGTCTTCTTTCACAAACAAATTTTACTTTGATAGTAAACTTTAATTGCTAACTGAGAACAGGCCATACGACGCAAAAAAAGTGGCAACTGACGGGCTAATGCGATGTGTGCTTTTTCTCTCTCTCCTGTATTAAAAAAAAATCTCCCTCCCGTGGGGTTCGTGTAAAAGGGATAATAACAACAAGAAAGCGGTGACAAGCTACAGTCCTTGGCGGCGAGTTGCCACCAAGCTTGGAGTCAAGTAAGTCCTCAAAACTCTGCCCGAAAAAAAAAGAAATTCAGAAAAAAAACATTCTTTTTGAAGACCAGTTGTGTCTCTTTTATCTCCCTATTGTATATTTCTAAATATTTCTTTAAACGATCTAACATTTTACCAATCATACATTTGCATATCTATTTTGTTTTGTTTTCATCGTTACCTATATTTCTCTACTCTTATTTTTGTACATATACATGTGTTCTTCTCATTGTTAATCCCTGTACAGACTTTTTTTCTCTGTTGTCGTTATCTCTCGAAAGTAATTGTGTTCTTTTACTGCAAGTATTATAGCATTGGAATTTTGTGAAAAAATGTTGTAAATAGTGAATGGATTTTCTTTTTTCTTCAGTATTCTTGTAAAAATAAAGGTGCAATATATAAAATTTTTCAAATTATCACTTTACTTTTCCGTTTTGTTAACTACATTTTCGCCCTTAGAGTGTCTTTGATCAAACACACTAGATTTAACATTGATTTCTTCATCCATTGTGTTGTATTATACATCATCTGTGATAAAAAAAAAATAAGAAACAACTGGAAGTGAAACAGCCTGTATACACTTTACATTATGTAATTTTCACTGGACACTATTACGGCCTGATAATTAAATTGACATGTATTTGCTTGATCTTATCCTGCATTGCCTGTGCTTCTGAAAGGCTTGCTTTTAACTACGTTTGCTATCTATAAATATTGCAATCTGTCAGTTATCAAACACATCAATTGTTCAAATGATATTTGTAAGGGAATAACGAGTGTATTTAATGTCGGATAGATTGAGATTCCCATACAAATTGTCGATGTTCTTTTGACGGGTAAAAAAGGCGATCTTTTCATCTGTCTTCTCGACTCTCCTCGCCAACTCATCTCCTTTGTTCATAGCGGTGGCGAATCGATACACGACGCTGCTGCTGTCTCTGTTTCATCGTTTGTCGATCACCGCTCTCTTTCTGTCTTTATATGTCTATACAGATAACTCTTATTCTATTCTTTCACTTTTGTTGTCCTCCGCTAACATCTATATACATATACGGCTACCCCGCATTCAATCAAAGATTTTCTGAAAAAAATTTCTCTCCTTCACTCTCTACCCTGCATTTATCGCTCGCTTATTTTTAATCTTTGTATGTTATGTTTCTCTTTCTCTCTCTCTTTCTTTATCTGTCTTTTTTGACTATTCTTATATGCGTATACTTAAAGCTTCTCTTTAGCATCTTAGATCCGAATGCTGCCCAACACTTTTTTTTCACGTAGACGTTTTCGCTACGTTCCTTTTTTTCTGTTTTACATTTGTTCTCTTCTTTGCTCTAATTGTTGTATGTCGTTTTTACCAAAAAGTGGTACTCGTTATTTTGGTTTGCCTCGAGTTCTCTCTTTTCTCTCTATCTCTCTCTCTCTCACTCTCTCTCTCTCTCTAGATACGGGCGACATTTTCACTGAGAATTGTCATTTTTAACGGAATGCATGTCGCTTTTTCAGTCAAACGATCAATGAGGAAAGGGATGGCGGCGAACACAAAGACATTCCTAGGTATGCTTTTTTACCTTCCTTTACGCCCACTTGCAACATTTATTTTTGTGCACTTTCAAAGAATAAAGCTATTCGGTTTCTCGTTTCTGCAAATTATACGTGCTTCAACTGTTTTGATTTACCGAAAAAATTTCAAATGAGAAATCAATTTTACTAGTTGATTCGCATTTCGGTTAAAGTAAAAATGAAAAACTCATAACTTGCGATCACTAATGACAATTTTTCGCGAAACAATAGCGGCCAAGAGGAGTTCGAATTCGACGACTCGCATCAGTTTAACTTGGAAGAGTTCGATCGCGAGCATCCAGAATTGGGCCTTGGTTTCGAGGAACCGGAAACATGGGGTTCGGCCACGGGACTCAAGAAGCTTGTCAGCAAAAACGACCAAACGGGCAAGAAACATGACGAAGCCAAGCGCCAGGAGCACATTTACGAGTTTATACTCACCGAGAAACACCATTGCCTGGTGCTTGTTGCTATGCAGCGAATCTTCGTCGAGGGCCTCCAACGTTATTTCAACTTTAGCTCGTCGGTCCTCGATCGTATGTTTCCCAAGTTGCAGAGTCTCATGAACATTCACTTTGAGTTTTTGAGGAAGTTACGGCAAAGACAACGCGAGAACGTCGTTGTAGATACTATTGCGGATATTTTGATCGAGCAATTCAGTGGTGAGAATTCGAGTAACATGAAGAATGCATACGGTGAGTTTTGCAGTAGACACAGAGATGCCGTCGAGGTTTACAAGCATCATCAGCAAACCGATATGAGATTTGCTCGTTTCGTACGCCACTGTCAGGTATGCATGTCGCTTTTAATATTTCACGTATTACAGATTTACGTATGAACTTTGTTCCTCTTGCAGAATAATCCCCTGCTCAAGAAAAAAGGCGTACACGAGTGCATAACGTTTGTTACCCAGCGAGTAACAAAGTATCCATTGCTAATAGAGGCTCTGATCAAGACTGGAGTAACCAGTGAAGAAACTGATAATCTCTGCAAAGCCCTGAATCTCGTTAAAGATATCCTGAACGAAGTTAACGCTTGCGTTGCCGATAAGGAACGTACCGACAGAAAACTCGACATCTATCACAAGTATATTTGTGTTTACCTTTGAAAAAAGAAAACCTTTTTTGTCATTTCTTATAAATATTTATATTATAGGATCGATCCAAAATCTTATGCATGGTATCGAGGTCAAAAGTTCAAAAAATCCGACATTCTCGCGTCAAATCGTAACCTCAAGTTCGACGGCCAAGCTGTACTAATGCCAAATCGTGCTGGCAAAACAACAAGCAACAAGCCTGGCACTGAAGTCACCGTTGTTATTCTCACGGACGTACTATTCTTCCTCGCTGGCGATCAGAAGTACGTGTTCTTTTCGCCTGACAATAAGGTGCCCAGTATTGTCTCGCTGTCCAAGCTGCTCGTCCGAGAAATTGCGGGTACCGAAAAACGGTCCGAAAATCGGGGCATCTATCTCATTAGTAGCAATCCTAATGATCCGGAAATGTTTGAACTCAAGGTATATCTAATTTTCTATTAGTTTCTTTCACAACTCTTCTACTTAATTGTGTTTCTTGGTTACAGTTAAAGGAACCTCGCGACAAAAATACGTGGATCAAAGATATCAGAGCTGCTGTAGAAGCGTGTCCGCAGGAGCCTGACGCTGAAAACAATTTTATCGACAATAATTTTGCCAACGAGATTCGAGACGCGCGTTCCCTGTCGTTGTCGAAGTTGTCTTCCATCGATAAAATTAAACATGCCAAAGAAACTCATATTCAAAATTTAATCGGTAATAACAACATTTACAAAGTTATTTAGTTTTTTGTCATAGTTTTTCTGGTCACGTGAATCAAAAAATAATTAGAAAAATTCTACCGTTTTTTTATTATATACTATATTTAAATGATGTCTATGGAAAATATTTGTAATAGGCAGTTGAAAATAAAAGATCTAACTAAATGTAATTAAAAAAAATGTGACAATGTACAGTTATTAATGAGTGTACATATTTATTTCACAGAACAACTAAGAAAGAATGATGAGGGTTACATTGCTTTGTTTGAAGAAAAGTATAACATATACGTGGATCTAAACAAAGCATACGGTATTCCCACAGATCACGAGAATGACGCCCACAAGATGGATAAGGATGGTAGGGTTAATATAGAACCCTCAAGATACATGTATGGCAATATGGTAAAAACTGCGCTGATAACGAAGGATGTAAATATCGTTCTAATAATTCGAATAAAGTATGATAATAATTAAACTATACGGATTGTTTTACATTCAATTGCAGGCGTTAGATGCTTACCGTGAAATATCGGCATTCACAAATCTAATGTGGTCCGATATAGCAGGTGTACCCCTCTCGAGAAGTCTTAGTTCTGCTGGCGAAAGACATAGCGATGCTTACGTGCCACCTTCCCTTGCCGTTCCAAGGAGAGCTGAAACTTTTGCTGGATTCGACCATAATAAGGTATATTTTTTTCAAAAAAATCGTATTATCCTTTCTATAATATATCAATTTTTATTAAAATTTGATATTCGTTAAAAAGGAACGTTACCCGTGTCGAGATTCCATGCCATTGAACAGCTTAGCTATGTCTACAAAATCGAAGAGCGACGAAGTGACGGTTGGTGAGGCTGCCGGTGAGACCAAAGATGAAGATGAAACTGATCAGAAGGAGAAGCACGATATTCAAGTTCAATTGACACACAACGTTCACACACTAATAGATATCATTAACAGTCAGAATACGATTATAGAGAACATGCGTGCTCAACTATGTGAGTTTTTAAGAGAGGTTTGATTTTCAATGGAGAATTAAAAAATTTATATCATATTTTTTTCAAAACTGCAGCTGGTATCAAAGATGGCAATATAAGTAAATTGAACCACCGGCCTAACTCAACCCACCAGCTAGAAGAATTACGAAACTTACAAGATCAACTGAGTCGTGAACGTGCTGAATTTCGCGCTCATCAACAGCAAGAACGAACCCGGATGGATGAAGAACGCGCTGAGTTAAAAAGGTTACGAGCGAATCTCGCGAATGACCAGGAAGATGTGGCAAATCAACGCGAACAGTTGTATCGCAAGCTGGAGTATCTCGAAAAACTTAAGCAAAGTGTGTCGAATCCAGTTGTACCGGTAGTAGCACACATACCCAGTAGCGGTAGCAGTGAGACAAGTCAGACTTCGAGGAAAAAATCGCAAACAGATGAGAAGGGCATGATTCCGCAGAATCTTTTCAGTACGACCAATCAACAAAAAGTTCAACAGCTACCTGTTAAGCAGCAGTTGCCGCTCAAACTCGCTAGTGGAAATAATAATAGTAATTCCAGGTTGGTTTTTATTTGAACTCTTACTGATTTTACTTATACATAGAAAGTTATTTCAATATTTCAGTGTGACTATAGAGTTTTAACTATTTATTTTAGCAAAAACAAGATTTTCAGTTGAGCTGAAATAACGTTTCATTTACTATTTCGATCGTAATTAAAAATTACTGTTAGTATTTTGTAAGTCAATCAATATTAAATATTGTTTTATGGTCAATGTTATTGTTAACAGATTTCTATAATTTTGATTGATATTTTTCTCACGTCAATTAAATAATGATTTTAAATTATGCTTTCGTTTAAGAAATAACAGAAATTGAAAAGTATGTTAGTGTTTGACAATTATTAAAATTTTACTAATGTTCTTATTATAATCAAGTAATAATACCTAAAATTGGTACCAACATTTAATATTAATATTCAATATCACATACTATTGATGCTTGCCAGCTTTGAAACACTAATCAAAACACTGTGAAAGATCAAAAACTGATATTCGTAATTTACAGGAGCAGTATTATGAGCAACAACAGTCCAGATCGCCACTCTCGTACAGGCAGTAGTCCAGCGATGGTAGGCAGTTCGTCGGCATTGTCATCGCCCGAATTGGGTACAAGTAGCAACGGCTCAAGTTCGCTGAGTCACTTTTCCATGTCTAATCGTTCGCTACGAAATACTCGTATTCCCGAGCCTTACCCTCGAAGACACCATGTGCAACAACAACAAGCAACACCTCCGCCTCAACAACAGCAGCAGCAACAACAGAAGACGGATGAACCATTAGAGGAACAAGTACTGTTTTTGTGACGTATCTTGCGCTTCGGCAGAAAACATTTTAATCGGTCAACTCGAGGCTCCACAGGCGGTACTAACACTCCCAATGTCACACCAACGAGATCAAGTGTCTCAGGTGGTCAGGAGGAAACTCAACAGACACCGCGCAGTAGAGTAAAATCCTTCTGATTGTCGAATTTGCGTAGACAAAAATCCGAGTAAACGCGCCAGAGTTATGCTTTTTTGTACATTTGTAAAAAAAAACAAACAAATAACTATCCGACCGACGTTCGTTGTTCGATGGTAGATACGTATAATCCTGTACATACGTCAGATTAAATTCTTAACAGTGCTGTTAATTATATATATATCCCTTACCTCTTTTTTCGCCACCCGCTCCTCCCTCGAATTTATATATATACATACGTACGTAAACAAAAAGGTGTTTGTAGAAAAAATTTCGATGAACGAATTCGATGCTGTATTAATGTAGCGATTTATTCTTAAACGTGAATGATATTTTTTGCAAATAAGAACTATTCACACGAGTATTAACGAAATACAAAGGCAATAACAGTGGACAGATGATTTCCTAAGTGAAGTCGGTTAGATTTTTTCAAAACAATTTTAGTAGAGTAAAACTGAAGTGTGAAGCTTCAAAGTATTAGTGGCCAACTTAAAAAGTTAATAGGGGCCGTCGTTGTTGATACTTCGCTTGTTATTACACGATATAAAATTAACATATAAAAGCTGACTGACAGTTCTGGGTAATGTCGTTTTAGACAGTCTTTTAAGCAAAAAATGTACACTCACGTAATATAAACAATGTACATGAAAAAACACACTTATTACTCTTTGGTGATGATCGCAGGTACAATGTTAAATGCGATAATATGTATGGATATACATACACAGTATATTTTCGTTTTGTATGATTGTAAAATGAATTAGTGTAGCATACATGCAATTTGTTTCCGGAAGATTATGTTACTTTCTCTCTGTCATAAAAAAATGAATAAGCCTTTAACTGCCAATTTGAGATGATTATTTCATTCTTTTTCTGTAGACTATGTCATGTTCGCATAAGTCGAAGGCGAAATATGTAAAAATGTGAATAGTGTGAAATATTTAAGGGCCTAATGCGTATTTTATATATAATCACATTACAATTATCGACATTGTTATACAAACCAAATTTAGTATTGGATATGTAATGATTAAAAAACACTCTTTAAAATTTGTTATTTACTATACGATTTTATTATTCGATTTTTAGGTGCATTAAAAAATTCAAGATGTATTATTTTTACATCAAAATGTAAAGATTACATCTCGCCCAATAAAACGACATATGCACAATAGAAGATTTAGTTTAAACTTTCGGCCGGGTAGTTATTTTTTAAAATTTTTTGTAATATATAAGTAGTGGCCTTAAAAAATAATTTGATTGTTAAGTGAAAAAATGTATAAACAAATAAGAAACAGTTTTTTTTAAGTACTACATTAAATAATAAATTTTCATTTATGAAAGATAATCTTGTCGATAACTACTCTATGCGCTTTAGAATTTCTCTTTGTTATGATGTAAAAGTTCCGTTACTTGTACTTTTTACGACTGTTCAATGCATTTATAAAAACGCAAAAATCTAAACATACTTTTTACACGATAAATACATTATCGCATTAGTCCTTCGATGATAGTTAAGAACTAATTTATAGTCGGTTGTCGGAGGCGTAAAGCCAAAAATATAGGAAAGATTGCGCGATTCATTATTAATCATTTGCATCGACATTTCCGCATACTATGTACTTAATTGACCGCGGCAACCTTCCACTAAATTATGAGAATTTATTTCTCGGTAATTTGTATATATAATTTAATTTAATGTTACACAATGTATTCAGTAGCATTTAATTCAATTACCTGCGACAGGAACGTTGTATACTTGTTTTGAGTATACACGTACTTATACAAGTACGAAAGAATGGCTATGACTCATCGCACGTCTGTAAATGTAATGTTGAAGCAGAGCTGTATTATTTTCCTTATACGATGATATTTAAAGAGACATGTTATATTTACTCTGTATAACTGAAAAAAAATTAAAAAGAGGAAAAATGTAAAATGAAAAAATGTGTGCCAATTGATGGAAAGCGATACTTTAAGAAAAAAAATTTTATGTTTTTTAAGTAAATATTCTACTATATAATGTATACAAACAATATATATTCTGCAATGCAATATAGCTTAATGCTGATCGGGAAAAAATGCTGATTTACACATTGGTCCTTTACTTTAAACTCATCCACTGCCACTCTCTCATTACTTTCATAATTTCGAAAAATCCAGATACCACCACCTGTTGTATCGAGCTATTCATTGTGAAAGAGAAATCGTTATTAAATTAACTCTTTATTATTGCTCAGTACTTGAAATGCATTATCATTTTTTATTTCATTCTCACTTTGTCAACACACTGTCGACGTAATTTCTTACAAGTATTATCGAGGGAAGATAAATTAAACGAAACAATATACAAATAGTATTCTTAATGGGTATAGCTTCATCAAGAAAAGCGAGAATAAAAGTTGTCTTTCTGTACAGACATAATGTGAGACAAATCAATCTATCGAATAAGATACATATAGTTGTATAAGGTGCACATACGAGTGCAATAGGGTCAAATCAATTTTTTGTCAATCAACACGGCGTGTGCGATGCTAAATGAACTAACGAAAACATAGGATCTATTGTAATTGTAAGGTAAATACTTGATATGTAGAATGATATTTCTCAATCAATCACAATGACAATAGACTATAACTAATTCCAAGTAAAAAGGGAGTTAGCGAATATAAACGGAAAAAACACCTATAATTGTTACGTGTATACGTGTGTATACACACACACATGAGCGCGCGCGCGTAGAGCAAAAAGAAGAGATAACGAACAAAACCTTTTCGACGCTGCGTGCGCAAGAACTCGATTTACGCAGCCTTGAGAAAGCAAGCGTACTTCAAATCTCGTCTCCCACACGTCGTCTCGAAAAATTAAGTTACATACACGTGTGAGGAAGTGATCGGAACCTCGTGTAGCCTCTTCACTCGCGGTCTGCCCGGGCGCCAATATCCACACGAGCCTCCAACTACTCTCTCACGCTAGTATCAAAATGTACTATGTTGTTACTGCATCATTGCGCGTGCATCGGTGATAATGCATTTAATCGTTGTCTGACGATAATGCATGAAAAAACTCAGTTTTTAAATCCTTCGGGAAAACGAAGTCCTGTTCGATTATTCGTCACAATATACAAATATGAATCATAACGCTTAATTCGTTCTATTAGAATCGAGCATTAGTGTGCTACCACAAGCTTTTGTAAAATGAAAAATGTTTTCTATTTGTTGATCAGTGCACTGTCAAGTAATCGCTAGATTTGAAAAAACTCTGATAATAAATAATATCAATTCTTCGAACTGCTATAGTTAGCGAAAAGAACAAATAAATACTCTTTTTGTGTATTTCGATGAAAATGAAAGTAAATACGTAGTAGATACTTGGGGAAAAATTGTTTAACTTTTGTAAGTGAAGTTTCATGAAGTGTTGAAAGAGTCTTTTTTAAATTGATAATCACACACGCTGTTATGTAATTTATACATATAGAACAGGACTTTCTTTTTGACTTGTAATTATATACGTAACGTTCGAATCAAGTATTACTTATTTTCAAATCGTCATTCGTGATAATTATTCCTGTAATCACACGACAATTGCAGAAGTTTTTTTTAAATATAACATATAATATACTAACATCAACTTATCGCATACTTTGCTATTCGACGTAAAGTGAAAAAAGGAAAAAATGTAATTAGTATCTTTCATCTGTTTGAAATAACTCCAAAAAGTTCGAATTCTTGAAATACTTATAACTACTTGTTAACTATGGCCTATAATAGTCTTCTAATGTAAGGTTTCACGATGTAAACAGTTGAATAAAAATGAAACAACTTTGTCCCTCTCGATTTTGTTTTCGAGAGCAAAGTAATATTTTTTTCCCAAATGAAACACTGCTTATATTTTTTCCAAAGGACTGTTCGATAAGAGACCAAAACTGGGATCTTGTACCTTTAGTCTCACGGGTGATGCTCATAAAGAACTATTTTTATACATTATACTCTGTAAATTTTTTCAATCTACATGAGATAAAAATACGTAATTGTGATAACTGACTGTACTGTTCTTTTTTTCTCAGTGGTTTGGTAAAATAGTACTACTGTTTTTTGAGATTTTTATTCTGTCATTTTTTATACTTTTTCGTCTTTTCCAAACATGTCAATAAGTCCATTTACAAATTACGATTCGCACATCTTCATTGAAGCGCAAAACTGCAGTTGTTTAGACTTGTTTCAATATGTAATGTCAATAATAACTACTAGTATAATGTGAAGCATATTGTACTAAGTTATATATCGATTTTCAAATAACTTATTACAATCTTATTCTACTTTGAACTGATCTTTCACAGACTGATGACAGCGCATTTGAATTTTATTTAAATTATTATAGTATATTTTAAGTATCGTGATATTTACAAATAATTTAAAGAAATATTTAGTTGTAATTAGTAAAGCATAATGAATGACAGATAATAAATCTCGAAAATAATATATCCCTTTCATTACTGGTGAGAGTAATTCCTGATTCGGTGCAAAGATTCGGTATTATTTTTTCTGGTAATAAAATCAGCTAGAATTAGCGAAAAAAAATTTCACGTAGTTAAATTTATTCGAGTCTTGTTAGCATTTCGTTCACTGTTGCAAGTCGGTACCGAATTACGCATCGTCAAATACAATAAAAAAGAAAAAAAAAATAATAAAAAAATGATGTAACTAATCTGCGTCATGCTATACGTATATATTTTTTGGAAATATTACAAAAATAAAAAGCAAATGCCTTTTTTAAAAAACTTTATCCTTGTTGACTCTTGTATGATTGAAAAAATAGATATACTCGGTGAAAATTTTATGAGAATCAATGTGAGTAATGTTAATTGCCTCGAAGCCTCTGTAAGCATTAAGTCTGTTACGTACTTTGTACGATCGATCGTGAGAATCAAGATATATATACTCGGTACTTTTTTCCTTCCTTTCCTAGTAGACTTTGAAAAATATATATGATGAAACTAAAAAATAATAATGATATACTTTCTCCGTCATCCGTTGAAATAATGATCAACTTGCATTCCATTCTACACTTGTAATACATGCTACGTTTTCGATTGTTATGTCATACATTGTTCAGTAAAACTAGCCACGTAAGACACAAAAAATATAATACTTATTTATTATAAATGTAAATAAAAAAAACTGTTATTGTAATAAAGAAAACTATAAAAGGGTAATATACGAAAAAAGCGAATTATGTGTAAAGTGTGTTTTCATTTAATGTCCCTTTTTCAATTAAATAAATCGGCTTTTCGATCACATTATAATGACATCCTCTAACATTACAACATGAGTAAGAATTTGATTGTGAGACTTGATCAAATAGAACGTTATAAAATATATTTCTAATATCTTTATTTGTATAGATTATACAAAATTACATGCTCACAATGTGGGCGCACCATCACAATATTTACATGTGACTATAAAATTATTTACATGTTCATATTTCAAGTCTTATATATTTTTTTAATCTTTTACATTTCAAATAGCATATGATAAGCCTATTAAGTACCTATAAATTTTACATTAAAAATTGTTTTGGAAACTTATTAATGTGAAACTTAGTAGCACTTTAGAAATTATTAATCATTTTTTATGAAATTGAGCTTATTGTAATGACTATTATGAAAACGTAACATACAATATTAAAAATAGCATACAGTATCAAAGTAAGTCTAGATAAAAAAATTGTACTTTATATTTCTCAAAATTCAAGTCATTCTGATATACTTTATCGCTGATTTCATTAATAATCTGTGAAACTTTAATTTTACATCGAAATGATCTTCAAAAGACCTTGTGTAATTAACATATAAATCGGTAAATATAAAATCGACAATAAACTAATTCTAAAAAAATATTTCAACTATGGTTAAAAATGTCTTCAAAAATGGATTTTTTTCCTTCATTCATAAATGTTATTTATAATATAAAATATTAAAATATATTTGGTTTGCGGTACATATTTTAAAAATTTACAATTTCATACTACTTTACACACGATTGAACAGTATCAAATTAGGAACTTCTTAGATTAGAAAACATAATGAATTTGTCATCATTTTATTTATATATCAAAATACTTCCCGCACACTTTAAAGATGCTCATTCTTATAAAATATAGTTGTAATTTACGTTACATGATTATTTGTGGCTCTGTTACAGAGCTAGAAATGCTTTTATGTGGTAATACTTGTCCTCCGTTTATGTACAGCTCGTCTTTGACAATCACATCTTCTCCAAGAACAGTTGTATTTTCCATTCTTACCCAGCGCCCAACTATACTTTTCCACCCAACAATACATCTGAAAAAGCGTTTATTAGAAGTTCATGATTGAAAATTCACAAATTCAATTTAATTCTATTATGCATATACAGTCTAATGCACATACTTATCAAGCCAAGAGTGTTCACGGATAATAGCATCTCTTAAGATAGTAGTTCGTTTAACACAGCATCCATCAGAAAGTGTAACTCCAGGACCAATAGTAACATTTGGTCCAATTCTACAATCCTTTCCTATTTTAGCTGTAGGGTCAATTAAAACATTTCCCACCACTCCTGGTCCATTGTATAATTTTTCTGGTGATTTTTCTTGAAGAGATTCTAAATACATGCCCATTCCTGAGAATTATACATTATTTAGTAATAATTATTTGTCTATGCAACATTTCCCTGAATGTAAGCTTTAGAAAACAAACCCGTGAGAAAATCTTTGGGTTGGCCCACATCCATCCAGTAACCTGATAATTCCATAGCGTACAATTGGCCTTCTTCTGCCATTGCTGGAAAAACTTCCTTTTCAATACTCATAGGACGTAATTCTATTCTTTTTAAAACGTTTGGATTCAGTATATACATGCCTACAAATATTTCACATATGTAAAAGTTTTTAATACTCTGAACAAGTAAATTTCATAATAAATTCCTACCAGCATTGATCTTATTAGAAACGTATTCCACTGGTTTTTCAATGAAACTGTTAATTTGACCATTGTCGTTGCAAACTACAACACCATATTTAGATGGCTCTTCCACTTTCGTCACCACAATTGTGCCTTCCTTTCCATGATTTTTGTGAAATTGTAATAATTGCTTGAAAGGAAAATCACATATGATGTCAGAGTTGAGAACAAAAAATGGACTATCATCGGATGATAGAATTTCTCTTGCTAATGCTAATGGACCAGCTGTTCCTAGTGGTTGAGATTCATGAGAAAATATCAACTTGACTCCTAAACTTTTGGCTTTTTCAGTGAGCTCATCTTCCATCTGTTGAGCTCTGTACGATACGGCTAATATCACTTCTGTCACATTGATTTGTACCTTGAAATTGAATTGTTTAATGAACAATAAAAAAATAAAATTGTTAACAATTTAATAAAAAGAAAATTTTTATGAGAACTTACCAATGCTTCAATTTGGTGAAACAACATTGGTTTATTAGCAAATTCAACTAATGGTTTTGCTCGACTGAGAGTCAATGGGCGCAATCTGGTTCCATAACCTCCCACAAGTATAAGAGCACGCATGGTATTAGGCTTTTTTCTTTTCTCATGCATAGCAATCCAAAGCCCTTTTATTAAAATTCAATTAATTTACAAAAACCGTATTTTATAATTTTGTATATGCAAGCATCAAAACGATTCCGTAAGCAGACGAACAGATCTCACAAGAGTATAAATATAGTAGAAACGATTTACACTACAAATGTAATATTAACATCAATAAAAAATATATATCCTGTAGTAATTAGCTGTTTTTGGAAGCTATTAGTAGGCTTGAATGATAATATTAGATGCACTTGACGCAAAGGCAATACACTCAAGTTACTCAAGCTGCCACGTATTTACTAACCGCGCGGTCAAGCAGACGAATTTCATATTTTCACTGAGGCGAAGTACCAAAAACCAATAAAGTGTCACCATATAAGTCACAAACACTTTCAATATATAAATATATATTAATTTTTTTTAATTCTTTTCTCATTTTTTCTTTATTGAAATATGAAATACAAGAATATCAATTGCAGAACCACTCACACTATTTTCAGTGAATTTCTAACGTTATCAAAATAATTGCCGTGATAATAAAAAGTAAACAAATTATCTGTTTATAATTTATACTATTAGACACGTCAGACTTTTGCAAGGGAGTATTATAAAAATAACAATCGAAGCTAGACGACTTCAAAAACTCCTTTTTCTATAATTTTCAATTTTAATCGAACTAATAACCGGTTGATCGATAAAGATTCAAATTGTTATAGGGCTTGAGTAGACTGTAGGTTGATGTATTAAAATTATTTTGAAAGACCACACAAGCTTGACAATTAACAGAAGACGGGCAGCTACTGGTGTTATACTTGAGGTAACAACTCCAATAATTGATTTCTATATCAGTGGTTGTTCTCGTGTGTTTGCAAACATTATTGCATGAAACAACTTTGTAACTTGTTGGAGTTGATTAGATGGGTAAGGTATAGTCTTTCTCAAATCGATTTTCCGTACATATATGTATTTGTTGTCAAAATAGATTTTATATTTCTGTGATATTCAACTTTTAAGGATGCTATACTTTACTGCAATGCGAAAAAGCGTCAATAGTTAAATGTAAATAAGCGTACACAATATAAAATCACTCCATCACTATGTGAATCATTTACAATATTTTTTTGTGAATTTTATAAACACTTTTTATGTTAACTAATATAAATAATTCGTTGAGAATCAATGAACATAATCAAGACAAATCAAAGGTAATTTGCACGTAAAATGTATTTTAATTAAATTAATTTAGTTTTTTCATAAAATAGCATTCAATCATTTATAAAATATTATTCAAAGTCCTATAAATAATTACAATTTCATGCGGGTTTAGTACGGCTTAGTCCGATGATTTTTGTCATTACGACTTTTCTCCGCTCCAATTTTTGAGGGCCGCTTGTTACTTGTATTTCTGTGGATTAGGGGTGGCTCTGTTTGTCTCCAAATATTTAGGATACCAGCTTCGCCGCCAGTGACTAAACAACCACTCTGTGGAATAAATTAAATTTTAGCAATGTTGAAAAACGATTAACATGAAATTGTATCTATCATCTGTATAAGTTAATTTATTCTTAGTGGCAATATTTGCAAGCTCATTCCCAGAGGTAATGTACACATACCAATATAAAGCAGTAAGTGTTTTCGAAATCTTATAAAAAAAACAATTGGATATTACCTTTTCATGTAACCAGCTATCTCGAACCAATTGCTTATTTCCCGTTACATTATAATATAGCTCTAATTCATTTTTACCAAAACTAAGACATTGAAGAAACTCTCTGAAAAATAGTTTTGTCATCGTGTTAATTTTTATATTTGCTATTTGTAATTATGGATTTTCTATTCTATTTGATATAATTAATTCTCACCCTTTTGTTGAGCTCAAACCAGCAAGCAAATAAGGATTACCAAAGGTACTTGGGGCATGTATCCTTACCAAATAACAACTGTCTGGATCATCATTCTGTAGAAGAAATGTAAACAAAATTTATCAACAGTCCTAAATAATTGTTGCTCTTGATAAAAAGTATTTTTTACCTCTTCTAAAGGAAGATGATTTCTTTCATATTTGTTATAAGGTTCTGCATCTTCACAATTCCAAAGTTGAAGTTCATGAGTATGTGTAGTACACCACAAGTGGTCATTTGCAAGCCAACCTATTCGATCCTACAATTAAAAAGTCAGAATTAAGAAATTTTACTTTTAATTTTCATTACAGATCAATGCAGTAGTAAAGTATCTTACAACAGAGGATTCTGTATTTAAAGAGTAAGTCAAAGCAGCATCTTCTGTTGTTTGTGAAAGGTCAAAGACATTGATGAGACCGTCAGTACTACCAGATGCTAGGACATCCCTTTTAGTAGAATGAAATGCTAATGTCGTAATATCGTCCATATGTGACTCCCAATAACCACCTAACAAGCTATTTTTACCATTAAGCTTAGAGTTGCTATATCTAATATCCCAAAAGAGTATAAAAGCATCACCACCAATATGTTCAGTTCCACCTGCTATAAGCCTTTCATCGCAACTTATATCAAAACTGGCAAGGGGTTTGAGTTTTTCTTCTGAGTTATCTGTAAATAGTAAATAGAATACAAGTACATAAGTCATCTTATAATTGAAAATTAATGCACCTTGCAAAGTTAAAAAAAAAAATATTTACCTCTAAATTCTGCAACAACCTTCCCTTTGGCTCGCAAGTCACAGGCAGTAACATTACCATCATTGTAGGCAGTGTAAATTATATTTCGCGATGTAGGACTAAATTTAATACCTATAATGGGAGACTCATTGTGCTTGAGTGTAGCATTTTTGGTGATTTGCTCCCCAGCTGTGTATACTATACAGGAATGATCAGATAAAGCAGTGGCTAACCTGAATTCTGGATCATTACTGCAAAAATAACAAGCAATCGGCATTTGCTGCTATCATGCTTATATCATGAACATTCAATTGTTTACATACGTCTGAGTGCCACAGACGGATAGAATGTAGTTCTGGTTGTCCTTCGTTACAGTCTCCTCGATAGACACTACAAATTCTCCTTTGTACTGGTTTCCTCGGTTCTTATCTGGACCCTTTCGCCCATTTTCGACGCTCAGTCTCTTCAGCGACTCCACGATCTTCGCCATCCTTTACCGTGTGCTTTGTTTTTACATCTAAATACGTCGCAATCCGCAGAGATTGAATATGCAATTTTCTTTTTTAACCTCAACAACACGTGCATTTGCGCATGTAGTCCCAAAATTACACACCTACAAGTTAGTGACAGGTGCAATTTTTTTCACGGCAAGTATTTTTGACAATTTTATGGAAACTCATCAATTTTAAAAACTTAAATAATTTTTTTATAAACGTAATTCTTAAACACTTTCTCAAACCTTAAACACTTGTCGCTCACCGGTTGTTTTTATTGCTGATACGTATTGCGTCAAATGCGTGCTTTTATTAATACTATACTGGTCTCGCATCTCGCTTCTCAATGGTCTCTTAATTTCAGCCTTACGTGTTGGTAGCATTGCTTTTTTAAAGATTTGGACGTTACATTGTTACAAGTGTGAGTAGCAACATGGATGTTTACAAACGGTTTGGCTGAAAGTTTTCGTTGTGCCTATTTAGAATCATTTATTTTGATTATTTGAAAAAAGAGTTCGTGAAATGTCATTCAACAGGCGAAGGTGGTCGAACGAATTGCTTGATTCACTAATGGATTTTCAGAGTGAGTGCCGGAAATGACACTGTTTTTACGTTTGATTTATGAGTTTTGTCTTGATACTCATATTGAAAGTACATATTTGATTTTACTTCACTAATTGCCGTTAAAAACATTTACTCATAATTGCTATTTTACTTTTTCTTAATAATTTTGTTTGTCTGAGTACCCTTATACTGCTTCTTATATACAACTTCTTTTGTCAATAAATTTTATTTATTTTAGATAAAACTTCTTCAGAATTGAATGATTCTATGAACAAGGATAAAGAACAAGTATCTCCTGCAGATTTATTGAATGATAGATGTAGATGTTTAGATACAGAAAGTTTGGAAACTTCATCTTATAGACAAGTTGGAGATTTCAATTTCTTGAAGAATGATGAGAAAACAGATTGTGATAAAAAAAATGTTTATTCATATTTAAACAACAAGGTTGTAGAGAATATTAGTGTTAGTTCAGAGGAAACTGCCAATTTTTTTTCCTGTGATTCAAGTAATAATCAAAATACAATAGATACTCAATCTATCAAAAGTCAATCCACTCAGTACTCTTGTGAAATTTTCCATGAAGCTATAACATTTCATCATGAAAACATTATGAAGAACAATGAGAATCCAGGTAGTCAGTCTAATGAATCAAGTCAGATCGATAACATAATCTTAAAAGATGAAGTCACTACTGTAAAGAACCATTCTAGCACAAATTTAATGTTATTTGATAACGAAGGTAAGAAGTATGTCTTTTTAAGAATTATTGTAAAAAAAAAAGAATATTTATAAATATAATGATAACATTTTAATTTCTGACTTTTTAAACTAGAAAAATCTCGAACTACTATTATATCTTATGATCTATTCTTTAGCTTTGAAATATTCAGATTGTTATGTTATTTTAATGTATAAAAAATTATACTTAAAAGTATTTGGATGATCTGTAACTACTCATTAATATATTAATATTATTTAATAAGTGAATAAACTATTATCATATAATGATTTATATAATTAAATCTATGATTTTCAGGTGATATGACTAAGAGATTTTTCTCATCTCCAGTAGAATTCCCAAACCTGTGTAAAGAACAAATTGGAGAGGTGACTCAGCCTGATATATGGGATGCTTTACAAGAACTTGATCAAATTCTTTCACCATTTGGAGAAGAAGAAACTATTGCAAAAGAAAAGCAACCCACTCCTAATCTTCTGAGTAGACTGTCTCGGAAGTTCAAGAAAACACCTTCAAGATTCACTGAAAAATTGATATCAATACTTGAAGATTCAGTTATCTCCACTGAATCTCCAACTAAGCACAATGTAGCAAACAATTCTGGAATTAGCTTGCATCGAATGACTGGGGAATTCAGAAAACTCTGTAAATTCATTGAGGATGAGTCAATGCCTGAATTGGTTCCATCAATGGCAAATACCACTGCTTTATATACTGAGAAGACAGAAACATCAGAGAGTGATAAAGCTCTGGAAAATCATACTTTAGAAACTCCAAGAAATACAATCAGGTATATTCAAGATACACCAACACATAAATCCACACCACAAGCTTTAAGGGCACTTTTAACTCCAAAGAGCAAAGTCATATCGCGGAATCAAACTCCAATTAAACAGTTCACGCCGAGTGCGGATAAGTCTTTTGAATACTGGGAAAAAATTTGTAACATAATGTGTGACCCTAATAGCGCAGAAAAAATTAAAAGAAAAACTCCTCTCATTCAAGAAGGTGCAAAGCGTAGCATGGATGAGATGCTTACGATATGCGAACGTCAGATGGCTTCGTTAGACAATACTACAATAGACATTAGAACTTCAGAGCCTTGCAAAAAAACTGACAGCGAGATAAAGCTAAAGATCCTTCAAACGCCAAGATCAAAATCAGTTTCTAAAACATATGAAAGCTGTGGGAAAAACGTAAAGTCATTGTACAAGAAAAATGAAGTTGATAAAACTGATGGTAAACTAGATGAAAAGATAATTATACAAGTAGCTGGTAAAGAAGAAAATGTGGAAAAAGAAAAACCGATAAATCTTGACGATACTATCGATGATACCGTCATCATGACCGATTCAGACAATACATCAAGTGATTCGAGCTTTTTAAAAAGAAGAATGTTAAAATTAAACGACCAAGATTCCTTCAAAATTGACTCGAAGGATACAAGTGTTAATGAACAGAATTCCTATGATGGTCACGAACCTCTTAAAAAAGAGAAATCAGAGGAACAAAAGTTATTTGAAAATGATTTCAAGTTGATTTCTTATAGCCCTCAAGACACGCAGTCAAAAACGCAATCAGAACTGTCGTATGACCCCGACGATCCAGACTGCTCGCTCATAGCTGAATTGGCCTTGAGACGTCAGAGGTGTCTTGAAACTGCCAAGTTGATGATGGAGATAGACCAAGAAGATCCCATGACAAGTGACCAAGACAAGACATGTCTAGAAACGTTGTACAAGCTGGGTATACAAGATAAGACATTTGCTGAAGTTGAAGAGGACACCAAATTTCTTAATACGCTTAACGAGTGTCTCGAGTACAGAAATTATTTTAGTGAAAAGAAAAAGCCCATTATTAAGGCGTTACAGAAGTTCGATACTCCTGAGGAAATGAAGAAAAAGACCACCTCTATAATTCGCTCTCAGAGTCAAATGATTACGAAAAAACCAGCAGTTAAATCGACTTTGCAGAGGGCCAATTCAAACAAAACTTTGTATAATAGCAAGATGACACCAAGACTTGCCTCCAGTATCGCAGCTTCAAAAGTAACTCCGAGAATCACTAAAACCTCCTCAAATCTAAGAGCAATGCCGAGAACCTCAGCGACTACACCCAGCAGCTCGGCGATAGCACCAAGAGTTTCGGCGACAACGTCAAAAGTCCCATCAATAATTCAAAGAACCACGTCTACGACTACACCAAGAATAATGAATACGACACCCCGACCTATGCCGAGATCAACATCCAAAATAACTCCGCAGGTGACTAAGAGAACTTTGTATCCACAAACTGAGCAGAGCAAACTAGCACACAAGTTACCGATAAAGACGCCTCAGTCGTTGCAGAAGCCGATATTGAGACGACCAATTTTTAGATTGTCAGCGAATACTACTCAGAAACTTACACCACCATCAGAACTGAAACCATGTGCTTCTAAGGTAGTTGAAAAATCAACACCATCATCAGAATTGAAGTCAGACACTGCTAGGTTAGCTGAAAAATTACTATCGCCGCCGCCAACGGAAATTATTACTTCAAAACCTACACCAAAACGAGTAGCAGATCTCAAGAGTCCCACTAAAGTTACCACCTCGCCACCAATCACACCTCGACCTCGATTCTTCCTTTCGCCTGGAAAAAGCCCTAATAATGTAATTTTGGGAAGAAAAAAACCTGCATCATATTTTTCGGAAAAGGCTCCCAAAATACCTCTCACTCCACACAACTTCAATCGTGATATTAAATCACCCATTGGTTTATATATAAATAGTATTGATAATGACTTAATTAAAAATATACATGCAAAGACGAACGATCGCCTGCTGACGCCTGTGTCGTATGGAGAAAATGGCAAAAGTCCTCGGCTCAAAATTAGGCTTGCGTCAAAGGAGAATCAGGTTTATTTTTATTTTATGTAATTTTCAAACATGTCATCTTTTATGATTATTGAAAATTTTAAAAATTGAATTTTGTTTCAAGTCCCCACCTGTTTGCAACGAGAATATTGTGCTGCCAACGGTTCGATATCAGTCAGCCAAAAACATTTTCTTGGTAAGAAAAATAAATTATCTTCAATAATTATTACGTGTAACTTCAATACTGAATAGAACGTATTTTTCTTTGCATAGATTGATAATAAATCAAGCTATTCACCGAGCTCAATTACGCCAAACTCGAAAACAAAGAAATTGCTGGAATCTGTTGAGAATACCATTATTATTCGTCATGAAGGTATACATTGGTTTTATATTATTTCTAAAACAGCTACTAAAAGAAGTTCGTATCATCTTGTTCATTGCAGGTCGAATTTGCGAGCCTAATCAAAAAACAAATTACGATGATGTCGAAACGTCCATTCGCGTTCGGAAAGTGGCTGAAAAAACTACGCCTCTACGAAGAAAAGTTATGGAATGAAAAAAATATATCTTATAGATTTTTATTATATAGTTTAATTAATATCATAAAGTAGTGAGAGGATAATTTGAAAAACTAATATTTTCACGTCAAATAAGCTTTTAATAACATTTATTGTCATTTATCAAACAAAAAGCTATATGTATAAATATTTTGTTCCTAATTATGAAATTCTTTTGACCGTAGCATCCACGCAAATTTTTTAATTGTACATGAACTTATATAAATTATAATATTTATAGCAAAATAACTCGCTCTTTGGGCTATAAATTGCTCAAATAAATAAAAATTTTATAAAATTCAACTCTCATTTGAAAAATAAAAACCTTTCGAAATTGTCAGAATCATACTATTTATACTGGATGGTTTTGATTAATATCATAGAAAATTAAGTTTTTTTATTCGAGCATTTACAAACTCTCGGAAATGAAGTACGTTTATATTGTTTTATGAACTTACCAAGATGAAGAAGAAATCGACGAAAAGCTTATTAAAACTTGTTCTCTTACCTTTCAATTATAAAATGTTGAATTTTTCTGCATCACCAGCTGGAAAGCGATATCTTTAGCATCCCAATCCGGGCGCAACGTACTGCGATGCCGGTCATGGGTAGAAAGTGTTTCATACATGCGCAACTGGGCCTTTTTCAGCTCTCGGTTGCGCCTCGAGTAAACATGCGTCGTTGCGCACGTGGCGCGAAACACTTTCTAACCTTAACAGGAATGCAGAAATTACGCCCGGATTTCGGTGAAAAAAGCCAAACACTTTCCTTTCGGGTCGTCTCTTGGGGTCTGCGAAAAAATTGCATATGCTACATGGTAGCAACAAGGGCTGTGCCCTTGTCTTTGCCTCAAGTGGTGGCTTACCGTGGCAGAAATGGTCTACTTTAGTTACCGCTTAGCGTAACTTCCCGTTCCTCATCAGTATTTTTACGTCTACAAAATAGCTGTCCTCATGCAACAAGAGGATTCCTCATACCGCTAGAGGAGTACAACCATGTATCGGTATGAGATGCTTTGCCAATTTTAATAAAAATTAAAATGTTCTCTGTTCTGTACTGCATCTACAGTTTTTTTCTCTTTTCTTTCGCATGTACGTTTGGCATATCTCTTAAACAAGTTCAACCGAGGGGGGTGTGCTTATTTGAAAGGGTACACTATTAAGTTAGTCTTACTTTATTATCGGCTTGATTGACTTAATTGATAAATAACTTTGGAAGTTAGTGCAAAAAATTTTGAAGTCGGTTTTTACGAAAATCATTTGTATAATGAGTACTACTTTTGAAATTGTAATTTGAGGTTTTTTAAAAATGTCAGACAAATATGATTTTTCTATTAATATCAACACAGTAAGTATAATAATTTTGGTTCATTGACTTCATTTATTTGATAGATAAGGTACATTAATTTAGTTCAAAGTGCGTCATCATGCAAATCAACCAAAATATTACATCAAAACATACACCAGTAATGTATTGCTTTGATTTACAGAGTCGCAGTACGCAGTGTAGGCAGTTGTCTCTCTTGCCTTCTATAACTATTAGACACCACCAAATCCTTCAATACAAACAAATATCCAAGTAACGTCGAACCTTAGTTCCACAGTCACAGTCGTCAACTTATCTCCGTAAGGTTTAACGTGAGTATTACGTGTTGCGGCTTATTTTAGGACTTTTCACTCTTATATTCAGGAACTTGGTGAGTAATCATAGAAATTTTATTGGCGAATCAGAATTCAATCAATATTGTATTGATTGACACTTAAAATTATAATTAATAGTTTTATAGTTATGTCAACTCAAATAATTATACCGTTGCATCTTCAATTATAATTTTATCAAAGGACCAAAATTATACGCGATGGAATTAGTGATTTGTCAAGTAAAAGTCGGTTTAGTAAATATTTTATTTGCGAATACATTGATATTTGTAATAAATATTATTCTAAAATACAAGGAAGACGCAGACGTTTAAACTTTACGTTAATTCGTTTATTGTGCGGGCGAATTGTTAGGGATTGTTTGAGCGTCGTAAAGAAAATCGCGTGCACTCTTCGTTGTCACTTTACGGAAAACTTGCAATGAATTTATCGCAAAAATAAAGATTTGTAATCGTATTGAATATAACACATTAATTTTATTAAATTTATACCGCATATTAAAGTTCTCGGACCAGGTAAAGGATTCAGTTTTAAACAATTCATTGCGAGTTTTGTCGACTTTCCTCGGGAACAAAGTGACTATCCGAGTTTTCCAGACTCGCTTTCACTTTCTTTTATTAATAAAAAGCATTACTTAGAGTTTCGTGACGATAGGTGAATTTGTTGTGTAGGAAAGTTAACAATGCGACAGTGTTAGCAGTATTTGTCATAATTTTGGCAATTCGATTTCCTTCAAAATAACTTCACCAATCGTCACAGAACTTTAAAATCAACAAATTAAATACGAGCGAGTCCGGAAAAATATCTAATTTTTCATAAAATTTGTAAAAGCTTGCGAGTAAAGTTGGAATATGCCAGAAGTTTTTTTCGCTTCGATCTATTTTTTGGACCATAATATTTGGTTAACAGGAAGAAGATCCGCGTGGAATCGAAGTGAATCTTCATAAAATGAGTCAAGAGATTAAAGATGAGCTTACCCCTCCCATGACTCCGTTAGTCTCACCAGCCTCGCCGATTGTTCATTCGGCTCCCTCGAGATTTGCGTTCATCGATGAAAATCTTCGGATAGAAGACATAGAGAATATCTTCGCGGACGTAAGTATACACGGTGCAATAACTAACATTTACTGTCCATACTAGTTTATATAATTGCATATCACGTTTTTTACAGGATAGTAGTTCCGCAGCCTTCGACAATATCAAAGTAGAATCGCCGATCGCAGACATTGACCAGCTGACTAAAGTCGTCAGCTTTGATGGTTTGATCGACGTATCTACCGTCTCTAAACCAGAATCTGTGGCCGATGAGAATAAGAACGTGGCTGATGAGAATAAGAACGTGGCCGATGAGAATAAGAACGTGGCCGATGAGAATAAGAACGTGGCCGATACAGTCGACCCCAAAACTTTAGTTGGCGATGTCGTTCAGGAAGATATTGTGAATGGTGACAAAGTTATCGAGGACAAAAATGCTGAACAGCCAAATGACAATAATGATTGCGAGCCGGAAGATAACTGCGATGGCACCAGAAAAAAAACTTTTCCAAATTAAGAATGACAATTTTTGCTGGCAATTGATGTTGATTCTTGACGACACTACTTTTAGTAGTAGAACATCTTATGTTCTTTCACGATTTTAATGTGTTCATGCATTTTTTTTCGTTCAATTTTGATTGTTTATTGTCAGCATTTTGCATTTTAATGTGGCCTGTGCTTGGTTTTAGTCTAATTTTAACGACGTACTTTCGTCCCGAATAATTGTAACGAATATATCAATAATTGAATAAATTAGCGCTATTACACCAACGTTGATGAATGTTTTATCCCCCTCTCTTGTAAAGGTTATTTTTTATTATTATTAATAACTGATCGCCATTTAATCTTATTAACGTGATACTCATTTAAATGCCCAGCAATTTTAATATGCAGGTATCGACCACTTAATCGATGTTGTTTAAACTTGGCAGCCTTGTTTGTACCACTTTTAAGGTGGACTTATGAATTAGCCCAAAAGTTAATAACAACTGACAAAGATGGGAATAAATTTTGTTGAAAATACGCGGAGAGACTGGATTCAGCCGGTAACAAAGAGCGAAGAGTGAGAAAAACGAACGGAGATGAAAGTGCGAGCGAGAGAAATCTCGTCTGAGGAGAGCCGAACGCGGCATGCGCGGGTGCGAGTACAGGTGCGCGCGAGTGCGCGCTAAAAGTCGCTCGCTATGATACCCACAAAAGCCACGGAAAACGTCACCTCGTTTGTACTCAAAGATTCGCGAGCGAGCTACGAAGTTCTGTGTCTTGAATTTGGAGCGAAGCCGTGGATGGCTGGGTCTATGACGCGTGACGTTTGTTGCGACGTTTACGGCGCGTGATGCGCTCTGAAATGTTGCGTGCTCGTTCGTTCCCAACGCGTTACTCGCCGCCGCGTCCTCGGCTGGGTTGCAGCACTTGCACGGGCACAGCAAAATCCTCCGGGCTCGATCTCCGAATAGCGATGACGCACAAGGGCGCTCCCCCCCCCCCCCTGCGTTTCTATGTGCTTTCCCGAAAGTCTGCGACCTTAGTGACGTCACCGGATCCCTCTTGAACCGCGTATAAATCTCAATTATAAAGCGCAGGAAAGTTCAAATCCTTTATCAATTTTCAACTCAACAAAAACCAATGCGACATTTTTCTCAAAGCACCATAGTTCCGATTTCAAGATCTTTCATTAGGTTGTGTGAACTTTTCTATAGCTTTTATAATCACGGTCTTCAATTGCAAGTCTTCGCACGTAATATAATGAAAGTTCACTATCATTATTAGAATAGAATATTAGGCCGCTATCTTTATTAGAAACGGAATTATTGAGTATAAAAGCAAATTCCGGTTTTCATTTCTTCAATCGGCAATAAATTTTGAACTAATGTTTCGACTGGAAAATTGGTTATCACGTATAGACAATATAGAAATGTTCATCTGCACGTGCCAAGAGAAGAAACGGTTGAGTTTTGTACCACGGTGTCAATGTCTGCATGTTGAAACAGTCATATCATAACGCGATTCATTGTTATGAGTCACCGAAGGCGTTTCAAGCTGGCATCAACGACTTCTGTCGCCCCAACTCTTCTCGTCGATTGGACGTAGCGGCAATCGAGCAAGTCGTCGTCATTACGAACAACTTGGATGGGACGGGTCCAGTGAAAATCAGCGTCCACGAAAAGTCATCTCGAAACAAGGGCCGCGGGCGCACCGAGGAAGGGCTCGCGATCGTCGATCGAGAAAGCGCGGGGCAACCAAATCAGTCGTCACGGAGCTGACGTACATAGAAGAGGCGCATCCTTTGCACACGGCACGCGAGCGAGTCTGCACATGGCACTCGCTCTGCACACGCTTGGCCGTGCCGCGCCGGGGATAAATTCAAATGCGCGGCTCGTTCCCGACAAGTTCGACTTCGGATGAACCACGGGGAACCAGTTGGAATCTGACTTACCTACTCAACTTGGAAGGATGGAGAGCAAGAAGGAATGTGAGTATACGCTTTCATTGTTGCGCCGCTGGCATCGCTTCAATATCGACGTCGCACGCGCTCATCGCGACGGACGAGCGGATTTTCTTGCTTCTCGCTCGCGGAGAAAGTTGCGCGCTATTTTGGATTTGGCGAACGGCTGCTTGCCGAACAGGCCGCCTCGTCAATCAGCCGTAAGAACTTGCATACAGTTCGAATTTTAAAAATGCAGCGACAGCAGTGGCGGCGCTTTCGCGGCAATGCCACATTGAAGTTACGTTGCGCCGCCCTTCGACCAGAATGCCGCTCTCACTCGGACTTGAAATGAACGACGCGGGAGGGGTATTTTTTTTTTAATAAAAGTCGGAATTTGACTGCCGAGCGCGCGACGCCTCTTGCTTCCATCAGATCTATACGATAAATACGCTCGCTCGGATGGATGTCGTTGACCCTTATGCGGTTGCCGCGAAATTGTGCGCTCGTTCGAACGATGTACTCGAGGTGCATTCCAAAGAGAAAAAAAACCGAAAACGAATGCTTCGAAACCTATCGTTGAAAGGAACATTTGTTACGTAAGCACAGAGGAATTAAATTTTGACACGGCAGCTCATCGTTCGTAGAGATAAGCCGCTAGGCGAATACCATAGCAGCTATCTAAAAGGCGTGGTCCCTTATTTTTTCACGGTATCGATAAAAATACTTACGTAAACACATACAATTGTATAGAAAGAAAGAAGTGTCATTGTAAAGCTCGTATCCATCGATATAATGAGAGTGTTCTTTCGATGTGCGATACTTTGCGTCTAATAGTCCGTTCATGAGCAACTCTCGTGTACAGTTATCACTTGATTTCGTGAATTATCGATCGAAATACGTTCACCTTCGAAGGTATCTCTTATCAGTTGACTTTTACGATCGTCGACGTACAATGATGCAATGCCGACGATATGCTCCGAGGCGCTCGACTTGAAAGAAACGATCATCGAGTCTCGTTCCGTTTCAGGCAGCTGCACCGACTGCAAGTGCTGCGTCGATTGCGGCACTGGGAATTGCAAGTGCGGCGACAAATGCCAGTGCTGCGATTGTTGCGTCGGTGAGTTGAACTTCGTCGCCGCGAATGTTATAATGCTTTTGTTCCGAAGCTCGCCACCTATCTGCTCACCGCGACGCGCGAAACAAAGATCTCTGATGCTCGTACGGGTGATCAGTAGCGCTTCGTAGCTCGGTCTCAGCCGAGTATATCTCGGTAAGCATGAACAACTGACGGTAACGCAAGGTATATTTCGGTCGCAGGCAAAGCCGAAGCCAAGTGCTGCGCGAAGAGCAAGGCCAGCGGAGGTAAGGGCTGCGTTTGCTGCGAGAAGTGCAATTGCTGCGACGCTTGCGGAGGTGGGTATGGGTACCCTCGGCAATCCGGCCACGATCGGTATTTCGATAAGCGCTAATTCGAGATCTCGGTGCTTTCGTTCCGGCAGACGGGTCGGGGGCTTGCAAGTGCGGCGACGCGTGCAAGTGCTGCTGCTGCTGCCCCAAGCCGAAGCCGGACGCCCACGGTGCCGACGGCTGCAAGGATTCATGCGCGTGCTGCGACGCTTGCGGCAGTAAGTACAATGACGTTCCTCGGCCTCGGCTGCGTTCGCGCGTCGACCGACCGACTGACCGACGAACCTTCTAGCCGCGAGTGCCTGCAAGTGCGCGGGCAAGTGCGAGTGCTGCGAGTGCTGCAGCGTGAAGGTGATCGGCGACAGGGCCAGCAAGGTCGTCAAGTGTTGCTGCTCCGGGTCATTCGAGGCCGGCTCTTGCTGCGTTATCGTGAAGCTGCCCAAGTCCAGCGCGCGCAAGTGTCGCGCAGCGTCCGGGGCCAAAGACCGATGCTGCTGCGCCGAGAAAGAGGGCCGAGCTTGCGAGTGCTGCACCGCTTGCGGAGGTAATGTCGCGATTTTCAAATGCCCGTCGCGGCCGTCGAGAAGCTACTCCACGCGGTACGCTTGTCACACAGACGAGAGCAAGGCGTGCAAGTGCGAGGGGCCGTGCAAGTGTTGCTGCTGCTGCTGCGCCGCGCCGAAGGCTTGCGGCTGCGACAAGCCAACTGGTGACTGCAAGTGTTGCGCCGCGTGCGCCGGTGAGCTTTCCGTCTCCGGAAGATCATCATCCTTGAGTGCGCGCTTTTCCGAACGCTGCTCTCGTTTTTCAGATAAGAGTCGACAATGCCAGTGCAAAGGCCAATGCAAGTGCTGCGCCTCTTGTCAGCCAGAGGGAGCTAAGCGGGACGGCTGCTGTTGCAAGAAAGACGGCAAAGATTGCAAGTGCTGCGGTGCATGCGGAGGTAAGTCTAAGCTCCGTCCCCAATGCAATGAAACGTGTTTGCTTTGATGCCGTAAAGCCAAATGCTCGTATATCCTTTTTTCGATTGCAGACGAGTCTAAGGACTGCAAGTGCGAAGGAGAATGCAAATGTTGCTCTTGCTGCGCCGGCAAAGGACAGGGTGGCTGCAAATGCTGTGCAGCCTGCGGAGGTAACTGCGACCCATTACGATGTAGCGCGCTTTCCTCGCTCTAGCTCGGCCATCTCAAACGCCAACCTCCTTTCAGACAAATCGAAAGCGTGCGAGTGCGTGGCCGAATGTAGATGCTGCTCCGGATGCCGGAAGGACGAGCTCGCAGTTGGTGCCCCGTGTCGTGTCACAGTTGAGACTACCAAAGCTGGCACCACCGTCAAGTGCTACTGCGGCCCTTCCAAGTTCGCTGGCAAAGGATGCTGCGTCGTGGTTGACTTGACCGAATCGGGCGACGGATGCACGTGCTGTGCTGCTTGTGGAGGTAAAAATGGCGCTTCGAACCCAAATTCAAGCTGAATCTTTGTTGGAAAAAGTAACGCTGTTCGATATTGTTGTTTCAGATAAATCCAAGGTGTGTAAGTGCGAGGGAGGCTGTAAATGCTGCTCCAACTGTTCCGACAAAAAGAAATCCGATGCAGCTACCAAATCTAGCTCTGGATGTTGAATGGCGCAGTAGTATTCCATAGACTTATTCGCACAAGCATTCCTTTTATTTACTATTTTACTTGATTTTTTCATTGTATTTTAATTTTACTTATTAGAGGTGGTTGGGTGTATCATTATTGAAATAAAGTATATAAGACTGTAATCTTATCGTTAATTCATTTCTTCAAAACAAAAAACACAAAAAAAAGTAAAAAAAAAAACAAACCAGAAATTATTTATAAAAATCTTGAAATACGTTATTTTTTTCCGAGACAGTCGTTTCGAAATAAGCTCAACATCCAAAAACCACGAGACCATGAAAATAATGAAAGACAATACGCTCGCTAGAAAAAAAAGTGTCTACGCTCGGCTGTCTTTTTTTTATAATAGCACGCGAACACTGTACGTTCCGAATTCAACGCTCCCGTTGCTTCGCTGGCCTTGCCGTGGCTTTCCTTCTTCACCGCAGTCCTGCGTCTTTACTCGTGTTTGCTTGAATATGTTTTAACACGTTCGTTTGAAATGAAATACATTTTGCGCGCTAAGATTGTCCGAAACAGTTGCTCTCAGCGATGGCGCAAAGTGAAATTTGGTAGATCCAATTTTGGCATTCGCGTTTTGTAGAAGCGACTGAACATCGACAACGTTGAAATATCGTTACAATAATTTAAACAATTTTTTTTTTTAATTTTGTAAGTACAAAACGCCACTTTCTTTACTCCTCTACTTGCAACTGACCCATTAAATTTTCCATTAAATAAATTAAATGTGCTCGCATTTTTTTCAAATATTCCCGAAAAATCGACGGCGAGTCCTTTATAGCTACACGCAAAGCCTCGCAAAAAAAGCGTAAGTACGACGAGGCCGGATAAGAGAAACCTGCGAGTCTCGCGGATGTATGGAAGAGGGGGACGATCGATAAATTGGCGAGCGACGCAGTGCCAAGCCGAGTTCACCGTCAGCTGTCGTGCAAGCAGCATCGAATCGCAAGCTTTATTAAATTACTTATTCGACAACCGAAAAACATCAACATGCCGAAGCCAGATTGCGACAAGTGCACCGGTGAGTATATTTTTGATTAGTTTCAGTAATGGCGTGATGTTGCTGCGACGCCAACCGAGGGTGTGTGGAATGTAGGACAGTGTATTTTTTTAATTTGTTTGTTAAGGAAGGTGAATGACATAAATAGGAAACTTTCGTAGGTAGATTTTAATTCGTCAGTTTTCCATTGAGTAATTTGGTATTTTAATAGTTTGATTCAATGAAAATTGGATTTAATAATGCCGAGGAAGGTGCGATAGAACATCCTACGTATACCGTATATAGAGTGCGCGATACAGAACCTTCCTGATTATTACGCATTTGGAATTTGCCGGATCGTTTTGCTGCACGCTTTGGTATTTTTATTGAAATTGCAATGGAACTCGGTCAAATTTACTTGCAGGGTATTCATCAGAATAGTTGAATGATAAATGATAAAAGAACAATTTATATTAGAGGCATAAATTGAAACTCATCGACTGAAAGAATATTCGATAAGATACGACGTAAAATCCGGTTAAGAAATTTCGTGTGAACCCGATTGTTTGGTGTTTATAAACAAATTGCGCTTTCAAAGATTTATCTCTTATTTAGGATGAGACTATATTTTCATGTCACAAGTCAACTTTATGATTGCAAGTTCTTAACGAATGAAGATAAAATTTTAAAGGAGATACTAAAATCTAGTCATTAAAAGTCACTCGTTTGTTATTTTCGAACTGTGTGCATATTAAACTCGGAGTTTGCTTATTATCGACAATAAAATGTAAATTTGACTGTAACTTTAATTAGAAAGTAGCCATTTACATATAAATTTATCGATTACTTTTATATACTCGTCGAAAGATGGTGCAGCGTTTCTAATGAAACGATGCAAACGCATATTTTCGCAGCAAAAGTAAGCCTTCCGAGACTTTCTCACGGATGCTATTGCACTCGTGTCGCCCCATCAATCAAAACCTCGCGATACAGACGCTCAGCAAAACGAATTCGATTAAACCGGCCTTCAAGGCTGACGCGTCGACAAGTAGCTCGGATGTACTCGAAAGAAGCCGCGAGAAGACACTCGTAGAAACGAAATCGCCGCTGAAAAGCTGAACCAAGTGAGAAACGAGAACTTGCGATTTTTTTAATCATCGGCTCTTCAATTCTCTTTACATCAGCGCATGTATTACGGTTGTAACGAGATCTTGCCGGATGCGGTAGTTTTCCTTACAAGATTAAATTTCATTATCTTCTTCTTTTTAATTTGCGGATGATTAGTCGTTGCGCACACTGCGATGCATCAGGCGTAAGTGGTAAATAATCATGGCTAGAGGTTATTTTCACTGCTATGTCGCAATTGATATTCTTTCATATTCGAGCGTTTCATTATAGATTTAAATTGCAGTCATTTAGTTTTTATTGCCGCGTAAAATTGATCAATTACCCGCAGCAAATGAGCGGAAGGCAATGCATACAATATTTCAATTATCGTCAACTCTGATAGAGCGTGATTGAAACGCAACATCCAGCGACGTTCGAAGGAAGTTATTTACAAAGGTTGCTTCCATTTTCGCAGACAAATGCCAGGACTGCAAGTGCGGAGACAACTGCAAGTGCAGCTCGGGAGGCAGCTGCGGAGGTAAATAAATCGCTCATCAGAGCAATAGTTAACGATAACTCTGTGGCAATCGGCGCAAATGGACGATAGCTATAACAATAAAGTCTTGCGAATGAATATTCAAAAAGAGTTCCATCTAAGCCGAGCCGGAAGCAGTGCACTGACTTGAGAGAGGCAGAGGCGAGTCCTCTTCCTTTTGTCCCGTTGCGCAGTCAACGGCCGCTAGTGGCACGGAGAGATGCCTGTACTCGCGCTCGTGACTATCGTTAACTATCCATAAGATGAGCGAGCCTTTTCCTTTCTCGTCGCCGTGGCAAAAACTTTGTTAGCTCTGTGCGCTTCGAGCGACTTGACTGCTCGGAGAAACTTTTATGAACCACAATTGTCGAGCACTGCTCGTGTCGCTTTCGTTCTTACGGGATTTATTACTCCTAGCTTTTCCTCGACCGACTGATTTCGAGTGGAATATTTTAACTTCAGCTTAGTCATTTTCAAATTTTTATTTATACTTTGAATATTATGCTGAGCTAACGAGATGTTCTGTTTTCGTTTTCTTAGATAAATGCGGCTGCAAGTCTGGCGGGCAGTGCAAGTGCGATCCATGCCATTGCAAGTGATGATCCGAAGACGTTACTCTTCGCTAATGTGCACTATTACTTCAATTCCTACAACACTATCGATTAATCTCAGTCACAACAATTTTTTTCTATTCTTTTCGCGAAAGCACGTCTCAAAATGCATTACATGCTCTCTATACCTATATACAACAGACTATACTGCACATCAGCTGTTGAAGTGTTTGTTTTGCCATTGAAATGTTGAATTAATAAACCTGTATTGAACATCAATTGTTTAGTGTACTTATTCAATTTTCATTAGAAACTAGTTATTATTTTTATATACTTTTGTAATTACTTTTCTGTTTTTAAAAAGCTGATACTCATTTGTTATACTCCAAAAAAAATGCATTGAAAGTATTGTTGAAAATATAAGATTGGTTCGTACAGCTGGTATTTGATCAATCTACTTGTATACAAGTTTAATCAATATCCTAATTAAAATAAAATACTAGCTAATTCTAATTTAATGCAAAATTTCTTACAACAAATGTATTTATATTCTGTTAAATTTATTACATTTCCTTTGTTTGACAGGAAAAAAGTAAGACTAGTTATTGGTGAATAAAATTCTCTTAAAACTATACAAGAAATTGAGAAAAATGTACGAAATATAAGAATAAATTTGTTATATTCGCTAAGAATAAAAATAATTAATTAAAAGTTAAGATAGAAATAAGAACTCATAAAAATAATTTAACAGTTGCAATTACTGTTTGAAATTTCGTGTCATGTTGCCAACATGAGCGCACATCAATTTCTTTCACTGCGCATGCGCATAAGGACTTGCCGGGAATCCACTGTGCTAGAAACAACGGTAAACTATCCTACACCGTGATTGTAAGCGCGAAATCGTGATTCGTGTTTGATCCGGCGAGCGACTCGAGTTGTATGTACAAGGGCAGATTTATATTGGAAATTTCTTTCTTCGTTTGGTGAATAAATGGTGAGTGATTCTTTGTTACAATAAATAACTCTGGTTCAAGTATGGTTAAGGTATACGTGAGATGAATAGATCGCGAAATTCTACGAGTGGTTATGTGTAAAAAGACCGATCAAAAAATCATGGCGATTTCTTCGCGAGTTCTCTTTGTCTACTTGTTTCAACCGAGACTTTTAGAGTTCAACGAAATTTTGCATCAATTCTTATTGACTTAATTTGATCGATCAATTAATGAAGCAGTAGATATTCGATCTAGAGACAAATCATGACCGGTTAAATTCTATTTTTCTCGCATTTTTCGTTTGGAAGGAATACGGACATTTCTAAGAATCGCAATTTCGTCTTTCTCCGCTGAACAAAGGATGGCGTCGGCCACTTTAATACAACCGATCTAACGATAAGCTGACATAGAATATTTTGTATTTATTACAATTTTCTTATGTGATGATTGGCTTTCACGATTGATGACAGTTGTTTTCTTATTTGAAAAATGTATTAAGGTAAACGAACAGTTTTGATGAATTTTGTTTAGAATGTGATCTTTATGGGTGGGGGTAAAATTCAATTGCCTAAACATGAAATTTTCAGTAGCATACGCCGTTTAGGCAAATTGATAATTGATTAAGATAAGATATATCATAATATTACTTTTAAGCTTTCATTTGTGATACTTTTTAAAAATTATTAATTTTATCAAAGTATTTCAAAAATCAATGCATAATATGTTTTATTAATAATGTCACTATTTAGAGAATATATACTTGCAAAATGTTCCTGCATATGAATACTGTAAGTCAATTTATTTTTTTTTACAAAGTGGTGGTATTAAATGTATTAAAATACAATTTTATTTTGATTGAAATTGTCTTAATATCAGTTCTGTTATTTGAAAGTATTTATGTTTACAGTTCAAATATGTTATGGATTTTGAAATGAATTTTTTCTTTTCTGAGCATTTAAATTTTCAATTATTTTTTTATAAAATATATAATACTGTTGATTGAATATTATACTTTGCAAAACATCAAGGAAAGTATGCGAACACAGCTTTGATTCTTATTTCATAGAATTATTTAGCACAATAAACAATTTCAGATTTATAATACTGTAGTGATATATTATACTGATCTTGAATCTGATATTTTTTTGATCATTATTTATTGTTATTGTAATTTTGACTATAATTATAATATCAAATGTGTTAGATTCAATCTGTTTTAAATCTGCATGACATTTCTATGGTTGCACACAAAAATACCATGTCAAGCTTGCACTTAAGGGTTTGTACCGGTAGCTAGCAAGTTCATTATGTATTTCTAACTAGCAAGGTAAGTTTCAGGCTGACAAATGTCAGAAATCTGTGTTATCGATTCTGGCTATACAACTGCTAACAAAGGTTTATCTTTCGTTGTTACATAAACACTGACTTTTGAAGTGTTTTGATTAAATTTTATGAATTTAAAAATAATATTTTGGAAGTTCATGTAGTACATGTTGTTGATGTTTTTGAAATAAGTAAACAAAAAAAAGTATTGAATGCTGAAATGTAGCAATTAATGATAGTACTTTTGGTTTACTTTAATTAGCGTACTAAAATATTAATGATTAACACATCATTCAAAGTTTTTAATTTATAATGAACTGTAATATTTATTATAATAAACAAAATTTTGATGAAAATATATCAATAGTAATGTAAGATGTAATTAATTATGTATCATTTGAAATTATACTTTGAAATCACTTATATTGCAATTAAATTAATGACTCGTAGATAACAATTTAATGCTAATTAATTGAAGCAACGACCGCGTGTAGTTTATGTTATAATAAAACTTCATAGTTCAAATGTCAACACCACTGTGCGTTCTATGTAGAAGTGTTCTGAATTTAGAAAATAAATTAATCATGATTAATTTTTTGAATTTTACATTATTAATTAAAAAAATAATTTACAATTGTATTGAGTAATAGAATGAGTGATTAATAGCTGAAATTTGTCAATAAATGTAGTTGGTACATTTTTGCAGATTTCCAAAAGGATGAAATTCTGTATTCGATTTAATACAGTTTTATCCTTTTTATAAAGGGTATACCAGAGAGATGGTCTCGTATTATAATTTTCATTGAAGCATAACATAGAGAGTAATTTGCAAGAGAATTAAAGTTGGCTTTTGTTTTTTTTAAATAAATCCTGAGTGGCACAAGTATTACATATTAGGCCTACAATAATGTTCAAACTGTTTTGTGATTAATTAATTTGATGGATGATTAGGGGGTTCAATATATTCCCATGGTAATTCTTTGCAACATTCTTTGCAACTTTATTGTTCAACAATATTATTCAGAATTAACTTAATTTTTAAAAGTATTTTAACTGAAAAACTTGGCTTTACAGCTTTCTCATATATTTAGTCAGTCTATAGTCTCAGCTACTTGTTTGCAATGCGCGTACGTTACACGCTTGTTACCGTGAGTATTGGTGGTAAAGGGAATAGATTAGCACAGCTTCGTGCAACTTGAGTTTGCGCATATTTTATGGTGCGCACCTAACGCAGACTTTTATCCGTGCTAAATCTTTGGTGAAACGTTGAACTTTGACGTTACGGCGTGTTTTAGGTATTTATTTTCATGAAACGGTTGATTGACGTAGTTCGATGTGTAGTTATATTTTAGTAAATGTGAATGATTGCGCGGTGATAAACTTTTTGTATAAAAACAAACTTATAATGGATGACTGATTTTATATGCACCCTTTGAAAGAACGCTCGTAAATTATGCATAATGAACATCTCGGACCGTAAAGATATCAGATCAGGTTTTATCTCCGAGATATGACATAACAGAGCCTTTTAATTATTTCTTCAGTGTCATTTCTTCGCTTTTCCTTTATTTTCTTTTACACGCAGAAAACATAAAAAAGTCAAACAACTCGAAATGAACTTTCTTATTATCGCCGAGAGTTCCCACGAAGTGCAAAAACACCGAGAAAAGAAGACTGAGAATGCTTGTTGAATGACCTGAGGTGGGGTGGCAAGACCGAGAAAACTGTTTAAAGATTGAACAAGGTCTGAAAGGGGAAAAGGCTAACGATACTTTAGCTTGGCCTTTAAAAACTATGTTTTCATTTCAAGCGATTATTTAAATGAAGATTTTATTGTTTCTACTATTCTTTTTTTTGTATCAGTAGCTGCTTTTCTAATGTAAAATAAAACAAGTTTTTCAATAAATGCGGCTGTGTTTCATTACTTAGTTTTATTTTAAATTTTTAAATTTTTTAACCACTGATTCCGTTAAACGCGCGTCGCACACTCATTTCTTGTTTATATCGTTAATATGCAGTCTGATGCTTGAATTGAATTAAAATTGTTACGGGGTAAATTAAAAACTCTCAAATGCACTACAGATATAAAATAAGACTGAGTTGAATGCTTGACATCTGTCGATATTAATAATTATTCGGTTACGTTGATTATTACTTCCTCATAGAGGAAGCTTTTTTTATGATCTTAATCTTTTTATAGGATATCTCTATATTAATAAATATATTATTTTAACCAAAATACTATAAATCAGTTTGAGCTAATTCGGTACTGTTATTTTTCCAAAATTTTCATTTTCAACAATCAATATAACTATTCATATACTTAACTATCACTATAACATAACTATCATTTTTTAACATACTTAGTATAGTAAAACAGCGTAAGATATTAATACACGCTGATTCACGCCATATTACTGTACAAAATAATTTGTGCGTATAATAAAACCGTCACGTCTCCAGCAAATTAGTCTAGGTTATTAAAGTATCCGCGCCCATTCATAAGATCATTCAAGATATTAAATGCCGGTAACAAATAAGTTATTTCTAAGCAATGATTATTTGTCTATTAATTTAAATTAGAAAATTTTCTTTAAGAAATAAAAATAGTAATCTGCTCTAACAAATTAATTTTAAGTCTTAATATGTGTTTAGAATGCATAATTCAATACATTAGCATCAAGACGGATTATTGTAAAAAAAAAATGAATTTTCGCTTACTTTTTATTTTCTTCTAATATTTTGTTGTAATAAATATTCAGTTATTTATCGAATAAAAAAAAGAATCTCTCCAGCGGGGAATCGAACCCCGGTCTCCCGCGTGACAGGCGGGGATACTAACCACTATACTACTGAAGATTCGTGACGACTATGATGTTTGGAACAGTTTTCAACTTTGCTTTCATATAATTCATGGTTACTTAGTTCAAGAGATTATAGGTAAACCATTGGAAGTTTTATTCA